TCTGACTGGCCCAGCCGCATAACACGCCACCTGACAAAGCGCCCAGGTTGGCGACGACTTGTGTGACGGTGACTGCATTCTTGGAGAAGTTGAATTGGTTCTCCAGCATTGTCGGGTACAGATCCTGAGATCCGTGCGACTGTCTCCATGTTAGCCTTCTTCCGTTACGCGAATAGCAAGTAATCCACATACCATGAAATTAAACCCAGACATAAGCAGAACCAGGTATATGAGTATCAACCAATGACGCTTCAGTGCGATCTTCCCTTCTGACACGAACGACGCCGCAACACCTCCGCGCATTTCCTGCCTTGCTTCCTGGCGCCGACGGAAAGTCTCGGTTTCACCTAGGAACAACCGGAAGATAATAATCAAGACCGGTGGGCAGGCGGCAAACCAATACAGCGGTCGCCAACCATGCGGAGTCGTATCGACGAGAGCTCTGGCGAAAGCCGTGGCTAGCAGATACCCAAAAGCATAACCTTGCTGCAAGAGTCCTGAAATGATACCGCGGGCTGCAGGCGGGCAATCTTCCAGCGCGGTAGCAGCCGCATTACCATACAAGCCACCCATGGCAATTCCAAACAAAGCACGACATGCCAGGAACTGTTTATAGGTTTGGCAGAAACCAGCGCCAAGCTCGAGGACCACGAAGAGCATCTGGTTAACAATAAAGGGCCATTTACGGCCCCATCGATCAGAGGCGATTCCGAAGGTGATGGCGCCAACGGATCGTAGCATCAGCACTAGGGTGATTCCCCATGTGATGTCGGTTACGGATTTATCGAATGATTTGGCAAGTTCAGAGGTAGTAAGTGAGACGGTAAAAAAGTCGAACGCATCCCAAGACCAGCCGAGAAACGCGACCTGTAGGGTTAGGCTGGTTAGCTAGTTGCTTTTTTCTTGCCCGTCAGCCCTATAGTGATATCAACATACTGTGAAATTAAGCCACTGCGTCCTGTTGAGTAGTGTTAAGGCCGCGAATGGATTGGGCGCGGGATTCATCGGAGGCACGAGAGAGGAAATACGGGTGGAGATGTAGCGGCCAACGCTCATGTGCTCTTCGACATCCGGCGAAGGTGCCGCGGCATACTGAGACTTTGCCTCATCCATGACTGCTGAGGATCCTGGAGCACCCGTAAATAGTAGAGTAAAAGTTTGACCCTAGCGCAAAGTGCGAAGGAAGGGAAATAAGATAGATCAGAAGCCACAACAAGGGGGTCAGCACAGCTCTAAATATGGCCGATACCCTCCTCTTCCCCGCCTCTCTATGGTCACCGAATCTAGCGGACATCCCGAGGGTAAAGGAATCAACTGACCACCGACGTGTGTGGTCCCGAATGCAGGGATGAGATGTGATCCCATTCGCTTGCCACGCGGGTCAGCGATATGGAGTCGGGACCGGGCACGAATGAGGAGGACTAAGCTCAATTGCCGATCACGGTACACTTATGGGGCCCCATCGCACGAAAGAGTCCCCGTGGGGAAGTTTAGAAAGTTTCCACTTCGGAGCAATACATTTCTGCGTTGAAAGGTTGATGCAAAGGCACGTATTTTTTGGGTTCAAATCTATTTGGGTTTGGACATTTCTTTTTCTGAGAACTTTGCTCTGTGGTTTCAGGTTCATCGGATAACTGCATACGGAAAAGTACGCTCTCAACTCAAAGACATACTCCGAATTTCTTAGACCGTGAGGGGATATTAAAATGGAGACTATAAAAGTCCCCCCACGATAGCCGTCTCTTTGAACTTGTAAGCCGTGGTAAGCCCCTCGGTCACCTTCCGTGTCGGTCTTTCTGCTGATCGCCGGTTTTGTGTGCTAAACAAGATAAAGCCACAGGACTGAAAACTTTGGACACCATTCTAGCAGCCATTCTAGCAGAAATATCTACGCCATATGAATTCTATTTCATATTAGGTTCTCGTGATATAGGTAACTCTGTACACTCACATATTAACCTTTGAATGATCCCGTTGCTTGGCAAGGGCTTCTCTGAAGTAAGACTTTCGGGTAAACTGCCAAGCATTACAGCACAGTGTGAGATCATGTTCGGCTCCCCCGGGGCCGTGATCAGACTATGGAGTTGCCTTCCAAATTTGCACTTCGTTATCACATATCTCTTCAAAAACTATCAAGGTTGGCATCTCTAACCCTCCCAACTTGCGCCGAGATCTCAGCCGGTTCTTGGCTGCAGTGCCAATAAATGCCATGGTATTGGCACAAAAGCTTTTATCACCACGCACGGACTCCGATGCTTGGCTAGATTGGGCTGGATTGGGCTGAACCCTTCGTTGTATGTTCACTTCGCTATTGGTATCCATCCTTTTGTTTCCCTTCGGGTACGGAGTATTATATTGCCAAAAGACCATAAAGAGTCTCCACTTCTCGGAAGTATATGGCTGAATAGGTAAGTTAATATGCCGCTTGGCGGGTCAATCTCCATTTTTTCTATGATGCGAGACGGGGGAGTATTCCAATGAAGATAATATTGTTCACTTATTTCTTCGGCGTATCCCAATAATTCGAGGCTCTTTGAGGTACCGAGACAGATTAGCCTAAAGTACTATTATAATCTTGTTTCGGCCAACAACAAACCGCTTCGTAAAAGCTGCTCCAACGAACGCAGATAAGTGTGTGGAAATTACGTTCTTAGGGCTGAGAATAACCATACTGACTACCGATTATGTTGTCTCAAAGGTCACTGGTAAGCAGACCGTGTTTGAAAAGCTTACGTCAAAGTAGTACCAGAGCAACATTATATATATTGAGGATTTAGTTATGGAGAAAATCTTGAGTATAGTATTAGCTGTTCAAGTGCGAAACAACCAAGTTGGATGCTACAGGCTCGGACTATACTTTCGAAACATTAACTGATTTTTACTTGACACCATACGCATAGCTGGGTGCAAAAAGTCCATGAAATTCATGGAAATCCAGTTCAGATTCAAGATTGAAGATCACGGTGCATATTTTGGAGTGGGATAGCATCAGTGGAAATTCTCATGTCCCTACACAGGACGTTTAAACCCCACAGCTATGGGTATAGTGCTGTTCTATTGGGAGTAACGAGTCGCTGAAATCACGCCGGACTTATCAAACACCATAGATTTGATTGCACTTGATAGGCGGGAGTAGTCGGCTCCTTTCCATGCTGGTTGAAGAACATGCTGACTGGTCATTGTTTCAAAATCAAGTTGATAATACTGCCGAACACCAGGCAGTGGACTATCAATTAACATGGAAACTGTCAAGTTCGAAGGACCATAATGAATATATAAAGAGCTGGATATACTACTACATACCCCATTATCGCCACTCAAGTCTCTTTGGTCTATAAATATATATCTACCAAATCAGGAATGCTCCTCGGTTCCTTGCAGCCTGTCAACTGCGGGTCGAGTGTCTTGGCGTTAACTGCCATTAGCATGGAATAGATGCCGAATGTCAAATGCTATAAAGGACCACAATCAAACAGGTAGACACATACTGATTGGTTACCTAGCTCAGCTGAAGAGAAATCAAGCCACATTCTAAGATGTCAAGGAGGCTGTGTTAATCTGAAAAGCCCCTGTGAGGCGGTGCTCAATTTCCCGCTCAGCCCGCTTGCCCCGCTGATGCCGTGTATTTATTGTCAGGTTATCCCCAGATCTCACCTTCCTATTCATCTCCAAAGTATTTCTTACGTACTTATCACCTCAACACTTATCCAACAACTCTCATCCCTCCCGAAACCAATATGTCGTACGGAGGACCCCCGCAAAACCAATACGGCGGTGGTGCCGGTTACTATGACCAACAAGGCCAAGGATATCCCCCACAGGGTCATTCTCAACCACAGCAAGGCTATTACCCACCAGAGGTGAGTCTACAAACCATACACATGACCTACCGTTGCACAGAACAGAGTCGCGCAGCGCTCAAACTCTCAACTCCCCTCCCTCCCCCTCGTACTCGCACCGCGGCCATAACTAACTTTCCGCGCTACAGGGCCAGCAAGCCTACGGTCAGCCCCAATATGGCCAGCACCCAGGACCTTATGATCAACACGGCGGTCAGGGCTACCCCCCACAGCACCAGCAGGGCCAGTACCCTCCCCAAGGCAATCCTGGATACCAACAGCCTCCCCATGATCGCGGCCACTCGCCATACCCTCCCCAGCAACAGCAGTACCCACAGAGTGGCGGCGAGAGCTCTGCATACTATGGCGGCGCACCCCCGCACCAGCAACAGCCAGGACAGCCTGGTGCTGTAGGACCGGAAGGCGACAGGGGCCTCGGGTCGACGCTGCTTGGTGGCGCGGCGGGCGGGTTCATGGGCAATAAGCTTGGCCACGGCATTCTTGGTACTGCGGGCGGTGCTGTTTTGGGTGCTGTTGGTATGAATATGGCAACTAATAAGCTGTGAGTCTTGCTCTTTGCGCTAACGTTTTTTGGTCCTTTTGGTTGAGACGAGACTGACTGTCATGGTATAGTGGGAAGGAAGGCAAGAAACACAAGAAAGAGAAGAAGCATAAGAAGGATAAGAAGCACAAGCGGAAGGGCTCAAGCTCGAGCTCCAGTTCCTCCAGCTCGTCTGATAGTGATTGATCAGTCTCGCCTTTTTTCGTGTGATTGGTTACGAGGACTGGCTTTATCCTTACAATATTGTATACCCTGTTTCGTTCTTTATTACTTCTTCCTGTCCGGCAATATCCGGTCTGTCTGGGATTGTCAACTGTCCTCTTTACTCGAGGACCTTCACGCGTACGGCTATCATATGAATTTGTATTCTTAGTGAGATGAAAGCCCATCAATAAAGTTGAATTATTAAATCATGCGACTATGCCTTAGTTGGTGAGATATCCTGGAGTGCCTGTTAGCCTGCATTTATGCCCGATAGATAGTCCTTCGTTTCAGTTCATAGTGCGCTTGAACGTGGGAATGATTAGGGCCATGATGGGAATCCAAATCGTGTATTATTACATTGGTTAATATTTTGTTATTGAGTGGGTTGACGCATCTCAGCCTTGTCTTCCTTTGCCTAAATTGGCTTTTTGAAAAAAAGCCTCTGGGTTGATGCTACTGTCCAGATCGAAGCATAGCTGCGGGACTTCCTTTGGTGATTCCCACATAAAACGCCACCTTTGCGATATCGGATTCCAGTATTGTCGTGGTACAAGAGCAGACAGACGTCTCCATTGACGACGCATGAGCCGGATTGTAATGGTATGTGGCCGGCCATTGGCATATTCGGCAAAGGTGGTACCCTTTTCAGGGCCCCTAGCCAGCAACCTAAAGAGCTCACTACCAGACTTGATTCCAGGCTTGGTCTGGGGAATCTGGGGATTTGAACCTCTCCTTTTGACAGGCTCCCATGGCACAGTCCCCGATATGAGTCCCATAAGCACCTGGTGATCCTTCTCTGGTAATGGTGGAAGGAGACTGCTCAATGTGGCATTGTACCATTTCCTTCGAATATTTCTCTTCCGAGACTGACACACTTCTCTCCCCCAGCTGTCCTCCTTGGGGATCGGAGGTTCCAATTGTTTGATCAACGGCCTGATGCGGACTGCTGCAACCACTGTGTTCTGCATTTGAGAGGCTGCAAGGCTCTTCACGATAGCTGAGGGTTCCCAGTCATCACTGAAATCAGCAGGCCGGGAGATTAGCTCTTTGAGAGCTAAAGAGTCATCAGGGATTTCCGGTGTTAACATTTTTGCCAGCAGCTCATGTCGCCGTCTCCCAGTGCGACCGTATGACAATAATAACACCTTCTCGAGAGGCCGTGAATAGCCTTCATTTGCTCGTCGTAGAACTGACAACGCATTTCTTGCCGCGTGAACCGCCTGGGGACCAGCCTTCGGGGAACGGGAGGAAGCAGCACGATATCGGGAGATGATATGGTCTTTCATGTAGTTGCGGGCGATGGGGTCAGGTAGGTAGGTACATTCGCGCAGCGTAGCGCGAAATAAATGGCGCCATTGCTGTGGTTTTGAGAGATTGTGTAGCCAATGCTGAGGTTGTGGTCTAGCCATGAGGAATATTTCACTTTAATGCAATCAATAAGTGCCAAAAAAAAGAAACCCCAAAACGGAGAAACGCGAAATCCTTGGCAAAATGCGTGTCACGGGAACTTCGACGCGCCATTTTCGCCGTCTTCCCCCCAAACCCCGCGAACATTGCCTTGCCTTGCATTGAGCCTCGGATATTAATATCTCAATTTCCATTCGACACCTCGTTCGGTCGCTTTGTGGCATTGAATGGTATTTTGTTTGGCCTACGGTTTCCCTCCAGAGGGTTAGCCACGCGCCTCGAGCTCGCGTCATTCCAATCGGCATCCGGTATCTCTCTCCTTGCTACTTATTCTACCCCATCATTCCCCGATTTGTTGGCTGATATATCCTGGAAAGTCCAGCATGTCATACTCACAGGGCAGTGCAGGATCGAATGGAATGGCCTACAACATGTTGAATGCTTCGCAATCCCTTAACTCCACCCCTCGCGCAACTCCTCCGCCCCCGAAAGGATCTCAGATGTCCTCTTTCGGTTACCCCAACGGGCACCCACGAAGCTTTAGTGGATACGATGGAGCCAGCGACTATGGCCCAGTAATGTCATATCAGGAGGAGTACAAACCACAGATTTACCGAGTGCGTGGCCTTTATCCACATCCACAGAGAATGCCACTGACGAGGTTCAAATAGGCTGTATATTCTAATGTTGCTGTTTATGAGATGGAAGTGAATGGTGTCGCTGTGATGAAACGTCGATCCGATTCTTGGTTGAACGCTACGCAAATTTTGAAAGTCGCTGGCGTTGTGAAAGCGAGACGAACGAAAACACTCGAGAAAGAAATTGCGGCTGGTGAACACGAGAAGGTACAAGGCGGTTACGGAAAATACCAGGGGACGTGGGTTAACTACCAACGAGGCGTCGACCTGTGTCGAGAGTACCACGTTGAAGAATCACTCCGCCCACTGCTGGAGTACGATATGAGCCCTGACGGCTCTGGAGCGCCTGCCCACGGATCGACGATAGATACACCCACCAAGGAACAAGCAATGGCCGCGCAGCGCAAGCGACTTTACAACGGAGGGGAGAATCGCAGTGCGTCGCAGCCGCAGCAGGGAACTTTCTTCCAGAATATCTCACGAACGGCTGCCACCGCTGTGAATGCCCTCAGCAAAGCGCGCTTCGACTCACCTAGCTCTAACAGTCGTCGGCCTAGCATGGCTCGCAAGCCCTCGCAGCAGATGAGCAGTCAGGAATCCGGGCTTGCGTTCAGCAGCCAGCAGAGCATGTACAGCATGTCCGACAGCGGGTTTGGCAGCCTACAAAATCGATACCAGGTACAAGATGACACTGATGATCTTGTGGAGCCTCCACGCAAACGCATGCGATCTACTTCGCATCATGGCCCACCTCTCACTCGAGAAACATCCAATCTATCCATGCACGAACCTACACCCACAGAACCTAACGAATCCTTTTATCAAGATATGGATCTTCCTCCCCCTCCCATGGATGATGGCTCGAAACGCGGCGTCGAGTCCCTGGCGCCTGCATCTACCCCAGAGAGATTCCAGAAGATGAAGCTCATTATGACATTGTTCCTCGATAAACGAACGAAAGACTTTACCAATCATCCGGCCTTGTTGCAGTTGACCGGGGATGATCTTGAAATTCCCCTTGATGAGTACCGGAACAACGCCCTGCACTGGGCTGCGATGCTTGCCCGCATGTCACTGCTCAATGCGCTAGTCGCCAAGGGTGTTAGTATATCGCGAGTCAACGGCGCCGGGGAAACGGCCCTACAAAAATCGGTGGGCACTCGGAACAATCTTGATTATCGAAGCTTTCCGCGTTTGCTGCAAGTGTTAGCCCCTACCATTGACATGGTTGATTACAGCGGACGTACCATCCTGCACCATATCGCCATGATGGCTGCGACTGGCGGCGGCGGACATGTATCTGCAAAGCATTACCTGGAAGCTCTTCTTGAGTTCATTGTACGGCATGGAGGCGTCGTTCCAAGTGCGAATGGAGACCATGCGCCAAACGGGATCCCTGGTGGTGAAGTTATCTCTTTGGGACGGTTCATCTCTGAGATTGTCAACCTCCGCGACGATCAGGGCGATACAGCCCTTAATCTGGCAGGGCGTGCGCGCTCAGTCCTTGTCCCGCAACTCCTGGAAGTGGGCGCCGATCCTCACATTCCAAACCATACTGGCCTCCGCCCTGCAGATTACGGTGTGGGTGTCGACATGGTCGATGGAAACTCTCAGTCTCAGCAACCGGCCAGCCGGAATGACACATTCATTGATCAATTGGCGAAGTCGAAGAAAGAGATTCTTGATGGTAAGTGTCTTCCCGCCAATTTAATCTTCATTTGTGCTAACATGAATTCTAGCGGCAATGTCCCAAATCAGCGCATTGGTCGAGGAAACACTTGGGGGAATTGACCGCGAGTTGGCTTCAAGCTTGACGCAAAAACAAGAAAGTTTCGATCACTGGCATACGAAGATCCGCGAGTCTGCCAAAGCTCGGCAGATCGAGCAGAAGCAGTATGATGAGCTCAGACGCAAGGGTTCTGAGCGCGTGGAGCTAGACCGGCGCATCAAAAATCTGGAGCGATCATCTGAGGGTCTGTTGGCAACAGTGAAGAACACACCAGGACTAGACGCGAGCAAGACGGTTGTTGTGGGTGATGCCGACAGAGATTCCGGTGTTGATGTCGCGACATTTGACGCCCTATTCCCCGAGGGTTTCGATCCAGCGTCCGGATTCTCAGAACAGCAAGTCGCCTTCCTGGCTTCATTACCAGCAACAGATCTACTTAGGCGCCAAACACAATGCTACAAAGAATTCAACGCAGGGATATTGGCTGAAGTTGATGGCCTGAAAGCAAAGAATGCAGTTCTTGGCCAGAACTACCGTCGCATGGTGATGGCATGCACGGGCTGGACAGCGGAGCAAGTAGATGAAGCCGCGGAGGGGCTCACACAGTGCGTCAAGGAACTGAATGATAATCCCGTCCCCGAGGACGAAGCCATTGAAATCCTGATGCGGGATCGCGGGCAGGACTGGTAGTCTAGTCTTGGATGTGTTGCATTATTCTCTGAGCGTTTGGGCGGCTTGTTTGGACGGCGTTCACTTGTATCCAAATACCCTGGTGGCATGCACCCATGCCCGTTGGCACATGTCTTGTTATTTATGAGAAATGCAATTCTTGTACACTTGATCAGCAGTCTTGGCTTGCATGCGTAGGCTAAATGTTGTGAAATTAGCCGGTTGAGCTACTGGGCTTGGTGGCTTGAAGCCCCCCTGTTAGTTGCCAAGCTGGATATTTACCCCATTCCCCGCGTTTTGCTTGCTGGATTTTTGCGTAAATAGCCTGCTACGGATAAGTATAAGTACTTATAGCCATGCGTAGCACCTCCTAACTCATCCTTCGTAGCTTTTGACAATTATCTTTACATTACTGAACCGACAATATGGCTACCGGCTTCCTGCACGTGAAGGGCAATACTGTCGTCGATGGGAATGGAGAGGGGGTTGTGATGCGAGGAGCTGCTCTTGGAGGATGGATGAAGTATGTAGACGATCAAATCGCTATAGTATTTTCCCGTCTCCTAACTGACATATCGTCTTGAAGTATGGAGAATTTCATCACAGGCTTCGCAGGCCACGAAGCCCAACATCGCGCGGCCATGCGTCGAGTACTGGGACAAGAGAAATACGAATTCTTCTTCGATAAATGGCTCGAGTACTTCTTTACTGAGGCAGATGCCAAATTCTTCGCCGAGCTGGGACTGAACTGTCTGCGCCTGCCTTTCAACTACCGCCACTTCGAGGACGATATGAATCCCCGCGTGCTGAAGGAATCAGGGTTCAAACACTTGGACCGAGTCGTCGACCTGGTCAGTGTTTTGCATACCCTTCTACGTGGAGTCGGTGGTGTCAGGAAATAAACTAATCATAATGGGCGTATAGTGCGCAGCACACGGGATCTATACTATCCTGGACATGCACGCCGTCCCCGGTGGCCAGAACCCAGATTGGCACTCCGACAATCCCACCGGCTATGCCGCATTTTGGGACTACAAGGACCACCAAGACCGGACTATCTGGCTCTGGGAGCAGATCGCCACCAGGTATAAGGATAATCCTTGGGTTGCTGGGTACAACCCGCTCAACGAGCCTTGTGATCCTGAGCACGTGCGTCTACCCGCATTTTATGCTCGTGTTGAGAAGGCAATTCGCAAAATTGACCCTGATCATATCCTGTGGCTGGATGGAAATACGTTTGCGATGGAGTGGAAGGGATTCGACGAGGTGTTGCCTAACTGCGTGTATGCCATGCATGATTACTCAGTGAGTTTCCCGTTCCTTTCTGAACTTGTGAGAACAGTGATCTAACGCGATATCATCTCTAGTCAATGGGTTTCCCCACCGGCGATCGCTACAAGGGTACAGATGAACAAAAAGAACGCCTTGAAAAGGTGTACCTACGAAAAGCGCAGTTCATGAGCGAGAACAAGACCCCTGTCTGGAACGGGGAGTTCGGGCCCGTCTATGCGGACCAGGTACTTGACGTCGATGCCGAGACTGTTAACCAGGAGCGATACAACCTCCTCGGCGACCAGCTGCGCATCTATGACAAGTATAACATCAGCTGGTCGATCTGGCTTTACAAGGACATTGGTCTGCAGGGTATGATCTATACTAATCCCGAGAGCAAGTGGAACAAGACGCTCAAGCCTTTCCTGGACAAGAAGAGGGACTTCTGGCTGGATAAATGGGGCCGTCGGCCTAGGGCTGAGCCTGAGGCGGCTTTGAAACCTTTGCTCGAGTGGATTGACCGTGTTAGTCCTACTGCGAAGGATACTTATCCCACATCGTGGAATACGGAGTTGCATGTCATGCGGAATGTGTTTTACACTTTCTTAGCGGCTTCGTTTGTGGATGAGTTCGCAGAATTGTTTAGAGGAAGCAGTGAGAATGATCTGGAAGAGTTGGCTAGGAGTTTCCACTTTGAGGGTTGTGTGCAGCGAGAGGGTTTGAATCGTATACTTAAAGACCACGCACACTCGTCTCATTGAGTCTGAGCGAGAGTCGGCTTGATATAGAATACTATAGTAAAATGGAATTCATGACTGATTCTGGTACTCTAGAGAGTTGAGAGAGGTTAGATTAATAATAGATGTGATGCTCTATAAGCAGAGTGTGGAAATAAGTTTCGTTCCTAGCAATCTCGTGACTTCGTCTCAAATACCACGCACTCCTGTTATCCACACACTATCGATAAGCAGAAAAATCGAAAAAGATCGCGGGGCACATTCTCGACTTCAAGATCATTAAAGGTTACTGGAGGGATTCGACATGGCTGAATCTCCTGTGTACCCGTCCAATCTGGACAGCATCTTTGATGCCGCATCTCCACTCAAAGACCGCATTGATCCCATCCGATTGACGTCTGACAACATCGTCCCGATCTTCAACCTGCCCCTCAGTCACAAGGTGCTGGGCCACGATGCCTCAAAAGAGTCTCTTGCACAGGTTGCAAGCGGCGAGATCTCATATACCACCTTCGTTGCCGACCAGGCCCGCGCCGCCCTCCAGTCTACCGATGACTTGACCACCGAACAAAAACAATCGCAACTCCTGCACCTTGGACTAGCAGCCTTGTTCGGCTTCCTGCAGTCTAACGTCACCGGTCCTCCCCTCGAATTCAGCTCGTCCGAAGTTGTGTTGCCATCTATTCTGCGATCCGAACCCACAACCCTCAAAGCCGTGCGGGCAAAGATCATCCGTGACCTAACCCTGGATGGAGAATATGCCTACAAGCTCACACCCAACCCGGAATTGTTCGCTGTCGCCAAAGCTCTGTTGGCCGATGCTAGCAGCGATGGACCGCTTGTCACAAAGACCGCGCGTATGCGTACCAACTTCCTTCACCAAAAGATGCTCTCGGAGGTCACGAGTACGCTCCAAGATGTGATCTACAAGGATGTTGAGATCCTGGACAAGGCTGAGTTGAACTCAGACGAGCGGAGTCGGTTCCTGCTGGAAAGGGCCACTATCCACACACACCATGGATTCGATGCCAAGGCACGGGAAGATATTGACCAGGCGGCTAAGGTGCGGAGGTTCGAGTTTGCGTTGACCGGAAAGATGGGCAAGCGCACGAAATTCCAAGACCGTGATACCAGTCAGCTGGTCGTGTTGGCTAAGAGTGCCGATGAGACGTCACAATCTTCGGAGGCTTCTGGGCCTAAGAACCTCAACTTGGACGACGACACCCTTCTTGAGGCTATCTCTTTCTCTGACCAAAATCCCGACGAACAATCCCTGGCAATCCAAGATAAGGTTTCCCCGGCTTTGGATGCTCTTGATGCCAACAACCAGCCCATTCTTAACCCCGTTGACTCTGCTCTCCTACTCGCACTGGCATCTGCCATTACTAACACCTCGCCTGAGAACGGCCTCACCCGAGAGGAAACAAACCCCTACGCCACTCGAGTTCTCGATGGCGGCAGCTCCAACTGGCAGATCTATACCCAAGCACTTCTGGTCCGCAGTCGAGTAGAGGGTTACCGTTCTCGTACCGTTGAGAGAGCTGTGCTGCAGATGCAGGCTTTGGTGGATCAGGTCATTGCGGACACCGCAACTAGCGATGATGCAGCCCAGAACGAATCAGGCGAACCTACGACTTTCCTGCCACGCCCTGAGCAGTCTGAGTCTGCCCCAGCCGCTGACCGACTCGAGCACATTTGGATTCTAAACTTCTCAACACGCTGGAGCCTCGAGGCCGAGCTTGCCAAGCGCTGGGTTGATCTCGGTGGTCTGCGCACTGCACTCGAGATTTACGAGAGACTACACATGTGGGCCGAGGCCGCACTTTGCTATGCCGCCACCGAGCGCGAAAGCAAGGCGAAGAACCTCATCCGCCGTCAGCTTTATCAGGCCACAGGCCCAGATGAAAATGACGAAAACGAGCAATTCGATGGACCAGAGCGGTCACCACTACCAGCCGATGCACCACGCCTGCTCTGTATCATGGGAGATATCGACAAGGACGAAAAGATGTATGAGCGCGCCTGGGAGGTCTCTGGTGAGCGATACGCCCGCGCCCAGCGGTCCCTAGCCCGCCACTATCTCACCTCGACACCACCGCAATTGGAAAATGCCGAGATAGCTTATAAGAAGAGTCTGCACATCAACCGTCTGAACCAGGGTGCATGGTTCGCTCTCGGTTGCGTGCAGCTCGAGCTCCAGAAATGGCAAGAAGCCACCGACACCTTCACCCGCACCGTCCAACTCGACGACACCGACGGCCAGGCCTGGAGTAACCTTGCCGCCGCGATGCTGCGCATGCCCGACACAGAGCCTGCCCCAGAGGTGATCGATGAGACCACCGGCGAGGTCTCTACTGCCGAAGTCGACCCCCACAGACGCAAGCGCGAGGCCCTCTCAGCGCTCCAACGCGCAGCGCAACTCAAGGGCACCGACGCCCGCATTTGGGACAACGTTCTGACAGTCGCAGCGTCAATCCCGCCGCCGGCAACACCCTTCCGCGATGTGATCACCGCGCAGAAGCGCATTATCGAGCTCTCTGGTACGAAGAAGGGCGAGAAGTGCATTGACGTGGCGATTCTGGGCATGCTCGTTGATTTCCTGAACGTGGCGTTCGAGTACGAGAAGTTGCTTATCCGCTCTGACGATCCATCCGAAGCCCCGATTGTTCGCACCGGTACCATTCCCGGTCAGATCATCTCGCTGGTTGATCAGAATGTCGTCCCGCTTATCACGCACTCTTCGGTCCTGTGGCAAATTGTTGCTCGCGTTGAAGTCTTCCGTGGTCGACCTTCCAAGGCATTCGAGTGTCATGAGAAGGCGTGGCGTGCTACTGTTGCTGCTAATGCTCAGGGTGCTTTCCAGATGGGTGACGAGAAGCCCTGGCTCGAGGTTGTTCGGGCTACGGAGAAGCTTGTGAGAGATGGGTACGCTAAGTTTGGTCCTATGGACCATGAAGATCAGAAGGTTGAGGGTGATCAAGAGGCTCAGCTTGTTGCGAAGGACTGGCGGTTCAAGTCCCGTAGTGCCGTGAGAGGAATTATGGGTAAGGGCAAGGACTTCTGGGATGGCACGGAAGGCTGGGACCGCTTGAAGCAGTTGCAGTCTGAAGTTACGGGCAATTAGTACATACAAGCCTTGATGCTGTTTATGAATCATAGAGATTAGCTTGCCGTGCAAATGTTTACAAAAGTCGTGTACCAAGTTCAACATTATCCAAATCTGCTCGTGTTGATTGATAAATCGAAGATATCCAAACCCGTGTATAGTTCGAGTCATTAGCCCATGGGAATTATTTTGATTCCAACTTCCTCTTCATCATCCCACAGAAGCTCTCGAACAAAACGGTGTCGGTCCCCTGCGCCCAGCGGACTAAAACCTTCACCTCTTTCTCATCCGGTTTCTGCCCCCGGACCAGCCGTATCTGCAGACGCACTCCTAGCGCCACCTGGGCCGGAATCACCTTTAATTTCGCCGCACCCTCCCCGGCAAGTTTCATCTTCCGGCGGGCGAATCTCGACCACACATTCTCAGCAGCGAATCCAGTCCCCGCAGAACGAGACTGATCCCAACACCAAAACCAAGGCAACGATTCGAGTTCTGCATTTATCGCAGCAGTTGCTGTGTCAATTGATATGTCAGGTGGTAGCGTAAATGTGTAATCTGAAGGGAAAGGCAAATGACTCTTCGGGCAGCCGGGGATTCCACGCGCAACATTCTAGACCAGCAGTTAGACATGGCACATATGACACAAGCTTGAAGTGAGTAAAATGTGATAAAGTATAACTTACCATGGCAGGCCGTCTGTCTCCCCATGACCACGCCACGGCCCAGCGCTTCGTCTTGCTTCCCTGCTCGAACTCGGTGACTGCAAAATTGTGGTTCTCATGCTTAAGCAGGGTCTCCACGAGTACGTTGATGCTGCTTAATTTTCCGAGCATGGATGTGTACCACTGGATGCGGTCGCGCAGCTGGAGACTCTCGTCGATCATTTTCTTCACGAAAGCTACTTCTCCGCCATTGGTCACCATTTCCACTTCGGCGCCAGTGCAAACCTTCATATAGTTTAGTACGGCAAGGTGAGGGGGTGAAATATGGTGAGAAGTAAACAGCCATTGACACTCACCGAAAAGGGGTCTCGTTCCTTCTGCTCAGCAGATTTGTTCAGCTCATAGGATGAGGTGTAAAATGGTGGGTTGCACATGGTGAAGTCGAGGCTGGCGGACAGTCAGGTAAGATTCTAGCAAGTTTAAAACTAGAGAGACTCACGTCTGACAGCCTAGCTTCTCTAACGGGAAGAGAGGTCCGTCTGGGTCAGAGTCTACGATCCGAATTCGTGATTCGAGGTTGTTAAGCGCCACGTTATGCTGGGAGGTGCGAATATTGTTCGAGTCAATGTCTGTCGGGTCGATCAGTGGATGCTGAAGATCCTCGCCCTTAAGAACGTACCTGTTGCTACAAAGTTCCACCGCGGCCGTGTCGCACAGCCCAGCAGGGGATAGATACCGATGCATCCCGTTCCGCTTCACTTTGTCAGATATGATTCAGAGATTGGATGGACTCGTTACGTACATGTCGAGGCCGACGACCTCCCGGTATCGGTCATACCCCTCATGCAGTCCTCCAGCGCTGGAGTCGATGAGGTCTTGCAGCCAGAGGATGTAGTTGAGTCTATATTACATGTCAGACACATGCGTGTAAGGCCCAAGCCGTCATTGGGGACGACATACCTATTTGGTACCTAAAAATCAAGTCAATACATATACATAAGATACAGGTTTAGTATCTACATACCGGTGGACACAGTCGATTCTCGGGGATCTCAACTTTCAGGTGAAAATCTTGCTGCAAGAGGGTGGTGGTGAGTTGTCTGCATGACGCAAATTAGATCCACTCTCGGGATGTCAAACAGACAGTACTCCGACTTACCGGACAGCGGCTGGATCAGTAAAGTTCAGTTGGCCGTTTGGTGTCAAGCTGGACTAGATTAGTATTCTCTTTCTGTCTGAGAAGCGGTGGTTTCACGTACTGCTTGGCGAAATCGCGCGATTGCAGCGCCAAGGCTGCAAAATCGATGTCATTTTTGTAGAGGCTTCGCGCAGATTCCATGGTCGGTACTGAGACTACTCTGTAGAGGTACTCAGGACTTGCGATTATTAAAATTGGAATGTGGTTGGTTACAAAGAAAGCAAAGTCCAAGGCGCAAGAGGGAAGTTGATGTTGGCAAGTGGCTACGGAGGACGAGTGCGGCCATGTGGAACTTTCCCCGACGTTTGCTCAAAAGTCTAGCATCATTAGTGGGTGGACTAATTGTTTCCCTTCTTAATCGAATCAATCTACGCCGGGAATCCTCTTGGAATCTTGGGATCCAGTCTAGATAAAGCTGAAGCTAGAGGGCCCCCATTAAGATCCCACTGTGTATCGCTAGATCTTAACAATGGATCTTCAAAGGCAGAATGTAGTTCTCGTGACAGGTAGAACAAATTAATTTCCGAGGCGGATCACAAACATAGCTAGATAATTATACTAAGGTAATTTAGCACGAATGAATTACAGGAAAAAAAAAGTGTTGATAGTCGGTCACAATGTTAGCACCCCGGTCACTCCGTCGAGCACGGTGATTCTACGTGCCAACAACCCAGTCAAGATCTTCTTGCTTCTGGCTAGGCTGCTGATTTGGTCCGGTTTGCTTTTCCTGGTGGTGTGGCCATCCCCAATGGCGGTGTTGCTTCGGAGGCACAGCATTATCTGTATGATATTGTTATGATATATCAGACACAAAGACGGTCAAGTGAGATCGTACCACTTGGTACACCAGCAAAAGCCTCATTAACGTGAGATCCAGGCTGAGTAGACTCGGGCTTTTGATTTAGTTGCTCTTTCTCAAGAGGCTTTGCTGCGCTAGGGGGATCAGGGGATTTGGGTACATCCACTGATTCGGTTGAGCTTCGGCGACGGTGGAACGCATCAGATGCTCTGCGGACGAAGTCTGACATGGTGAATATAATTTTTTCTGATCAAACTTATTCGAATGGTTTGATAATATTTGGTGTATGCTAATTACAAGGATTTTGCTCACCAAAGCCTTCTCTATATAGCTGAGCTATAGTAAGGCAAATGACGTCATATGGTATAAGTATGAACATCTTGTGATCACTTTGTCATGATGTTACAGATAAAACTAATGGCTCGCCACTATGGTTATTAAGTATAACGAACGGTGGATGAGGTCATGACGTGCGATAATCCCAGTGCAAAAGAGTCATAAATCATGTTCCGTGGTAATTTGCCTCGCACGTGAGCTTCGTATTTTTATATCACTTGAGATAGAGGAGTTCCAAGAACCATGGAAACTAAAGGTAACTAAGCTTTCGGTGATTTGTTTATTGGACGCAATTATATATTGGAAGCCAGAACCCTAGGCAGAGTATTCAAGCTTAACAAATAAGATAAAACCCAACGTAGAGCTTTTAGAGCATTTGGACACTACCACTTGGCCGGCATTTCCATCTTCATCCTATCGGATGTGGATGAGAAAAGTATTATCCTTGAAGGCTAGCGCACCAGTTTTAGCTCATTTGCCTCTTTCTCTCTGTTGGGAGTCTAGTTTTGTACCCAACTTCGCGAGTAAACGACGTCAAAAAAACCATAAAATGCCCATGATATTGCACCTAGAATAAACCCTAATTTACTAAAGTTTCTTGAGGGGAAGCCATGGAGAAAGAGAGAGCAATACAATGTATGGTACTATCTGGACTGACGGACTCGGAGGAAATGAAGAGAATGGAAGAGGTGCTAGGACCTATTTTATGAAATATTCAGCGAACAGGGTCCTGAGCAGCCTCATATAGAGGTGACATCCCAATCGGGCAAGTCGCACATAAAATCCGGTACATAAAGGTACTTTTGCTAAACCAAAATCGTCAAGTCGTGATGGGCTTCCGTGCCCAACTATGTACAAGGTCTTCCCCCTTATATTTCCAATTGCACCATTTTTAGCCGTCTTCTTTCAGACCGAGTTTTCCTTCTTTTCAATGCGCTCTTGGCGTTCGAGACGCCATCCATATCCCCACTTCATCTCAACCATGAGAAGAGGGACCATCGCAATGGTAACTCCGGCGAGCATGAGAAATGCAAACTCGGCAGTGAGAGCATCGATGATAGGCTGAATAGCCGCAACACCAGCAGCACCAATCAAACATCTCATCAAGTTGTTGACTGCGGTTGCGCTGGCGCTGGCACCGGGGTACAAGTCGATGACGAGGGCGCTATTGATGGTGAAGATAGCCGTCGAGCCATAGGCGATGATAAACTGCAGGATAATCGGGACTGCAAGGTGTGTGCGGAGGGACACTCCGTAGACAGCGACACAGACAATGAAAATAGCAGTGATCCACCAAGTGTTGCGCATGCGGGCGTACTCGATGGGAAAGTCGGGGTGGCTCTTTGAGTTGATGCGAGTATCGACAGGGAGATTGTGCTGCTGGCAGTATTCGTGTTCCGTTCGTTTATGGTTGAAGTCCATTAGGTATCCGATGGTGTAGGAGCCGGTCATGCATCCGAAACCATTGCCGAGGAAGGTTAGGCCGACTTCTAGTGAGTTCAAGCCATATTTTTCTTCGAAGAGGGCGGATGTGGAGGATGTTACCATCGACCAGACTGTGTATACCATGCTGCCGAACAACAGGGTGATAAAGACATCCTTCTCGGCTAGGAAGGTGAGGGGTGCTAGCACAGTCTTCAAGGTCACCTTGACCTTCTTTCCGGAGGGGGTGGAGTCTTCTTGTGCGTTCTTCTGCCCGCATATGTAGTAGAGGATTGGCTTGTGGATGCCTTTCAGGGGAACGGTGCCGTTGCCAGCGATAGATCGGAGGGTCTCGGGGAGGAAGAACACGATAGAGAAAAGACTGATTCCGGATGCAATAGTCAAGAACCAGAAGATAGACCGGAACCCAAGGTACTGAGAGAGGATTCCGCCGAATACTGGTCCAATTCCCTGGCCCAACATGCGGACTGGATAATGTTAGATTGGAACATAGCACATCTGAGTATCGGATTACTCACCACCACCAAAGATTCCAATCAGACTGCCTCGCTCCGATGAAGTGGTGATATCACCAATCACACCAGCACCTAGACAAGTTAGTCAAGACACAAAATAGGGAAGACTTATGTATCATACCAATTGAGATAGTGGCTGCACTTCCAGCAGCCTGTAGTGCTCGGAAAGCCATAAGTTCACCATAGTTGGTAGAAACAGCCAAAGCAATGTTCGAAATAATGTAGACAGCAAATGTTCCAATGAAAATCACACGACGGCCGAAAACATCTGAGAAAGAACCCCAAAAGCTCGGGGCGAGACCTTGAACAATCATGTATACGGTGATGGTTAAGCTAGCTAAAGACATTGAGATATTGAGTTCCTGTATTGACGTTAGCAAAAAGTGGCAAAACATATGACACGAGTCGACTAACCTCTGCAACGTCTGTAAGCGCAGGGAAGTAAATGTTTGAAGATAGCGGGGAGAAGATGGCAGCCAGGGAGACGATAATGACCATCAACAACTTGCGAGACCGAGGGAACACATGATATGATGGTGATACCGGGGCTTGGCTTTCGAGCTTAATTGACTCTGCTGGTGTTGATGGTATCGAGAGGTCTTTCTCGTCCCGAGGCGAGAGATTAGGGCTCGAGTTGACCGAGTTGTCAATAACCTCAGGGTTCCTGAGAGTTTCTGTTGAACTGAACTGGGACAAAGTCATGATGTAAAATTATTATAGAATATCAGGACAAGTCTGGATATACCAGCAGACACAGGCTATTGACAATAGAAGAGAAATTATGGCTTCATTCGGCCCAGGCAGCTTTAGATATCTAGAGAGATCAACGATGGAATGGAGGCACCCTTTTGTATTTCACCCTTTATTTCAATTCCAAAAATATACCCCTATAGCGCCTAATCAAAAATACAAACAAAATATAGGGCAGGCCCATGCATCTGAGAGTCAACTAAACGTGCTCCACAGTGGGTTCGACCAGGGGGATCACTATACTATCCCCTTGATGGTAGAGAGCGACACAGACAGGACAAATCTGGTAAAACCGAGGTCGCTCAATTCGACGTGTACGGGTCATGATCCGCATTTGGGATACTCAAGGTTCTAGCTTAGAATTCCCACCCGTTATAGCATGGCTTATTTCTCTGGTGCGGGCTGGCTGAGTGTCTATTGTATCATGTCTACGCCTCCACGGCTGACGTCTGCCCCAGGGAAAGCACATTCCCGGGCTCCTCATGAGCGATTCAGGGCCTGACTTACTACGGGTGAATAGTGCTAGTACCTAAAACGGTAGATAGATGCCAATACCCACTCTGGAATTCCATCCGGTCTTCATACACGCGTGTACAATGAAATCCGATCTGCACAGCATGTGCAGCCCACAGGCCCGATTTCACCCTCAAGATTTACAATCGGAGAAAGCATCTCGAGAAAAGTCTGTTCAACACCTACATATGCTCACTCGGCTCGGCTCCGAAGCATCTTTCGTGTCCTAAAAGTCCCGAAAGTCTACAGGATCAGGATGTATGATAAGCTGGTTAACCAATCCACTAATAGCCTCCAATCCATGTCTTGCCAAAGCGGATACATATCTCTGAAATCTGATTTCTGTTTCAGGGTCTCATTTTCTCCACGTGTGAATACCAGCCCTTATGATAACTATCCGTCAAGCAAATGCCAAGCTTCGTCATTTGTCCTGGACAATATTGATCCAGAGGAGATTATTGGACAGGATATACCATTGACTTACGTGTGCATTCCCCCTTGGTAGATCTGTATAGGGGATGTTGGCCCTTGCTGCTCACAAGTCACCAATCGGAACCCGCAAAGGGGGGGGATTGGGCTCTCCATACAGAGTTTAGCATCACATTTAATGATGGACTATGATTCCAGATACATGATACCTGCAGGCTATTCACCAATGTAGCTATATTGCCAGATATGGATAGGAGAAAGAATGCGTCTAAGACTTTCTTTCGGGACAAAGTTTGCGCTAGAAAGAAGAGGATCGACAGATTGAACGGCTTCTATGGAGTACGACGTAGGTACTACATACATGCGTACTATATACTATGCACAAATGGTGTCAATCTTTGTGTCGATCGGACCCACAAAACGCCCCCTGTGCAAGCCTTTGAATATTCTTTTACATATAGCTTGGTGGAACGCACATTTAATCTTTGTATCTGACTCCACTGATGCACCACGCGCAACACCCCTAGAATTCCCAGCGGAGCCGCCAAGATCTCGTCATCGACTACGATTGATCAGTAACTTGCACATCGTTTCGCAATTGAGCGTCTGTTTTACACTTTCGGGGTGTTTTTCTGTCTCTGATCCTGCCGATAACTCGGTTAAGGCTGGCCAGGGCTGTCTACCCTATAAGGCTGTAGTTTTCCATAGCAACTTGATAGACCTCAATCTTGATGCCCAATGCCAAGCTTCTAGTTTCACAGCGAGAACGGTCCCGTATCAACCTAACCGCCACACCCAGAGCATGCCGATCCTCGGGCACCCGATACCGTCTCCGTTACGGCGTAGTGCACGTTGGATGGTTTCATTCGTAGATTGGCCCGACATCACAACCGATAAAGATGCAATACCCCCACTTCTAAGCAATATAGGGGTCTGGCCCCCTCGGCTGGAGTAGGGTTCCAGCTTTTATTTCCAAGCCTTCCGAGTCGTATCATACATTTTGTACGTTGAACTAGGTCTTGGGTGAACTTGGGCCAAACTTATCGTGGTGATAAACTTCCGGGCGTGGCTAGATCTAGCAAGGTACCCGTTTACGTTGTAACGAGGATCTTCCTAAAGAATATCCAAATCTGCTCGGTACATAGATCTCGGCCCCACAGCCGCAACGGAGTTGAGAAGCGTCTTTGGTGAGAAAAGAATTAATCTATACAATGAATATACGCCTAAGAACTTCATGTGATTGAAAACATGCTCAATCGCGAATCACATTTGTTGACGCCATCTCTAGCACCGCATATCTCTCAATACAAGTTTTTGATTCTTCTTTCCTAGTTGTCTTGTAAACAGTTGGATTTTATTTTACGTATTCTCTCAAAATGCCTTGAAACAATAGTTTCTACCCACTTTGGCTTTTAAATCTGGTAGATCAAGTGGATCCCCCTGATAGTATGATAATTCTCATTTGAAACGCAGTCTGCGGAGTATTCATATGGAGCTACTCCGCAGCGATAGTAGCAAAGAAAGCAAATATTGTCATTTCAAATCCATCGGTGTTACGAGCATATGAGGCTGTGTCTGATCTATCTGGCCTGGTGCTTCAATAAACAAGCGCATTGACCAGGGGATTTGCAGATCCGACCTAGCCCCTGGCTTTCCCGACAGATTCTGCCACAAGGACTTAACACAGACAAGCAACATAATGTCAAGGATTCCAGAGAGTGGGAAGAATGTAAGGTTGTTTAGTTTACAGCAAAAGACACCCCGACATGTCGTCATCGGATGAAGCGACGTCCTTAGGATCCTCTACCAAACCGCCGATCATTCTATCATTCTTCAATCGCCTGAATGTCTCATTAGCAGAAACGTTAAAAGCGCCCCTCGAAATTAAAGCCTCGCCCTCTCGTTTTTGTGCTACCTAATATAATAGGACTGCTTGGCATGATGTTGTTGGGCCCAGAACAAAACTCTAGATAGGGCCCTGTGCACCGACACGCGGTATCCCGAATTCATATCCCGAAAGTCGGCCCTACAGGGCCCCTCGGAAGGCCATTGATTGTCGACATATGGAGCTCGTGTGTGTATCCGGCCATGTCGTGAGTTGTTCTCGGAAAGCATAATTTGATAGCGCTGTGGTGTGTGTGGAGATGATCTCGCACGATAATGACCGGGCCAGGTTGTTGATTCGAAGTACGGAGTATATTATATTGTACATTGAGCGAATTATGTTTTCGGCTGCATACATATTCCTCTCGTGTAAGTTTGACTCGTTGGTATCGTTTGATCAAGGTCTTGAGACCTTGGCGTCGCGAAAGTGAGTACTTGGCGCTGCACCTCTCGGAGTATTTATAAACTCAGGATCCTTGCGGAGTATTTACAAACTCAGGATGTGTCCAGAGGGTTACATTGATGCAGGTGAAACAAATCCCTTGTTTTTACGATATCTATCTACATATGTACCGGATAATGACTGGCACTCAAAACCTTTCCCTTTCCGTTTTAGTGCTCACCTCTTGCCACTTTTCGATCACTGAGTAAAACTGAGCACGCCCCTGAGTATTCTGACTTGATCACGTGCCATTACATAATCAGCCCGATCCACTCACTGATCATCATCTGAGCACTCTGATTTGCTCACTGAGTGCTCGCTGAGTATAGGGTTAAGCGGCATGAGCAAGCTACATCAATAAAATGCGACACGCTAATCCCATCACGTGCAACCATTCCCATGCCCATCAAAAAAGGACGGGCGCAATCAACGTGACCGTTCGTCCTAGCGGTCTCGATCCTATCTAAGTAAAAAATCTCACAGTGGGGCTATTCAATTGACCCGCCATTTTACTATTTCAGCCTATGTTCCTAGGAATACCCCTCGGAATACTTCGCTTACCAGTCCGGCGATCCCCTAATCGGGCTTTGGACAGTAGAGACTTCTAGAGTAGCTATTAATAAGAATAATAACTATAATCTTAATACTACTTATATATCCTAAAACTAGCTATTAGAAGAGTTTATAAAACTAGATAATAATAAGATTATATAATATCTTATTCGTAGAATTAAGCGATAGAAACATCGAGAGACGAAGCAGCACATCTCTATGTATTATTCGCTCTCGTACGCTGTATCCTCCTTTGAGCCAAGAATGGATAGTGCTTCACAAATGTTCTTTGACAAGCTTGATCGCCGGTTTGTGCCCACCGGAGCACAGTTCGATGTGACGCAGTGGATGAAATCTCTATCCTACGATACAATGGGCTTGATGACATTCTCCCGGCCATATGGCTACGCTCAGCATGGGAGAGACTTACACGGCATCATGGACGACGTGAACAGGGCAAACCTGATTATCGGACCCGTAAGTTATACATGACGAAGGACTTTGACAGAGAGCAAGACTCAACTATTTGCAGATGACGCAGATACCATGGCTCGATTGGCTCTTGCATAAGAACTGGGTAGCAAATCTTTTCAAACGCGAAGCCATTGCCCTCTGCTGGACTACGTCTTGGCGAGTATTTCAGAGCGTCAGGAAGAACATCGGAAAAGTCCCAAATCGCCCTCCAATGCAAACGTCGACGGACCCATTGCCGACTGTGACTTCCTCGGGTATTACCACAATGCCCAGGAGAGAAAGGATAATGTGCCACTTCGATTTGTGTCAACCTGGACTTTTGACAATATTCTTGGAGGGGCCGACTCCACGGCTTCCATGCTTCGATCTGTGGTCACCCTGACGCACTGGAAACGGTACGGGCCGAGCTGCGAGATAAGCAACGCACTGCCACCGGGCTCACTCTACCTTTCCCGCAATGGCATGAGCTGCAGAACCTCCCCTTCCTCGACGCCTGCATTAAAGAGTCACTCCGGCTTGACGCTCCATTTGCTATGCCTCTTGAACGAGTAGTTCCGGCGGAGGGAGCCACAATCTGTGGTCACTTTTACCCTGGAGGCACCGTGGTTGGCATGAGTCCATATATTACTAACCGCTATAAGCCGACATGGGGTGTTGATGCGGATCAGTGGCGTCCCAGTCGCTTGTTGGAAGGCGAACCGTCGCATACCAGAAAGCTTGAAGCCAGTCTGCTTAGTGTAAGTCACGTTTGGCCGACTTGCCGGGTACGTTCAATGTCTGATTGTACTAGTTCGGGGCCGGGACGCGAGGTTGTCTGGGCCAGCACGTCGCCCTTTTTGAAATCCATACTACTGGGTCGTATACCCAGAGAGCGTGCAGGCCACGGTCAGAAAACTTGAGTTCAAACAGTAGGTAGGACATGTCCCAGAGAAGAGCTACAAACACTGCATATCGTCAGATTTATCGAGACGCTCCTTCCCTGTCAACCGCAATACCTGCGGCTGCGAAGATTGCCGCAATCGCCGGTTTAACCGGATGACTCCGATGGAGGAAGGCTGGCCTGAATTGTAAGTAAGGAGTACACTTAAGCATTAACATGAAACAGATATAAAAGCCATTTACTTGCATTTTATAAAACATACATACCAAGGTCTGAACACGGCGAAATCCTCTATCTGAAATTGCCTGGCAATGGAAACGACTAACATTGGATCTAGAGTTCGATGAGCCGTCAATGCCGAAAGTCAAGTTTTTTCAGTGTTTCTTTACTTTTCTTTCACTTTTTCATTCACTTTTTTATTACTTTTTTATACTTTTTATTCACCTTTCTCTTACTTTTATTTTGACTTCTATAGTCTTTCTTTCATTCTTACCCTTACTTGTACATAGCGTTAAGTCCACTAGTCCAGGTTACCTTTGTACCATAGTGAGACCAATTGTGATAAGGGTCACATAAACCACTGTTAACCGTACTGGTAAACACTTTATATTTTGGGGATTGATAGTAGCTACCCGTTTATGTTATAGAGTAATATTCGGTCTAGTAAAGTATACAACCCTCGAGGAAGTAAAACCGTGGTGTAGCCGTAATCCGGACTAGAGGATGTCCTGCTATGTAGGCATCTCACTACCTAGGTAGGGTTCGTCTTTGACGATGTTGGATAATGTCACGTTTTGCTTGGTTCCCGTAGCATGGCAGTGCCCTCTCTCCTTTCATGAAGGAGAAAGAAAAGACATCAGTATTCACATCATGCGTTCTGATGTGTCTGTTTGCCGCCACTTCTGATAGATAGATAGGTTCGTTATTACGTGTGTGTCACTCAAATTTCTGTCTTAGAGAGTTGCAGAAACCTATGTATGTTCTGCTCACCACTGGCTTCAATTTTATATACCCGTCATCCTGACGATTGCTCTCATGATAATACTAGCCCACGGCCGGTTCCTTTCTTAGGCCCGGCGATTTGACTTTTAGCCGATATCCCTGGAAATGTCTCCACTGCAATTAGGACTCAACAGGTAATCTGTTCGATTTCACATCAACCTCCAATCCGAAGGTCCTTTAGCAGACCCAACATCCCAACATTCTTGAGTAAAACGATATTTCAAGATGCGCTACTACATGTGGGGTGACAAATCCGACGAAGAGCTTGATCTAGAAAGCTCTGGAGATATATGTCTTCTTCAAAGATACCGATACGCTACCTTCACCGACGAAGATAATCCATCCATGTGCCCCATTAACCTAAGGGGGCTATTGCAGACAGAAGTTGCACTTCGGGAGAATACTCAACGCGAGATAGCCTTGAAAGAGAAAATAGGGCATCTCTCTAAGGAAGACACATACGTGACTGTTCTTCAGGACTTACAGGAGGAATTGTCGACACTTTCGACGGAATATTGGACCTTAGAACGACGTTGGTGGGAGATTAGGTCTTCGTATGACGACGGCCCGCTGACCAGAGGTATCGATTTCTGGCGCTCACAGCCAAAATGGTACATGCATCAAGTACTTGTGGAAGATTGCATAGGGAGAGGAGGCTGTTGTGGCAGAGACTGTGGATGCTGTTCTCATCGCCAGTCAGAACGGAAATTTGCAGTTGGTCATTGTACCGTGGAATGTTCTTGTTGCGAGAGAGCCCGGGGGTTTGCACTCGACCCTGAGCAGAAATCCCAAATCCGGGAGTCCTTCAAACTTGATTACAAATCTATCCGTGCATGGTATTACAATCGAATAAAGACCGCTTCTCTGCTAGGGTTGATGGCCGGTAGTTGCGAAAACCCTTTGGATCTCATCGTTGACTTGCCGCCAAGATATGCAACTCCCTCTGAGGAATCACAAGGGAGCAACTGGAAGAACTATTTGCGGAGATCTTCACGCTAACGTTGTCCGAGAGGAAGAGCCGGTCAGCTGCTTCAGAAAGTCATACTTGCTGTTACTGTTCCCAGTTTTGTGTCGCTGTTATACTAGAAGGACGAGCTGTCCATGGATATAGTGGAGAAAGAAGGAGAAAGTGGGAGTAGGAGGTTGAAGAGATATATACCTGTCATCATTGCTCTACCTAGCTAGCTTTGCTTGCAGTGGAAAGTATAGCCACCCAATTCGATTCGACACCTCCATCGCTGCCGTAGGTGTCTCTCGCGTAGTTCCAAGGCCACATGGAGCTTACTTGAGTTCATCTCCCGTTGTTCCTCGCCCCAAAATGCCTTGGTCCCATGAGCTTGCGCAGTGAGGCCGCCATTGCGGCTGAGTCTGGATTATTCAATGAGCAGAAGCAGACAGTCTAAATGGGGGTTCGATCTCGGCGTCTTCATCATATGAGTAGTCACAGCCAAGTCACAGCCAAGTCACAGCCAAGTCACAGCCAACGCGAGCGGTGCTAGACTCAGCCAGAACACGAGATAGCCCTCGCCAACGCTCGTTGTGCCGAGTCCCTCTTGTCCCACGCTCGTCTTGGCTAACTGGAGTGTGTCCAGGATTGACCGCGGCTTTGTCAGGAATGAAATGAAACGGGTTTGCGCAGGTGGCCAAAAGGCGTCCGAATCCGGGGCAGATAGCCAACGATTGAGACCATGACTACAGCCTAAAAGAAGAAGAACGTTATAAAGAGGAAGCCTGGAGACTAAAGACCAGATCATCAATATGCCACTCCTGTTTCTTGAAAAGTCGCACACATATTCTACATCGGTGTCTGCGTACAGACCGCCGCCAACACACGTTGCAATTCTCCCACCTTCTCTAGGAGCTGCGCATTGGACCCTGCACATAGGTTCTTCTCTCCCCGCATATTCTCAGCACCCTGGACCCGTCGATCAAGACCCTAGCATACCTGATGTAAATTTTGCAATTGACACAATAACAGCTGAGCCATCATCTTCGTTTCCGTTGTGCGGGAAATATTCAATGTCCCAACGCTGAACGGAATGGTCAATGGGACGGTATACACTGAATCTCCCGTGCCATCGACCTGTGGCGAGAGCATAAGCTGATCACCTGACCCACTGTCCGAACGATTATTGGGTTCGAGTGGCGGACGCGTGGGGTTAGCGTCCTGTTGTGCCGAAGGTGCAGAAGAGAACAGGACGCCGAGACGGGTCTTTTATGTCGGCATTGAAGGTTGGTTGACAGCGTATTGGGGCGCTAAACCCAAAAAGGCAAAACTAATCCGATGTAGTGATTCACAGGTCCGCCGTTTACAGTATGAATATATCCATGTAGATACTAAGACAGACTTCTCCCCTATCCATTATCAGTTGATTGATCTCTTGGTATTCCGTGCTTGGGAGCCAAAGATGCCAGCTTTGCTTTCTCCAAGGAATTGGCTTGAAGAATTTCGACTAGACTCTGGCCTTCTACATAATGCTCATTTGTTCGTCCGGAAACACAAATTGTCGAGTCTAAACACATTCCTTGTATATGGTGTGAATGCAGACAGATATGTCGCTTCATAGAAGACAAAAGGAGATAACACCCTGAAACGGACGGAGTTCTCCGCTCTATCCTACGCCCCTTGGTCATGACGTATTTTCTTGGTGAGATATAGTGCTTAAAAAAATGAGGGCAGCAGCAATACTATCAACGAACTAACTATCACAGTATAAATGGCCCTATGTATCCTTTCTAGGTATAGTCTGCGGCGGGCTGAGTGCGTCAGTGTTGCTCACTGATTGGACACTGAGCATCACTGAGTAATCAGAGAGCATCCAATGATCACTCACTGAGCATCAGTGATTATACACGTGACTGATCTGAGCATGATCACTGATCTGAGCCCGTGCTGACATCTACTCAGTGAGCCTGAGCCTGAGCACCCTCATAAAAGCGGCGGCAGCTCAAATAGGAAAGCCCTACCCGCTAGGGAAAATCCGGTACGTATAGGTACATATGTAAATTTCCGAGCCATGATGACTTCGAGTAGTCCGAGTATTCGCAAACTCAATGCGAGATGGTGCCATAGAACTACCATGGCTTAAACATTAGACCAAATATATTGTCTAATTGTCTATCTTTATTACATGGCAAATATAACACTTGTGTGCTTCTTGTTCTATTGTGCTATGTAGTCCAATTGGAGTACCAAACTCGATGCACGACATAATTATAGGTCGACCTTGGAAATTTAGTTAGTTCGGATCAACAAGGCCACAGATAGACAAAGCCAGATCTAGATATATATGTTATTAGGAGTTGCTGCAAGATTCTTTCTAATATTCATTGCCTCTCATTCTATAAAATGCATGACGTATGTTATCCGGCGGAATGTATATCCCACCCAATAGCTAAAGTGGAAGAGAATTTATTTGTAGAGATCAAAACATTGACCAGCTGTACTTATTATTATCCCAATTGAGTGTTAACTACGGATTTTGTTAATAAGCATTCTGTCAGCGGCCGCGTGACCCATATTGTTCACTCCCACCATGTCTAGTCTTCCATAGTAGATAGTCTCCATTCTTTCTCCACGCATCAAGAGATTTTCCAGAGAGCCTCTCTTCTCGTAAACTCTTACTTTTCTCTTGCCTTTACATTCTTAAAGATCTATAAATCATCAAGGGGGTTCATTATCTCTATTGATTGAATATGTCCCACCTCCAATACTTCAACTACGACGGCTGGGGCCAGAAAGCAAAGCGAGACTTCTATTATAGCCAAGCCGTCCGTGTTGGCGATCGCATCGAATGCGCAGGCCAAGGTAAAAAGCCACGAGACCTCGCTTTCTGAATGAATAGACCGTACTAATACATCGTGAATAGGCGGCTGGGATCCGCAAACATTTGTGATCCATCGAGAGATCAATGCGCAGATTGACCAAGCTTTTGCCAATGTGGACCTGAACCTGAAGCATGCTGGAGGAAAAGGCTGGGAGCAGGTATTTCGGGTGAGCTCGTACCACGTCCCGATCAATGACGAGGCCCTGGAGGCGATGGTGCGGAATTTCAAGAAATGGATGCCAAATCACCAGCCTATATGGACGTGTGTTGGGGTGACGAGGCTTGGCGAGGATGATATGCGGGTTGAGATTGAAGTTGTAGCTCATGACCCGTGAGATCGAAATCGGAGTGGACATGGTGTGAGATGTTTTGTGGATCATGAACCCATGTAGCTCTTATGTTGAAGTAGCGTGGGTAGGCAGTGCCACATGAAAGAAGCATGTTAGCCTAAGAATGAGAGAAGACCCTTTCTCAAATATCGTGATCTTAGCGTTTATCGCCTCTGCCACCACCTCTACCACCTCTGCCACCTCGGCCGCCTCTTGTTTTGCCCTTTCCTCTCCCACCCATCATACGGCGTCCTGACGCCTGGACGCGAGCGATGTCGTCTTTGTTCAGGTTCAATGTGCCTCCTGAGAACTTGCCCACGGACGCTCCGGAAACACCGCGCTCTCTTCGCCCATTGTTGCTCGATTTGCTTACCTTATTAGGCTTTTCGAGGATAATGCCGTTCTCCTTGGCCTCTTGGCGACGTCTCTCTTCCTTTGATTCGGCCTTAGCTTTGATGCCTCGTCGGTGCGCAGTAGGCATTTTGTTTTGCGCATAGAGCGAAGTTTTGGCTCCGAGGGATTGCATGCGCATATCCAAAGCCTTCAAACGGTTCTTTCCAGTGGGCGCGAGGTCGTCAGCAGAGTCGAGAAGATGTGACTCCTTGAGTAGTCTTTGCAGTGCAAGATCGTGCTTGAGGTTCGCAGAGTCGTGGGCGTCTTCCTCTTCTTCTTTTTTAGATGTAGGCTCTGGCTCGGTGCTCGGCTTATCTAAGTCGGACAACAGTTTTCCACTCTAAAAGTCTCAGTGTTAGCATGCACTTTCAACGCATTGAGATGTAGCACATACCATAAAGGCCTTCCAAGTCTTCTTATCCATTCGGTCTTCTGGTGCCGCGTAAGTGTTTGTGTGTTCGACCACCTCGACTTGGTTACTCTCGTCACTGATGTCGGACATCCCATCCCAGTCACCTTCCGACCCAGACAGATCAGAGTCATCGCCAATCTCGTCTTCATCATCGGAATTTGTAGGTTTGGCGGTAGGGCCTGGCAAATCGAGTGGCTCGAATTGTGCTTCGAATAATCTGCGGAATACGTCCTGCGCATTGTCCACTGGAGGAGGGCTGTCTTCCTTGGCCTTGGGCTTGGAAACCACAGTGGTTTCTCTCTTTCGTTTCACAACCATGGTGAATGTGCTGTCGATCAAATTATAAAACCAAACACTCGCGTCTCGGCCCAAAAGTTTTTCGGACTTAGCTCGTGTTCACGTGCGATAAGATAAGCTGCCCCTCGACTCATTCGTCGCCGGCACAGCGTCACTGAATCAACTTGTTCTCCAATTCGCCAGAGAAAATGACCAAGTTCAGGCCGTGCATTGACCTGCATTCAGGGCAGGTTAAGCAGATTGTGGGTGGTACGCTCAGTCAAGTGGCCGCAGACCTGAAGACCAACTACGTATCCAAGTTCCCGGCCAGCCACTATGCGGGATTGTATCAAAAGCACGATTTGCGCGGTGGGCACGTCGTGAAGCTTGGACCAGGGAATGAAGAGGCAGCCCAGGAGGCGTTGAAGACATGGCCGGGTGGGCTACAAGTGGCTGGAGGTATCACCGATAAGAATGCGCAATATTGGATCGATCAGGGTGCAGACAAGGTAAGCGCCTGGACCCCAGATAAATTATTATTTCTTCGCTTGGCATTGTGCTTGACCAAGAACCCAATGATATCTATCATTCTACTTCAAGTTCCTGTTTCTTGCGCTCCGTCATAGCAATAGTCAGATGACGCTAATCATACGGAATGCGGGCAATAGGTGATCATCACTTCATTCCTCTTCCCTGGAGGCAAGTTCTCGCTCGAGCGACTTGAGTCGGTCCTTTCTGCTCTGGGCGGTGACAAGTCAAAGCTGGTCTTGGATCTGAGCTGCCGCAGAAAAGACGATACTTGGTTCGTTGCGATGGACCGCTGGCAAACCATCACAGAGATGGAGATCAACCAGGGTATGTCCTACCAGTGCTGAACCTGGATTGATTGTTGGCTCACTGACACTGTGTAGAATCGATCTCAATGCTGGAACCATATTGTGCCGAGTTCTTAATCCACGCTGCAGACGTAGAGGGCCTGCAACAAGGCGTTGATGAGGACCTTGTTTCAAGACTGGCGGAATGGTGTACTATTCCCGTGACCTACGCAGGAGGTGCACGCCATTTACAAGATCTAGAAAAGGTCCACACGAGTAGCAAGGGAAGAGTGGATTTGACGATTGGCAGCGCGCTAGATATCTTTGGCGGCTCCGGAGTGACGTTCGATGAGTGTATCGAATGGAACAAAACGCATTAAATTTAGAACATGAATCAAAACGAATAGATTATACCAAATAAAATGATGAGCTGAATACTATTTTCATCTTCATACCTCGAAGACAAAATAAACAAGGAGAGCGAGTCACAGAAGTGTCTGGACTTGTCCCAAAGCGGTTTAGGGGCTTTTCCATCAACTGAAGGTCCGCCCGCCTCCGTATGTCAACCTTGGAGTCTTCAACCTCAACTCTCTGTATTAGCCGATTTGCGACCTTTCTCTCCAACAACTTATCTCGTGCTTCTGCAACACTCCTTACCTACCATTAAACCGCCAACATGAAGCCCGTCGTCTCTGTCTTGAACGCCTGGTCTTGGTACGCTCCCCCCATCCCAAACAGCATCCACCGGACAGTCCTATCGCTCTAACACCTCGCGTCTTAAACAGCGTCGTTATCTCCGTTTTCGCAATCGTCATTCTCTCAGTCCTCGGCTCGCTATACAGCGTACGTCTTCCCACCTCCGACTGACCCATCAGACCCTCGAAACACCCATTGTCACAAACCTACATAATATGGTGTTCAGCCGCTAACAATAAGTTCCACAATGTAGAGCAACAACCACGCATACACCGGATCAAAAGATGAACCTGAAGATGGTCCCGCCGTCGCCGCCTCCATTTACGTCGCTGTGATCGTCTACGCTGTACGTCAAAACCCCCTCGCTGAGCTCCGACGGGCTCGTTGCACGAGACAGGAATCAATTACTGACAATGCGCTTTTCTGGCTTACAGGGCTTCTTCGTTTTCTGCGGTTTCCAGGCTTACCTTCACATGCGAGACAGCAGGGGAGGTGCTATATCACTTCATTGAAACTACTTTGGTCCATTTTCCTTCGATGTCTTGACGACACCTTTATTTGTCGATTTTCAATATTTGAGCTTTTATCCCGGGGTTTCTTGAGTGCAATACGATGGTTTAGATTTCATGCGTTGGGAGTGATTCGAGGCCGAGATGATTGTTTCAATCCTCTTGAGCATAGATCACCCATGTCCATTCTGTGCAACCCGGATTGGTCTTATGTTACGAGCAGGTTCGGACTGAACTTGAAAGGCGTTAGCGGGCAGGTTTCCCGGTCTCCTTTGCTAGAATACACAGATGGCCGACCTGTGACTTGTACATAGAGCGCTCATAATTACCAGCTCTTTCATTTTTTGGCCCATTGGATGCATCTAAAGATAAAATTTGGTATAGACATTCAATCATTTGTCCTTCGTTGAGAGTAAAATCAAGTTTTTGTGAGACCGCCAACGCCAGTGGATGCAGAATTAGATACCGAGCCTCAGCTGGACACCTGGTTTTCTTTTTCTTCTTTTTTGCTTTTTTGCTTTTTCGTTTTCCATCGGGTGATTACTCTTCGTCCTCCCACGGGTCCAACATCTTGGACATGTAAGGACCATCGAGGAAGTAACCGAGACGAGCATAGTAGCTACGCACGCCCACGCCGGAGATAACACTGATCTTGCGACTACCGTGCTCCTCGCGGGCAATACGCTCCGCCTCCTCCATCAACAAAGTTCCAAAGCCACGGTGCTGGAACTTGCGGGCATCACGTCCGTGAAGCGGCACAGCAGAACCGTAGACGTGAAGCTCCCGAACAATACTCGTCTGCTGGCCCGTGAACTCAGGGCGGAAAGTGTGAGTCTCACTGCACTTGCGCAGACGAAGTAATCCAATGAGAATATCCTGCTTCGGGTCTTCGTATGCCAGGAAAGTCTCCCAGCCACCATTGGCAGCATAGTCACGGCGGATCAACTCAATCTGCGATGGACGGATCTTGTTCTTGACTTCGTTGATACCAACTTCTCGCGTGCGGACATCACGGCAGGTTGTGCCAAAGTCCTTCATACGCGCCAATGCCAATTCGCGCAGGTTACCGTTCTCCACACCGGAGGTAACAAGGGGCATGGGGATATCGCGCTGGACTCGGTAGATACGGGTCCATGGGGGGACTAGAGCGAGGATTCGTGCGACAAGGTCGATAAGTGCATTGGGTGTGTAGTTCTTGTATCGGCCGGTGCGCCAGAGTTCGTAGAGACCGGTGCCTCGGATGACAAGTGTGGGGTAGAGTTTGAGACCGTCGGTACGGAAGTTGGGGTTCTCGAAGTACTCTTGGAACTGGAAGAGATCGCGCTCCATTCCAACGTTTGGCAGATCAGGCATCATGTGGCTGACAACCTTGAAACCGGCATCCTTTGCAAGCTTGAATGTTTCAGCTACAGCTGCTACGGTGTGGCCGCGGTTGGTGTCTCGCGCAACATCCTCGTACAGACTCTGCACACCGATTTCCAGCCGGGTGCAACCGTAGCGGAGCATGCTGCTTAGATGTGTATCCAAACAGTAATCCGGCCGGGTTTCGATTGTGATACCCACACACTTGACGTTACTCATTTCGCCTGCCAGCACGGCCTCGTCAACGTTATCCGTTTGGTATCCGCTCAGCGCGTTGTGAAGCTGGGAAATGAAGGTATCCCGGTAATCTTCTGGTAGCGACATGAAGGTTCCGCCCATGATAATGTATTCCACCTTGTCCACGCTGTGACCGAGAGCTTTGATCTGATCCACACGTCCTCGCGCCTGTTCAAACGGATCGTAACGAGCGCGGATCGCTCGCATCGAGGTCGGTTCATATCCAGTGTATGACTGAGTCGAGTATTCGAAGTCGGAGTCGGGGCCACCAGGGCAATAGACACAGATATTACCGGTATATGCGATGTGGGGGCATCGATGGGGTTTGCACATAACCGCCACCACGGCGATACCAGAGGAGGTTCCTATGAATGAGGTTAACTATAGTCCAGTACTGTCAACCTGGGATAAGTAAACGTACGGATCGGCTTCGCAATCAGCTTTGGCAGGATGTATTTCTTGTAGTGTTCAGGTACTGCCGCGATAATGGCCGTCAATGGTGGCGAGCTGGACAAGCTGTGCTTCTTTGAAAAGGTCGCCCGCAACTTGTTAAGATTGAGATCCTTCTTGGGCTTTGTAGAGTCCCTGTGCGACTCGTAATCCTGAATGAGAGCATTTGCAATATCAGAACATGCTCGCATGAATCGCTCGTTCTCGGGAACATTCTTTGCGTTCTTCTTGGCGGCCCTTTTGATTTCTTGCGAGGTCATAGTCATGGTAGCCATGGCGAAGAGATTAACACCGCGCTTAGGCGGGGGATTGAACCAAAATCGACGAGTTGCTTGTTTAGTGGGGGTGAGGTTGATTAGATAGAAAAATGTGGTCGCCGAGGCCTGCGCCCGAAGTGAGTTTCCGCTTAAGTAAAATCATTATCCCGAACGAAAACTCCCGGGTACGCATCCCGAACACCTGCCCTTTATCCCGTTCTTTTCTTCCCCTTTACCTCCATATACCCTCACCTCTCCCCTCAAAACATACATATCTTGCAGCAATGCAGGCCTTCCGCCGTAACACCCTCTCGGCCCTTCGCAATGTCGGTGCCACCCAGCGCCGGACTCAGGCCACCTCTGCCTACAGCGAGACCTTGAACAACCTCAAGATCAACAAGGACACCCGTGTTATCTTCCAGGGTTTCACTGGAAAGCAGGGAACGTAAGTGAAATCACCGCGCTATCATTATCGCACGCGCATGATGCTGACATTTGACCTTGATATAGCTTCCACGCTGAGCAGGCTATCGCCTACGGTAAATATTCATTTCGTGATCGCATCAAAACAACAGCTTACACAGGACAGGCACCAATGTCGTTGGTGGTACCAACCCCAAGAAGGCCGGCTCCATGCACCTTGACCGTCCCGTTTTCGCCAACGTTAGCGATGCCGTGAAGGAGACCGGTGCCACAGCTTCTGCTATCTTCGTTCCGTATGATAACTATTTTTTTCGAACTATCAACAAAACAATGCTAATTGCAATTTAGTCCTCCCCTTGCTGCTGCCGGTATCGAGGAGGCCATCGCCGCTGAGATGGGCCTCGTTGTTTGGTACGTGTCCAATGCAGCTCCCCTGTAAATAATTTCATCTGACAGCTTCTCATTCAACAGCATCACCGAGGGCATCCCTCAGCACGGTACGGATCGATCGACCATCAATTGAAGCGCGCAAACTGATTAATTTCATATAGACATGGTCCGCATCACCGATATCCTCAAGACCCAGAACAAGACCCGCCTGATCGGTCCTAACTGCCCTGGTATTATCGCTCCCGTAAGCTACCACTCCGACCTGCAATCATTCGAGCCGCGTCAAATACTCATACATCTCTTTTTTAGGGTCAATGCAAGATCGGTATCATGCCCGGCTTCATCCACAAGCGCGGCCGTGTCGGTATCGTCTCCCGTTCCGGTACCCTGACCTACGAGGCTGTCAACCAGACCACCCTCGCTGGCCTCGGTCAGTCCCTCGTCGTCGGTATCGGTGGTGATCCCTTCTCCGGTACCAACTTCATCGACTGCCTCAAGGTCTTCCTCGAGGACCCCGAGACCGACGGTATCATCATGATCGGTGAGATTGGTGGTTCCGCCGAGGAGGACGCTGCCGAGTTCTTCAAGGCCAACAACATCCACAACAAGCCCGCCGTCTCCTTCATTGCCGGTATCTCCGCTCCCCCCGGCCGTCGCATGGGTCACGCCGGTGCCATCGTCAGCGGTGGTAAGGGTGGTGCTGATTCCAAGATCGCCGCTCTCACCGATGCTGGTGTCATCGTTGAGCGCAGCCCTGCTTCCCTCGGCAAGACCCTCCTTGCCGAGTTCGTCAAGCGCGACCTTGTTTAAATTTGTCGCTCCTGATGATGCATCGCGTGTCTTGTCCTGGTTTTGAAGCCAGGGATTTCCGAGGTATATGTGCCATTTTATACTATGGGGTTGTATGGGCTGTTCCTTTTCGGCTGCTCCTGTATTCTGTTTCTCCTTTGTGTTAGAGATCCTTGAAGTAATCATGCTCGTGTAATTATTACTGCTGCTTGTGCAGAGTAGATGGTAGAAATATGGAAAGATATGGAACCAATCTTCTTGAAGTCCACAAAGCAGGCTCCTTGAGTGGTCCCGTATTCATATTAAATGTGCTTCTAATTATCATATACACCCATAAGAACAGATGGCAGAACAGATGGGCGTAAAAGCAAGATCCGAAAGACGAGGGGACGTTGTGCCTTCCAAACCTCGGACTTACACAGAAGCGCGATGCCTCGTCAATGCAGCTACTAGTCCTTCCTGAACGGAAGATTATGAGATCTGATTAAACACAGCAATGGCAAGGGAACGGGAGGACACTGCATGCTTACCCTTAGGTATTATCGAGAGGCAGAATGATTGTGTTTCGCCAAACCGAATTGAACGGTCCAGATTTGTTCTGCAATAGCTATGGTGTACTGGTCTGCAAGGATGTCATTTGTGTCTTCAGTTCCCTTCTTTCGAAGATAAATACCTTCATGCGGTATTTCGATGCGTCCATGGATCTTTGGACATTTTGGCGCAGGATTTCTCACAGTCCCCATCATTTGTGAAGGAGAGGGGACGATTGTGTGTTGAGCACATTCAGATCCCATTTTTCAAATGTGATCCTTCCATGACTATGCACTGTGATTGTCATGGTGGCTTTCACCTGCCCATTGGGTTGGCATAACCAGAAACTTGACAGGAGGTAAGAACAACCTCCAGGTCATATGTTGGAGCATCGAAGTTTATGACTCTCGGTATAGAACATGAGCTCTAGGAGTCAAGGGACGTATCATACCATTCTATATAATAAGAGAAGCCTGGTACCTACACCTGATCTTTCTTATATCAACCAACTACCTCCATACCTTTCATCTCAGTTCTATTTGCTATTTAGTAAAACCAGCATTTCTTCACTTCAGTCTCACCTACTTCTTACTATAAGATCGATCTTTCTTCACTAAATCCTCATCTTATTCTGATAGCCCTCTGACTCTATCTCTCTTGCTTATGATACTATGCATCAATGGTCTACCAACGACCCAATACATGAACAGTTTATATAGTATTCCCTTTAGGGTATATACTTTATAGAATGTACAGCATGCCGACCTCATGCCCCCTGACATTGACCAGGATGGGAGTCGGAGCACATAGGACTTTAGATCGTCTGCCATGGCGACGTATAAACTATATATTTTATTGTATATTAGCACACAGCCCAGCGGGAGACAGTCTGCTACCCTATTTGGTAGCGGATGCACTCCAGTCATGAAGAATAAACTTTATAGACTGGAATTAGTCTAATTCACGCAAAATCGATACTGAATTGGAAATCGGAGCAGAACCAGGATTCGATTCAGGCAAAACATAAAAGAGCCCCAGTTGTCTGCACCTTCTCGTTGTTTCTTCCTTCTTCATACTTCTTCATCCCCGTGGTATCACAATGTGCCCTACTCCACCCTGGATTTGGCTCTTCGAGCAAAAGGAGCACAGACTCCGGCAGCTTCACAGAGAGCTCTGCCACCTGGAACCTGGTTATATATCAAACCAGTACACTGATATTGAGATCCACCGGATGGATTTCTGGACTGGGGACACCGATCCTTCCCTCATCCAATTCTTCACCCCCGACACCCACACCACCTTCAAAATCGCCAACACTGCCCTCGATCCCGAGGACCCCCTGGACGACCCGTTCACATGGGCCCGGGAGATGAAGGATGATCAAGACATCGTCCCCAAAGAGATGCACCATCAACTCCACCGGGCATTTTCGAACTACCTCCGCAAATCCCCAGGAGGCAACAAAATCCCCATTTGCTGGGAGCTGGTCTCGTAAGTCTAAATCCCCAATAGATATAAAGTAGCTCGAAACTAAGCTTTGATAAATATAGCATGCGAGAAGAAGAAAGTCCCTTCAACAGCGACGATCGGCATGGCTTCGCCATTGAAAAGGGAGCCATAAGTGCCGACGGAAAGACCGCTCACCAACTCGTCGTTATGAAAAGCGACGAGTGCTACCATGACATCCTCCCGTCAGTGGGAGAGCTTATTGTGCTTGTTCGATGGATGCTGAGTGGATTCAAAAACCACAAGCATCAATTCGGCAGGTACCACCGACATGAGCGTCCCCAACTTGACTTCCCGGTAAGTCCAGACGCTCTTCCAGACCTAATCACTTCACCAGGATATGATTAACTGACTACTATGTAGACAATGATCATCTCCTTCCTCCCCGACGCTCGAGTTCGAGTTTTGCATGGGTATTACGACGGCGGCCGACTCAAAGTGGCCTATACCCCAGCACTCAACTTCGATGCGGAGGACTATATCGAAAAAATGGACGTCCTCCTCCAGTGGGCATGGCCCTTCACGGATGGGGATACCACCAAACCCATCCCTCTTCCAACGATCGAGGACGATGAAGAGGATGAGTGGGACGAGTGGGAGAAGTGGGAACTACGATATAGGGAGGACAGCGAGGATGGGGGGAGTGAATTAGAGGCGGAGGGTGACAGCGAATCGCAATTCGACGGGGACGATGAGAGCGATAGGGGAAACAAGAACCCCATCGAGGAGTGGAGCTGCGAGCTCGTGATGTCTGCGGACATCAAAAGAAAAATCATCGAGAGGTTGGAGGAGAAACTGAGGACTCTGGGGAAGTGAGAGTTGTGATAGTTGACCTGAGCCTAAAGGCGAGGGGGCTGGGACCCAGAGGCGCCCTGGGGCCTGGTCTATCCTTGTCCACGGCAAAGACAGCTATGTTTACATGTAGTGGCAACCCGCCACATAGTTCTGTATTCTTTGACTTGTTTGTTCATATAACATGCATGTGCCATACACAAATGCACATGTGAATGAGAGAGACGGTCCATGTTTCTGTAGTCTGACTTGTAAATATTGTAGATGCCTGTAGACTATATGATAAAAGTAAAGGTAGCAAGTTGAAATATGGAGATATCCAGCATTCATAGATTGAGAAGTCAAGCACCTGGAACTCATGTTTTTCAAGCATTAAGAATTCGACGAGAGTGAGACTTGGATTTTAACTTGGATATATTTCTAGAATTCGTGCGACATTGTTGTTTTCAGATACACGTGCTCCGAGATGGTGGTGACTGCAATCTGCTTGGACGCCGCCATTCGATCATGGGTCATATAACAGACACTATCACACTAGTTTTAAATCTTACTCAAGGCCTCAATAACCTCCTCCGTGGCAAATACATCCGCAAACTCACCATCAAGGCTAGCAATAGAAACCTTATGAACAGTCTCCGCATCAATTCCAGCCTTTCCAAAGGTAGCCGTGGCATCCTCGACAAGCACAATACGCCCCTTATCAACTTCCACCTCATTCTCATGGGTCCCATCCGATCTCAAGCGGACGGGCCCACCCCCAAGATACCGATCCACAACCCCCAGATTAGCCGCCATTCGCACGGTAGTTGAAACACAATGATCAGTCGTCAATCCAGCAATGATAAGTTGACGGAACCCCCTTTCACGCAAATGCGCTTCAAGTCCAGTTCCGATGAAAGAGGAATTGACACTTTTCCAAAAGACAGGCTCCGACCCATCTGAGGCAGGGGTGGCGAAGTCTAGAGGACGGATACCCTCAGGGTTGGAAGGGTGGAGCGGAGATCCCGGGGTTGTGGAGGAGTGAAAAATGTGGATCACCTCTAGTGGCGTTGAGGATGAGGATCTCGCAGCTCGGAATGCAGAGAGAAGTGCTTGGAGGTTGGTTTCATATTTCGGGTTGGAGCGTGTGGTGCCCCAATTGGATATGGTCTTTGGATCGCAGAAGCTCGATTGGTTGTCTATCAGGATCAGGGCTGTGGGGAGGGGAAATTCCAATGCCATTTTGTCAATTTGGCCTTCTAATTGTCGATGGAGATGTTGATGAAGTTGAATCTCGCAAAGTTTTTTGTATGGCTCTAGGTAGAGTTGGGGCTTTTGCGTGACTCACCTAGCTCACTAATCAACTATTAACGAGGGCCTCGTTACGAGACCACCTTTTAGCTTCATATTTTAGGTAAATGTAAAAGCTTTTATAATAGCCCAGTAAAAGAATTAGTCTTTCAGATTTTAGCTTCTTGGTCCCCTTTTCTAGAGAAGAAAGTTCAAGAAACTTTAGAAAATTTCTGCTTCTCAATATATTTCTTTTGCCAGTTGGTTTCGTTTTAAGGTCCACTGCTTTGTCTTGGAGCTTAAATGGTTACCCTATGCAAAATGTCATAGCCTAGGCCTATACGACCCATAGTTCCTTTGAAAAAATTCGGAAATTGTCGCGCTTCCTTGCCTTATATTTTGTACGATTTGCTACGTTCGGACAGTTAATGCTTCGTACCCCGAGCATCGCCATAGAGGTCTCTAAGTAACCGGCGACGCTGAGCATGCCTAACGTATATGTACTTACGGTGATGGCCTCAGGACATAATGTGTGCTTCTAGACTGACATACGATGCTGGAGATACCTAACCCTGTCCGCCTCTCTGTACAGTAAATTGAAACCCCACCCTGCATTCTTTTTCCTGTCAGTTATAGCAGTACTCCATGGTATTACTGAGCTAGGTTGCTTGGTGTGTATCAATAATCACTGACTCGTAAAATTATGTCCGGCTGATTGACAGAAGTCAACGAAAAAGATAAATCAACAAACCAAAAGGTGAAACATCGGCAGTACCACCAACAAAAAGCCCAGGGTGTTATTTGCCAACAATGATATATAGAAAATGATAGATATGAATGGACAACGCATTTTAGGTACTTTGACCTCCAAAGTTTGAGAACAACGAAGAAAAGGCTGCGCTAAAAAAGCTACACGAGTCAGGCAAATTCCCACTCGAAGGGGCCTAGAATATATAATGTTTAGGATACTGAAGCCTAGTATCTCTAATTATCCTCCCCTCACTGTTATAACACGGTTAATGGCAATTAACATAAGGTGTTTGTCTATTGGTATACCTATATTTTTGAGGTTGGCGGTTGATAGGGCTTTTTCAATTAGAGTGTGGATGATAAAAACACCAAGGAGGCTAGATAGGGGTTGAAAATAGCATAGCAGGTACTCCGCGTTACGCCGTACATACACCCCTATTAAGTAAATTGATACGCTAAAAAATAATGAAGAAAATAATAGGCACGTTTTATACGACAGAACAAGCGCCATATCATCGTAATCGGCTAGCACTAGCAGCAGCTATTGGCCCCGGGCCCCTAAATATAAACCGGCCCCCAAATACTGCACCCTGGTAATCCCCCCTATGTTGTAGATCACAAGGATGAGGCGTGATAGGTATCATGGGCGCGCTACAGCGAGATGTAGGAGCTTTGTCCCATCCTCGTGACGGTTGGTCAATGAATATGCTTGCTTTTGTTCATACTAAGGGCCGGGATAACTGGGGTTCACACATGCGTACTTATGGGATCTATTCTATTGTTTTTGAAATTGTAAATAAAATGTATCCGGGACATACCATTCGTTACGTGGTAGTCAAGGTCCATGTCGAGGGACCTATCCTAGGACCTACCCTAATGCAGGCACTATCAAAGTGACCAGGGTATAACGCGTACTTGGTAATAGTTGGCGCGGTACACACTGTATGAGAAAATTTAAAACATATCATTCGATATTTGATATTTTTTTCCTTTCTTTTTGCATTATTCTCTTCACTCCATATATCCCAACCTTGAAGCCGCCTTGAGCCAAAGTCAGGTTTCAATACTCAGAGGCCTTGAAGCCCTTCTGAGCAACAGAGGAAAGGAATTACTGTACTGTATGTGAAAGAACTGACAGAGCATGATGAGTTGGACTGACTTCAAAAAGGCCCAAGACAAACAGCATGGATAGCCCTGAGTATTTCATCAGCTGGGGTTCGGAGAGATACGTTCCTCTACACCGATTCAAAGACCTCCAGTTACCTCGTCACGATCTCATTCGATACTATGGAGAGGTCCTCGAAACAGCTCAAACCTTCACACAGCATTTTTCGAAACAGCCGCTGAAAAGCTATGACATGGAAAGGTCGCTGAAAAAGAACATGGGATGTGACCCTTTATGTCTAGATGAAGAAACAGATAGTACATCTATTAGTTGGTTGGACATTGTTCGTCACGGCGATTTCCAGGAACAAAGTGAGGGATATCACTGTTTCATTCAAGGGAAGGTGTTTTTCCATGACCAGCAATTACAAAACAGGGTCGACTTTTGCCGACGTCACGCCCTCCATATTTCCAATTCGGGGCCAAGTCACCAAGAAGTGAGAAGGGAGGTGGAAGTCACCCAGGAGATATTGTCTGATATTTCCAACGAACTGTCTCACATTCCAAAATGTTTGTACTTCCCGCTCCCACAAGCTTTTGCAAGCGGTTATCTAACTGGAGCAGATACGAGAGGACTAGAAAATCTTGAGCAGACAATGAAGATGCGCCTGAGTTACCTTCTATCCCTCCTGGATCCTGGCATAATATCCCGCACACCATCTAGGTCAGCAAGCGGGTTGGAAGACTCTCCAGACGACGACCGCAATGGACAAGTGGCGGTGAGTTTGGACAGTTCCCCAGAAGACTCGAGTGAGGATGAGTCGGGAGAAAGTGACTCGGAGGATGATGAGTCGGAGGATGATGAGTCGGAGGATGATGAGTCGGAGGATGATGAGTCGGAGGATGATGAGTCGGAGGATGATAACACGGAGGACGAGGGCCCAGATGAAGAGGGTCCAAATGACGAAGGGCCAGAGGACGAGGGCCTAGAGGACGAAGGGACAGAAAATGACGATCACGAGCATTACAGCCGTCAACAGAGGATCACTAACTCTGACAACGGAGGTAACGTGGCCACAGATGATGGCACAGTGGTTTCATTAAACCTTTTGTCCTCGAGGTCTCCATATTCGATGCCTCTAATAGCAGAGGATGGAAATGGCATCTCAACAGGTCGTGCTTCTATGCTAGAAGAAACTGGAAATGCCGTCTCGGTGAACCCTATGGCCTCGAATGGCTCCTTGTCCATATCTTCGCCAATGGAAAACAAAAATGGCGTTCCAATCGATTCTGTATCTTCGCAAAACGGTCCCCAGATGAATTTGCACGTACCACTCCCAGAAAGTCTCGCGCATGACGGACTTGATACGCTCATCGAAAGTGAGGGTCCGCCTCGTGCAGTCAAACGACGGAAATTCAACAATTTATTGAAAAGACAGAAGAAACCACCAAAAAGCAATCGCATATCCAGCTATGAAGAGAGATCGATTGCTATTGCCTGGACGAAGGCCTGGATAGAAGCCCATTCAGGCGAAAAATGGAGCCAAAGGGCACTCGCCAGAGAATATGCCATCAAATTCGGTGGTAACCGAAGTTACAACACCCTCAAGACATGGATTGATAAAAGAGAAAATCCTCAACCGAAGAGCCATATTGTGGTATTGAAAATCCCCATTCCGTATCTGCGTGAGGCACTCTGGAATGACCATTCTTCATAGCCAATGCCGGGCCTTTCAAATGGCAAGACTACCATACCATCATCCCTTCAATTTGGGCCTTTGGAGAGGCCACAAAACTGGTCGGAGGGTTATAACCGGGCCTTGACTTCCAGTTCCTCTATTATGATAAAAAGTGGTCTCCCGAACTTACTAGACTGAAGGGGCAAGGGAGCTAGTTAGTCTTTGTTGGGCTTAGGTAAAAAAACAGCATTGTCTTTGGGAAGGGAAATGCAAATAATCCCACCTGGCGCTTGGTAAATTTGGAAAGTTCAACACAAAGATTGGAAGGATCGATAGATATCACGGTAGAAAGACATTTCCTTTATTTTGTTGGTTTTTGCTGTACGATAGAATCTGGTTATTGGAGACATCTTCCTGCCGCTCTCACTTCGTCGGTATTTTCTCAAATGCTGAGGTGTGCCTGGCCACATTGGAATCACTTGATCTTTTCACCTAGAGAAGTATTGTTTTCTACAAGTTACAGTCGAAGCCATGTATTTGCAGTGACATTACATGTTCGAGATGTCCGTATCAATATTTATTACGCCATCCCTTACGGTATTTTTGCAGTTCATGGAAAGCCCGTTTACAGCTCTGTAATTCAGGCGGGCTAAGATTCAATCTTACTACCAAGAAAACGCACAGCCTTAAGGATGGGAATTGAAGAATATCGAAGCCATTCGCAACCATCTTCACAACTTTCCTGGCACAAAAATCGATGGAAATATGTTTATAACATTTTACCTTCGCCCCAAGAAGATCCTGGTCAAATAGTGCAAATTTGGCAAAAAGTCAACCAACTCATCGATATATTAAAGACAACGCCTTCTGCTCCTTCGGTGTGGGTGGGCACTAGAGGACTGGTCGAGTGGTGAGAAACCGCAAAAGTGTATCACATACACCAACTCTATCGTCCCGACCTATCATCCCTTCCACCGGCCTTTCAACTTAGCATTATCGAAAACCACCGGCCTATTCTGCTATACTCGCAACCGAACGAAAGTTACCAAAGAAGCCTCAGTCTCTTCTATACAAGTATGGAAATGATTATACATCAAATGACTGGTATTGCATTACTACACCTAAAAAATGGCTCACCGATACTCGAATCTTTCTTGATAGAAAGCTTGATGGTATTCCCGGTAAAACGGCTGGGCTCTTCGCCTGGAACGATTCCAAAACTGGTTCTAGGATATTTGGGTGTCGGAACACGAAAAACAATTCACTGCGCATATTCAGAAACATCGAAGCATTATTCTAACCATGGCCCGAGACTTCTTGCGTCTATGAGAAGTGACAAGGTGGTGATCATGCTTCGCCATATCTATAGTGCCTTGGACGATAAAAGCCATGGAAAGTGAAAGCGGCATTGAAGGAAAAGAGAACCCGAATTTACAAGAAACGAGATCCTCAAGGATGGTCGGATTGTCGGGGGAATTACATGTCTAGCCTCAGCTATCGGTTGGCCGATGGCAGGATGGACCCCAAAAGTTGGTCGGTTGTGTATCGGGCTTACCGGAGATTTACGGTGTTCAGGACGATTTTTCGTGGAGCAATCATATAATCTTCAAATCCATAGTCATGACTGCTGCGCTTGAAATGAAATCAAAAGCATTTGCTGTGTTATGCATCCTCAGCTAAGACTTCTATAGACTCTGTTGCAACCCCTCGTCAACGCTTCAAGATTTCGTCTTGGTCCCTCTTTGTTTCAATCTAAAGCTATTTTTACTACCTTCATGTTCTTAGTGACTTATTAATCACTTGCTACCAATTTCTTGCTCACCTACTAATTATGTCTTACTTGCCAGGAGCACTTTCCAACCCTACGTAACTTATTACTACCGCAGATACAGTATGTAGTGCCTGCCTCAACTATGTTTTAACTTTATTGATCCTGCTTCCTACATATATTTCCTCTTTTTCCTCTTCTTCCTCTCAACTAAATGGGTGAGCCAAATTCCGTCATGTCACATTCCTGCACGGCTATCTACATATAGCCAGCGCGGCTGGGAACATGCTGCCAGGTGCGGATGTACCTAAAGACAACGAGGAAAACGGGTTTTTACATTGTATAATGATGTCGAGATAACCCATTTTGGGTCAAATGTTACCCAAACTAGCAAGGTAGTGGTAACAAGCTACAGGGAGTGGCAACACACCACAGGATCACGTGTATACAAGCTCTCACCACAGGCAGAACCACCTGACCGCCCTGACCGCTGCAATTATCCCCAGTAGTTAGGTAGCATAGGATTTCATCCTTTTTGCATCCCCCATGACACCACAGTATCTCTAGCTAGCTGTCCTGAGAATAAAAATGGCATCATCCATATCACCAAGGATGCTGCCTTACCTTACCATATAGTGGGGCTGGCTGGTTTCAACAGGATGGATGATGTCAATTTGATGGATCATGCGCCATAACTATGAGATTTTCCACTAAAAGTGTTGACCGCCTGGCTCACCGCCTGTTTTCAGCGGCTTTGAATTTTATATACATCGGATTTTGGTCCGCGCTCCATGGCTTTCCTTTCCATTTTAGTTTGCCCCTTGCTGATCACTGAATAAACCCTCGGATACATGCGCCGAATTATGACATAATTAACCCGGCCCGGAGTCACTGTCTAACTAGTTAGTTATCACCTGACCATTATATAATCGCTCAACCCGGCCCGGCGTGGCGTGTGTATGGCTTAATCCTGTTTTCCATAGAACATTCGTTGGCTTGGCGTCTACATAGCCAGCCGAGACCTCTCGGTTGAACGGCGGATTAGTTCCGCAACCTTGGAAAATTATTGTGTAGAAAGTTTCGAGGTTCAACTTCTCATGTTGCATGTTATATATGTATGTTGTGTGAAGTCGCACAGAACATACGTATAACTATGTAGATAAGTGTCTGAAACACAAACGGCGTTAAAGTTGTAATTAATAACCAGTTTTTGAAATACATTAGCTTCTATTATTGGTCTGTGTCTATAGTTCTTAGGTAAAGGTTATTCGCCTTACATCTTTACTAACAGGTATGTACCCAAAGGTTCTATATTCTGGCCTGAATGCCACGACTCTTCAACGTTATTAGATATATATGAACTTTTTACTCAAGATCTTAGGGTTGCTTGTTAGGCAACGATCGAGTATCAACACTTGATAAATTAAACAATGCTCGCTATTTCGACAAAAAAGCAACCCAAAATGCATCAATCTCAAGGCCAGTGAAGCAATTCCATGCCGCGAGCCTTAAACTTCGAGACCATGAAACCGGGACTGCAATTTGACTCCCAGTCCTCGTCGAACCCTGAATTGGGGTTGTGTGGGTTGAGTGGTTGACCGCGAGGGGTTTCGTCAAGGCCTGGTGATCCGGCACGGGAATCGCTGTCACTGCATGAACATGTCACGGTTGTTCTGGTTCCTGGCGTTGTGCAGGGGCAAGGGCCCAGGGAACGGTTGCAAGGGACGCATTTGTAGTATGCGTGGCTGCCAGCATCATTGGAGCTTGAGCTTGTGGATACGCGCACGCCGGGGAGGCCGCATTGCTCGCACTTCCAGCCTTGTGAGGAGCGGTTGAGTTGGAGTGTCATTGTGAAAGAGGGTTGACTCTGGGTCATTGACTGAGGAATTGTATCAGTAGCTGTTGAATATAGGGTGATTTCTTGTGTTACTCACATATACTTGTGTAGTGGATGAAGGATGAAGTATCTGATGCAGTAGGAGAAGTAGATTTGGAACTGAATGTTGTTTTGAATGTTGTTTTGAATGTTGTTTTCAATGTTGTTCTCAAGTCCGGGGAACTTCTCCTTTTATATAGATTTTGCGGGGGATATCCCACGGGTAGATCATTATAACGCCATCAGGACCAAGTCTGATCTTTGAAAAAATGAGAATAAAATTCTAACCAACCAACATCGTGATCCAAGTTCGAATCACGTAAAATCACTCAAACCATGGAATTCTAGACTCAGATTTGATCATAAAACGTAAGGAACGTCCGAATTCAGTTAGACTCTCCCCGAAGCAAACCGAGCTTTTAGGTAATATCCCGCAAATGGATCAAGTGACCCCTGGGAAACATTTACGTTTCTGCTTTTTAATTAGCTGCTCTATTTACAGAAATTGCATATGAAGTCATTGCCACAGACAGGAGTCATCATTTTATCCAATTCGTCGCTCGGCCCGAACGTTCCCCGCATTTTCAACTCGATTCTCAGGTGACTGAACAAACTTGACAAACACGTCAACCACATGATTTGCAAATTTCCCCTTACCTATACATAGAAAGGCGCCATCAAAGGCGCCAAGGGCAAACTTGGCGACATCGTGGGTAAAGTAGCAGTGGACCAATAAGAAATCGACAAACGCGCTCGTGAGCTTTGTCGCAAAAACAGCCAAGACTATCGAATCAGAGATTTTTTTGGTGGCAAGCGGCGGTCATAGTTCGGTGGGAAATGACGATGCATTAACCCCATTCTCCGGATCAAAGCACTACCCGGTTCTCAAGCTTAGGACCGGATGGTATGGATTCTTCACAGATGAGGAAAATCGTGCCGCGGACTAGAATCCGATACATCCAGCTACAGATGCTGCTTTTAATATCTGCAATGCTCTACATATTCTTTTTACTGTTATCTTGTCTTGAATCGTTTTTTGAAATAGAGGAATTATTTACTTCAACTTATTTATAGAATTGGTGTAATACTGATGTATTCATATACAAACTGCATTTATACTGCAGGCAGAATCTCAGCTAGCCTGCTGGCGGTAACAGATTGCCGTCCTCCCGCCAAGATTGGTAATTACCGATTTAGGAAAAGTAAACAACCTCAGGATCGTGGCGTGTCGCCATCGAGCCTGCCGAGAAGACAGGCATATGACTGCGCAGAGATTTTACAGTGTCTAAAACCTGCATTTGCGATTTGCAGTTTGCCTGCAAGGTGAGACCTCACTAATAATTTATCATCTTAAATGACTCTCTTTTGCATCTCTCTTACGTATCCTGCACCTTTATTGATCTACCCTTTCATCATTCCATTGAGCGATTTTCCATCAAATTTCGCTATATTCGCGACGAATGATCTAATTTACCCCAGGGCCTTCTCACAATAGCTGAGTCACATGAGGCGTTGGAGCCCCCAGCGTGAACCCAATTGGAAGCTTTGGAACCATATGGTGGACTTGGCTTTCAGTGCCAAGAATCTTTCATACGGGCGTGCTCACTCGGACCAAGCCTCGGCCCGCTGATCTTGTGATCTCAGTCACTACACATCCTTCAGTAGTATGAAAAAATAAAATTCATCTTATGAGTAAGCCTCTAAGCGCCTCTCTTCAACGCACAATTTCTTTGCCTCCTAGAATCTCACCGTCGCGTCGCCACATCAAAATCCCGGTTTTCATCACCCAGAACCAGTTTTCTACGGCCTTCACAATCCGCTACACACTACAGCCCAAGGATTCACTCACAGCTCCGCATCTCGCAGGTTGTATCCAAAATTAGTTTTCCTTGGGTTATCACCCTAAGTTTTTTCGTTCCTAGAGTCGCTGGACACATTCACCAGAGCTAGCCGGTGTTGTTGATTCATGTTACAGACAGCCTTCATAGAGCGTTATCATCGAAATTTGGATCGAAATCCCGAATCGGAGGGGGCAAAACACCTGGGATCATATAGTGACTGTGCTCGGCTGCACCCAATATGGTGATATGTACAAAATGGACCCCAACCACTGAAGACCCCATAACGCAATCCAGCTACTCCTTGATATTAGAGGTCACAACCTGACCATAGTTGTTCGGCGCAACCCGATTGCAAGGAACACCAGATCCATCCTGGCCAATGATATTCTTACACTGATAAACCTCCTCCTGCAGCGTAGTCCCATACATCGGCAGGCCAAGGGTGTGATTGACCGACTCAAGATGAACATTCTCAAACTTGATACCCGGACACGGGTGAACATCAGAGCAATAAATCGACGCACCGACATTATACCTCGTAGTACCTCTGATATTCGACCAGGTAATATCCTCAATCGCCATCTTGGACGTGTTACAGTACTTACCATCCGCTTCGGTGTAGATACACTGCGAGATCTGGATTGGCAGGGCGACGTTGGTCATTTCGAAATTGCGAAAGGTGACGTTCTTGATCAAGCCACTACCACCGCCGCCGGCATCATTGTTGAGATTATCCTCGTTTGTGACACCTTGCCAGGTCTTAATGAATGCGCCTTCCATGCAGTTGATGCATCGCACGTCTTCAAAGGTCACGTTCTCGACGTAGTCGGGCATGTCCGGGTACTGTCCGACAGAGCCGATCGTCATACCGAAGTTGTCGTAGCAAGTAATGTTCTTGACGTGGAGGTTTGTAGTATTTCCTTTGGCTGCGATGCAATCATCGCCGTTCTGCACGACCGCGTTCTCAACGAGAAGCGTATCACTGTTCCACGAGTCGTATCCATCCGTGTTCACGGTGCCCCATTGGTCATTGCTAGTCGCATTGACGTATAAATTCGTGAGTGAGACGTTTTTGCTGTATGTGATGAACGTTGCCCAGAACTGGGGCTGGATGATTCGAAGACCGTCCACGAGCAAGTTCCTGGATTCAAAGAAAGTGATGCTAATCGGTCGGCCGGGTTGGTTACTGTGGTTTTGGTTCTGTGTGTACCAGGCCTGGCCTTGGCCATTATACCAGCCGCCGTCGGCGCGGAAGGTGACGTTCTCGCCACCGAAGAGCCAGGCGGTTGATTGGTTCTGGAAAACGACGTCGTACGAGTGAGAGAGCCAGTATGCGATCTCAGTTGAGAAACGGAGTTCTCCTTGCAGAATCACGTTACAGTTGACTAGATTTGTTGTGTTCATCACTGAGTTTATGTGAAAAACATGGTTTGTGAAAATGACATCTCCATTCTGACCGCACACATCGAAGGCTTGGTGGGTTGACGGTGCATCGTCAATCGCCTGGCCGTTGTGTCGTAGAGACTCCGGGTACAGATAACAGGCAGCCCTGTCATTGAGAAAAGTAGTGATTACATAGCCGGCTGCCGATGTGGCTAACGTCACGAAACGGAGCAACAACATCACAATGTATCGATCTGACTGATCTGTGGCGTCTTTGTACCCTAATGGCACCTGGCCCCTTTAAATATTCACAGTTGGGATGTAGTCATGGTTATCATAAAAATTCAACAAAACCAAAGACCGGGATGTTGCAGCTTCCCCTGCAGGAACTAATCAACCCCTTGATTGTTCGTCCATCATGTGACGGTACTAATGTTAAAAGTCGCAGATGACTTTCTGCTCCTTCGCTGTAGGAAATACATTCATTGCAAATATGATTCATCTAGCTTCATCAGGGAAATTTCAAGAAGACATAATGACTGAATGGGCTCTAAATCCAGGCCAAATGATATTTACATCTGATAAGAGAACAAAGAGGAGAGAAGAATGAGTGATTCTCTACACACAACTAAAAGGTAAGTAGCTAAATAGCTAGTGGCAGCCAGGCATCTAAACAGATGCTCTGTCTCAATAACATATCACCAACAATGAATGGTAAAGAGACTCTGCTCTGCCTACCATCTCTACACGCCATTCTTCGTCTCGCCGGTAGTCCAATCCCACCAAGTGTTAACAGGGTCGATTTTGTTCCCACACATGAACTGAAATAACTTGGCATTGCCATCCTTGAAGTTGGCCGCCTTGTAGAAGTCCGCCGTCTTGACCGGATCGTTTTCACAGATCGGTCCGCACCAGCTTGGATGATGGCCCCACCCATACGTACGAAGGATGGACGACTTCAGGCTATATTTCCAGTCGGGGCTTGTAGTTTGACCGATGTCACACACGGGAATGGTCCAGAGACCTTCCATGTTCACACCTTCGTCGTGAATTTTAGTGCTATCAGCGAACAGCTCGGCCGCGCGATTGGTAAAGGTCTCCGGGGTATAGTTGTTTCCAGCAGCTCGGAAGGACTTGAGAGAGGACTTGATGGCGTCCTAGGTAAGAGAAAAGGTTAGTATGGAATGTGTACATGTGTCGAGCTCACATACCTGTGGCTTAAGATTCTTCCAAAATGAACCGGAGCCGCCCTCTGCCTCGTACCGAGGATTGGGGCCCATGCGATCGGATCCCCAGGGCCGAGAAATCCATCCTCTCGGGGCATCCCCCGCAATGCCGGCCTGTTTCTGCCAGAAGTATAGGTACCAGGCCTTGCCATTCTCGTCGCAGATATAATTGTCGTCGGGTGCGGATATACCTGAGCCGATGCCCTGGCCGTCGCCGCAGGCGCCACCGCCAAGAATGAACACACGCTGCATGCGCCACAGAGAGTTGATCATCATCGACTGCATCACATTGATCATCACATCCTTAGCTCCGTTCTTCTGCAGTCCTTGGTAGTGGACCCAGGATCCGCCCTTGAGGTACGTGCGAACATCAGCGCTAGAACTTCCGTAGCCATTGCCGTACATCAGCTCGTTGTTCATGTTAATAAATGAGCCAGAGATAGATCTCACTGCCTCCGCCATCATATGGCCGAGGTTAGCCTGTGTGACATCGCTCGAGTCTCTACATAGGAGGTTAGTAATAGCAATAGTCAGAGATCTCTGTCAAAGATCTCCCTCAGATAGGGAGGGACTTACGCCGAAGAAAGAGCATTACCGGCTGCATTCACTCCACCGGTAACCATGGCTGAGCCTGCTCCCAGGATGCCGGGGACAGCAGCTGCCACAGCTGCCGCGAGAGCAGGCGCAGCAAAAGCACCGGCAACCACGGCAACCACAGCGGAGAGTACGTTCAGAAGCTGCTTCAGGATCGTTGGATCCCAGTTATTCTCGTCATACCAAAAGTTATTCACGATCTCATCGTTATCCATGGCCGCGACAATGGCAGGGATATTGAACGACTCGTCCAGACCGACGAAGAAGCCGTGTAGGTTGTTGAGCGACTGCAGCACATAGTACGCCTCTTCGGTGTTGTTGCCGAGAGAGTTGAGCTGGGCATTGCCACAAACTGGAATATCGCAGTTGCCGTCGTTGCCGTTGTTCTGGCACGACCAGCCGGGCTGGCCCAGTGCGTACTGGCCAAAAGCATTGGCAAACCCGTTTGTCGTCCGGTTGTTGGCGTTCACAGTCCACCATTGATCAAGCCAGGCGTCTGTATTTGCCTGGTTCCATTTCTCAATGCTAGGGTTCGCCGTGTACTTTGCGATTGGGCCACAGGCTTCCTCTTCTCTTTTGTAGTAGGATGGGCCATGGGGGACGGCGGCTGCTTGGAGGACAACCGCTGCCCATGCGCCCATGGAAAGCAAACGAGGCGTAAAAATCATGTCACTGGGCCACACTGAGATTGTAGCTCTGATACGTTCCGATATTAATGATGAGTCTTCTAGACATTTCCGAAGTATATATATCTCTTTCCAATTGCCGCTATCAACAATCAGGAAAGTGGATTTGGTATACGGTTGACAATATCCTCTTTCTTTTGTAGTCTGCGTGCAATCTTTGGGGGAAATAGCATTATCCAGAAGAGCACAAGGTGCAAGAATGAGCGAGAAACTGTGCCAATCATATCCTTTCCTAAAGTAGCTTAGCATATGGATATAGAGTGCTGTCTCACAATATCACCCTTCACTCTATGTTCTCCATGGTCCCTAGTTCCTGTCAGATTATTTCGAATCGGGGGAGTCCTGGGTAGTGGTCGTTTATCGCTATAGTAGTCAATCTATCTAAACTACAAACTTAGCCAGGCTTCGAGGTATTAATCCAAGGATTCGTAACATTGTTTAGAGCATATCAAAGCACCAAACCACGGCAAATTATTTTTGAGAGAATCCGGTTAAACAAATTTCAGGGTGGTGTCTTCGTTGGTACCGATTCAGCCCAATTCTATCTACGCTAACTTCATAATGTTCCGCGGTGGAGGATGTATTTTGCAGCGGTTTTCAGGGCTCGGCATGAATCAGCCGATTGGCCCATTAGATCTAAATAAATACCTCCAATATATAAGAAAAAATCGGGGGCCAAAAAGCACATAAGGTCAGAAAGGCGACAGTGGGATGAATGTTCTTCTTGCCGGTCCGAGTCCTGATTGGAATAAGGGGTGCATTTACTGTCGAGGCTTTGAGCAGAGATAGATGAACATGGAAGAATAAAACTTCCCCATATTCGTCTTGTCTAAAGAAATACACACCAACTGAAATCTCTGCAAGCATCCCAACTGTGGTTTTAGCCTCCAGATGTTATGGTCTGCTAATCTCTTATTTAGAGCCAATCTATGTCCTATTTGACATTAGGTATGATAATAGGTAGACATTAGCATATTGCTCCTATGTGACTGGCTAGTTAAACTCCGCAAACGGGTCGAACCCGTAGTAAGCGCGGCCTTAAAAAAACTCCAAACCCTAACCCAACCGAAAAAAAACCCATACGAGTTTCCTAATTAGGTTATGCCAAGCGGGTTCATATAATTAAATTTTATATAGATTCCAATGAGTGTTGACAGTGTCAAGGGTTGATCTATGGTCCAAAATCAGAAAAGAAACCGCTCATCAAGGAAGCCATCGTGCACCAGCCGTGTTGCGTGTGCACACATTTATGCATACTCCATGATCCCGATGTCATGTGGACTTGTAGAAAGTAGGATTCAGTCGGTGCCCCCACCGCTCCGTAGAAAGTCACATCTTCTGTAACTATTTCGTAAAGCTGCTTCGAAGGACTATCGATATGTTCAACATAGAATAGCTCGTATCAAAGGCGACTACGATGTGGTCGTTGCTGTGACCGTCTTACCTTTGAGTCGTAGTAAAGGGAAAAAGAAGGAGGTCCTGGAGTAAATATATGATCAGCGTGTGGTTAATGATCATCGAAGTATGCGACTATGAAATATTATGTAGTATCTTATGAGACCCATTCATCCCTACCTTTGCGTGTGGTTGGAAACGGATGCAAAGAAAACATTGATTGTTATTTAGCTAGACAGATTTGTAAATAGACAATAGGCAAGGATCATTATCCATACGATTTGAATCGACTTTGCCAATATATATCACGACAACAGGACTTCCAATGCTCCTGACAATAGCAAAACCTAGTCCTTTGAGCGAAACGAGATCACGGGTGTCAGTAAAATATATTCGATACAAAATATCTATAAACTATTTTATGAATGCAGGAACCAGGAACAAATTTGTCTATCGGGCAGAAACTTCCAAAAGCTAACGTCTCTTATTCCTTCTTTTTCGAAGACGATTTGGGAATCTTTCGTGTCCGTCGACGTAGCATCTCCACTCGTTCTTCCATGGTCCAGTTGACTTGATCACCGATGGGGATCAGGCATTTAGCCAGATATTCGTAGTTCTTCCGAAGTAAGTTCACAGTGATGAAAATATAATCGACATTTCGGAAGACGAGGGCATTTCCTTTGGCATAGGTATCCTTTTGCTTGAGGAAAGCGACAGGGTGATCTCTCCAGTGGCGGCGCGGGTTCAGGTGGTGAGAAGTGTGGTAGCCATCATTGAAAGAGAATCGGTTACTCTGGTATTTGTCAGTCTTAGTTCGACATGTTAACCAGGCTGATGGAAACTCACCGGAACATCAATCAGTGTGATGCTGGACAGATAATCCGAATCAGGGTCGGCTGGATCCACCAAAGCATGTTGGCCCCAGTTGCCGACCATCAAGCCCACGCGCATGACGGTGAGCGGGAGAATGAACACAAACATGGTGGCGCGGGTGTTGACGTAGTTGTAGAGCATATAAATGGCAACGTAGTTACCCACCTCCCAGAAAGCGCATTTGAGGGCATACTTGAACTGCCCCTTTCTCCAGAAGTACATCGGGAGTTCCAGCCAAATGAAAAAGAAGAAGCGGCCCACATATGTCAGGAAGTCGGGGATGCTGTCGCGGTCGTAGTGCATTGTTGTGCTCAGATCGTCCCCACCATTACCCTCGACGTGGTGGTGCTTGATGTGGTGGTAGTAGTAAGAGTTCCATGTATGTCCGTGCATTGGGTCCAGTAGGTATGGGAAAAGCATATCAAACAGATATAATGATGAGTTCAGGACTCCATTTTGGTGGATGTGCTGGTGCTTCATCAGCGTGAAAGCACCGCAATAAAACCCTGACATGAGCCAGTGCAGAGCACCGTGGAGGTAAGAGAATCTGTAATATAGGAATGCAGCACTTGGGACAATAGTGGTGAAGTAAAGTATAAGATGCGTTACCATGACCACGTCGGTCTGGTATCGCACGATGCCCTTGGCCCAGTTGATGTATGGCGTGAGCACGTACTTCTGGATGGGCGCGGGTAGCTTGGCCCGCAGCAGCGGGGTATCCCAGAACTGGGAGATTGTGGGATCAAATTCTACATGAGAAGGATCATTGAGGTTGTGAAGCCTTTGGATTGTTTCTTCGGTGCTCAGCTTGTCCAATGGCTGTGCACTTGTTTTGCCTGCATGTTTGTTAGTTTGGGTATTTGATCGACAATGCAGGTGTATTACCACTTGAACTGGGTTGAGGCTCAACAATGGCATCAATCACCAGTCGATCTTGATAGGTGAGCTGGGGATCTGTGTATGTAGAGGGATCCATGACGTCTTAGTACGGCAGATGCTAATCTTGTTAATCCTGTCAAATGGAATCCAACGGGCGCGCACTAACCCGTGTCCAGGGAGCTGATTGTTGATTATAAAGAGCTTCTAAGATGATTTCTGGGATTTCCGAGCTTATAAAGATAATAGATGTCTAGCACCCTAGACAAGGTCTCCAATAAGATAACGCGTCAGGGGCGCGAAGAGATTTCGGTCGCTCAACTGTGGGTCCTGGAATCGTCGAGTTATGTGAAGTGTCAAAACAGCATTTTGAATGTTTCTAGCACTTGATCTAGTATTTTCAATTACAGCTTAAGCTATCCGTCGCCATCCGAGAGTAGTTGAAGGGCTCGCTGTCCATAAATTATTGCGTGTGTAGAGTTCCAATCTGGTTCAGGGGCTCTGCGGGAGACATTTCCCCTGAACATCCCAACTTAACGATTTATGGCGGAAATAGCTGTCCAATTATTCAAGCTATGTAGGAGGATAGAGATGGGTTTATAGATAGTAATTTTCCAGTTTTAGTGAGGATTACGATAATTTACATCTTGCCCCTGGCGGAAGATCGTCACTAAGACAAATAAGCAGCCCAATACTCTCGAAGATCACAGCGGCTTTGTATGGACATGTAATAATACAAGACCGGTGAATGATATCCGTAAGAATGGTATAGAAAACCCGAAGCTGGGACATTCTATCATTTTTAGATGTTGCCGGTGGACTCTTGATGATCATTGAGAGTTGACATATATTCTAAGGCGACGTGATCATGTCTTCATTGCAAGTCTTGCAAGTGGAAATGTATGTACAGTCCATCAAGCCCCATCCCGCACTGCAATGGTAATTATCTGGTATATCCGTCATAATCACCATACTTTCATTGTAGGTGAGGAACTCCTGCTCGTCGATATCGTTTTTAGTGGATCATGTGGTTAGGGATTGAAAAAGAATCTCTTTGTTTCCAAAATGGAAGGCGCTGGGCGTTACTGGAGATAAAACATGATAAATGGATACGGAAAAGCGTTGTTCTGTTGGAGAGTATGGGTAATTCGGTAATCAAACTGTCACTTTGTTATCAAGGGCATCACACATGGACTGTAAGGATGAAAGATGAAAGAGAAGACAAACAAAGGGGCATCTAGCCTTAATTGCCAAGATTTGCCAAGACAGTAACATTGTTGGCGAAGAGCAGTGACTCCCTTCGATTATTTTCCATACAGAACTTCAAAGACCCTGGTATACAATACCTTGTCTAAACTTAGCAGGCCACTGCACTGTAGGGGTCGACCCGAGAACCTGACCGGCTCTGTCCAGAGCGCTGATGAAGAAATATCGACACGTCGGGCTGGTAGGAACATATATCTCAGTCTCAAAGCCATCTTTCAGAAATGTCCCCAAGAAAACTGATTCTCCCCAGGCAGCCTCAATATCGATTCCGCTCAAAGACCACATAAACACTTCTGTGGCTCCATTCCAACTCACATACACCCGTCCACCGTCCACAGCAATGTTAGGCATGCCCTGAGGATGACCAACCCAGGGACTCTTCGAGATCCGGTAGGTACGGATTTCGCCGCTGTTGAAGAATGTCTCGGGGCCCAGATGAACGTTGCAAAGCAGAGATCCATTCGAGGCGTATTCAGCCCAGTTCGCATTCGGACCAAAACCTAGAACCACATTGCCGCTATCCAAGACCTGCATCGATCCACTGTTGTCCGTGAGAACACTGTTCGGACTGATGTATTCATGCTGCAACTGCACAGTCATCTTCTCTATATCCAGGACCAGTGTCAAACCCCGGGTTGGACCTGTCACTGGACGACCAGGACAGTTCCCGTTATCGAAAATGGAAACAATCTGGCCATCTTTGTGGAACCGGGCATGGTGCTGACCATTGAAGGCTGTTGCGGCGCCACCGGAAAGGTCTTTGAACATATTTGCTTTTCCTCCTAGCTTCCAGATCACAGCGCCTGTTTGACCATCCACGTAGGCAATGGAGCTCATCATTCGACAGGAGATGAGGTAATTGCCGAGATCGTCTTTTTCGATGCTGTTGACATGGAACAAATCAGGAGCGGTTTTTTCGGTTTTACCATCACCCGGTTGGAGATGATAGTACTCCTCAAAGCTATAATGGTCTGAAGCTCGCCATTCAAATAGTACCTCTCCGGTCTGGACTTCGATCTCCTGAAACCCTGCATCCAGAATGAAATCGACTCCCAGTGGTGCTTCGAAGGTTGTTTGGTTTACCGCGAAGACACCATTGATAACTAGAAGTGCAGTCCCTGAGGAACTCAGGGTTAACTCATGCGCATCAAGCTGCCAACCGTTGCCTGAACGGATTTGATAAGCTTCCTCGTAGCGGGAGTTTATCTAAAGGAAATTAGAACCTTTCTCATTACAATGTCGCCAATCGAAAACTTACTAATGCGTAATAGCTTGAATCTTCAGATAGGGAGACAATATAGTCCTCTCCTTGAAAATATTGTATGTCTGCTGTGACATACCCGGTAGTATGCCAAACGAGATAACCTTTTGTATCGAGGAGCATCACTCCCGGAATGTTCACCTGCTTTCCCCAGTATGGCACAACAGTGTAAATGCTCTCATTGTAACACTGTGAGTTTTCCTCAAGAACGTTCAGGATAGGTCCAATAGCATTGCTGGAGTGGTACAGCTGGTGAGGCCATCGGTCGAACGCACCAATATCATATGGTCGCGATCGATATAGGGGAGGGATGTCAGCCAGCGACTCGTAGGTCAGCAAGAACAGCGCCACAAGTTTTAAAAACATGGTTGGACATCTCAGAGTACTGCAGGGCTGAAGTAAAACATGGCCGTAGAGATATGACCTGTAGCCGATGTCGGGGGTTTATCCCAGCCTCCGCGCCAAGTAGATGTGCGCAGGTGAAACCTTAGGGAAGTCTTGGTGCGTTTGTTTTGGTGGGGCGGCACGTTCTGTTTATGATTAAGTTTACTTCTTATTATTGTCGTAGTACGGAGAAGCTTGTGCTATGCTAAGAGGGCTTCTTGTAGGTTGTAGGGCTTACCGGTTATCTCGTGGAGCTATTGTTCACAATTCTAATCTTTGAAGTATTGCTTCGCCTAACTTATGGGTCGACAGAGCGTTAGCTGCATTGGACGAAAATATCGTTCATATGCCTTATCAAGAATGCTTTTCGTAGGAGTAGAGAAGACATAGGTTTAGATGGAATTCTTACATATTAAGTTAGGGGGCCTTATATACGGATATGTGAGCTAGAGACGCGAGACAACTTTGAACGGACTAATAACTGTCAGGTTTTAGGTCAAATGGTTTTAGTCAGAGGAAGGCGGACCAGGAAGTTGCCTGTATTATTGTACATTGTAGGTCCACAAGCATGCCTAGGCACAATCTTGTTTCAGAATGCTAACACTACGTAGGACGGAGAACTACCGAGTTGATTGTGATCTGTCCGATGCAATTAATTTGATCACTGCAGGGTCGCACCACATGTGCAGCTTCAAACAGATTAATGACGTTATCCCTGTAGCGTCAACAAGATCGGATTTCTTGGCTATAGAACAGACCTTGGTTGGGACTGCACATCACGATCTCGCGTGGAGTTGACCCCAGTATAGGGGCTGAATATTAGACCACAATAAACCATAATAGCCTCACATGATCTTAACAATGCACAAGTTTAATTGGGGTCTAAAAAAAGAGCTAGCGTCCGATAGGGTAATGTAAGAGCCAACACGTTTATGTAGTGAGCTATCTTCAGTTCATCTCAAAATAAGCTATGATACCATAGCCTTGGTATTGTGGAACTAGTTTATTAACCTTTCAATAGTTGTCGATATTACTTTTGATCTCATACCATGAAATTGGGATTTACAGGAGTAACCTTAGAAAACACTGAGATATGCAGTGCGATTGTACCCTTACATCGTAGAGTTCTAACGAAGGCAACTTGCGGACTGGGGAACGTTTCAAACTCCAATCAATTCGAAGCTATCAGAAGCCTACAGTAAATCCCCTCTTTGTCTCAGCCCACGATGTTTTGCGATCATATGATATGTTGTTATTCTTTTGTTACCACTTTACCAAATGGAATTTCAAGAAAACAAAAGATGTCTCAGCCTTAAAATTACAATTGACAGCGATGAACATCCTAATTTTCATAGATGCCCAAAGATAAATAGAAAAATGTCTCACATCCCCGCCGCCAATTCTCTAGTTCTTAGTAGTTCGTGGCAACCCCGACACTAAGTCTAGATGAAGTAAGATTTTCGCCACCCCATCACATCACTGGTTCAGACCCAGTTTTAGCAGGTCTCTTGACATCATGACCTTCAGCAATTAGTGCAATATCAGATATTGACGGGGTTAACCGTGTCTTGGTGCATGTTTCTTTCCCCGGGTCATTCACAATGTAAACCTCCGACTGGAGGGGCTATGCAGAAATGGGGTTGTCAATTCTCTAAATGGCAAGTAATCAGAAAATCTCTTGTAAAAGATATGTTATAGGATGTGTATCTCCACAGGCTAGAAATCCCCTCGAAAAGGACCCGTGCATATAAATATTGTTAGTTTCCCTCCTGACTTTTCCCCTTTCAACATTGGAACTCGGAAACCCAGCCTCCAACCTCTTAACCTTCAACTGTTAACCTGCAACCTCCGACTTCCAATATTTAAACCCTCCACCTCACCCAAAACATCAAACTTCAAGATGAACTTCCTCACTTCCCTTCTCTTGCTGGCTACCACTGTCATCGCAGCTCCTGTCGATACTGCCAAGGAGTCAAAGCGCTTCCACCTTAAGTCTACCGGCGCCACCAATGCGAACCACAACAACCTATATGTCTATGCCTACCACACGGGCGCAGGTCTCAATGACGCAGTTCTCACCAAGGATGTTGGCACGGCCAGTCCTATCTATCTGAATGGCACAAACGCACTTTTCGATTTGAAGTCTGAATTCCCTTGGGGAATGATCGCCACTGGGGATACCAACTATGCTTGTCAGTATCGCCACATATCTTGGAAAAGGTCTCCGGTCTTACGTTACAATATGAACTAACTCACATTTTCCTTCACTTTAGCTTGGGAACCTATTGTTATCAACGCTGGCAGCGAGGGCAGCGAAGGATACTCCATCAAGGGCAACAACTTCCAATGGTCGGAACAGAACGGCTTCGGAGGCTGGCTCGGTAAGAATTTCGTCTTTGTTCTTTCACCTTCATTTTGAGACCATGACATTAACATCTCCAAAACAGTCTGTGATTGGTTCCACAATGCGCCCCAGCTATTCTACCTAAACCGCTTCTACGAAGCCACCATCCCCTCCTCCTGCTCCAGGGTCCAATTAAAGACCGAATACATCTAATAAATATTTCCCACGGTCGCTTGGGGTGATATGGTCCCTATTAATGGCATTCAATGACGGTCAGGAGGACCTAATGTTTACTAGTTAATGCTGCGTTTTCAGCGAATAATGAATATGAAATGCTTGCTTTCTTGCTATGTACATTCTGCTAGTTCAAGACGGGGATATCAAAAAAATAAAAAAACACACTAGCAGGAGAAAAGATCGTAGAGCCGATCAACCGCGTGACATCATGTTTCAACGTAAAGCGTTTCCCTTTTCATCGTCGCGCCCGGTCACGAAGCCGCAATTCCAGCGCTAGGAGCACTCTCATAATAGCGCTTGTCCATTCCAGCCTGCAATCGCGCTTCTTCGTTAAATGGTCCCCGGATCGGACCCTTGAAATGCTTTTGCACATTAGACCGGAAGACATGAACAGGATCAGTCCCCTCCTGTGCACAGATCCACGTCAACCATCGATGACCTGTAGTAACATGCGTGATCTCGTCGTTGTGAATGACCTCCAGTACCTCCACGCTCTCACCATCATCAGCTTTGCGGAACTTCTCAATCGTCATGGGGTTGACATCCAGACCTCGTGCTTCATGCACCAGGGCGATAATACTGATTCTCGCCCGGAGGTCGTACGCGGTTTCGGTCGCCGATAGCCACAGGCTGTGGTGTACGGGGAGCGAACCAAATGCAGCTCCCATCTCCTCGAGTCTGGTACGGAGGAGGGAGAAGTGCTTAGCCTCGTCGTTCGCGACTTTCAGCCAGTCGTAGAAGAATGCGCGTGGAAGTTCCTGGGATGTCCCTTCTGTTTGGAACGTCGCAAAGCGGATGCAGATATCAATAGCCAGGTCGATGGCCCATAGTTCGATATTGGCTAGCGCATGGAGCATAGCGATGCGGCTCTTCAAGGTCCCGCCTCGTCCTGCCTTCGGCATCTGGCCCGGGTCAACAGTTTCCATTTTCTCGCGTGGTGGCTGGTCAGGCGGTGCGACAGTGCCCCTGCCAAGCGGCATGGGCGAATCGGATGCCTCTCTCGCAGTAAAAATGGAGAAAAGATGCGTAGCCAGCTCGATCTTGTGCTCTGGGTTAGCAGTATTGAGAACGTGGGCAGCCCAGTCACACAGTGTCGCGTCGTCGCCGAGATAAGTCGCCATTCCTGTGTCCTCTGGACTCGCAGAAACAGAAACAGTAGCAAGAGCAGCAGTGAGATCAGCAACGGCCTTTTTCGGAGATCGCGTGTGCTTGAGCTTGACTTTCTCACTAACAGGGTCGATACTATCAAGCCCAACACTGACTCCGTCCTCAACGGGGAAATCCATAGCAACGAACTCGCCACCCACGTCCACAGGGAATGTGCAAGCCTTGATACCGACGCTCGATTCGCCAGTCTCTACATTGAAATCGTACGCGTGCCACGGGCACGACACGACATACGCCGAGTCCTCGATGTCAACCGAGGAGTCGGCCATTGGGCCACCAGCATGTGGGCATTCTGCCTCCATGGCGTAGTATGACCAACCGTCATTGGTCTCGTTTGATTTTAAATTTGATTTGTCAATCGTCGGTAGCCGGAACAAGACGACTTTCTTGCCTGTGGTCAGGCGGACCACGTATCGCGCTTGCGTGAAGTCGGATATTTTTCCGCAGTTAATCCACATTTTGATTTGGCAAACGTCGCTTGAAGTCTGTTTGGCGTATTTCGACGGGTTTGAGGCTTTTCGCCTCGATTGATTTTAATAATCACGTGACAATGTGTTATGGCCCCACCTTTCGGTGGCATTTATACAGGAGAACTTATATAGTTAACTAGGGGATGTATGTTAATTTTTAGTCTAAGCTTGATCGCTATCTTCCTGGATACTCAATATATAATCTCCAGGCTGCATCCCTTGTCTTGTTATCCAAGGGGGAAAGCGACCTGTCCAATCCCACCCATTTTACCATTTTCATACTTCGGATTTTTAGGTAGAGAGATGAAAAATACAGAGTACATGGTACATACACTTGTATGAAAAAAGACATTCGCAAAGGCATCCGTGGTCGCCAGTCAGGTCTCTACCGTCAGCAGTTTTAGTGTAAATCATGTAATTAATATGTCATGGATACGAGAAATTCGACGGCTACTATACTGGTACATACATATAAGGTACCTGTAAAAAAGAAAACTGTATTTAATTAGGAACCACTACGAGGCTCTGTAGGGGCAGTGTGAAAAACTTAGCAGGCGTACAAAAAAAATCAACTTATATTAACCAATCATATAGCTCAGGGTTATAACACTGAGATTAATTGAAAAATGAGTAGCTAGAGAGCGGTGAAGGCACACTTGTTAAATGGGAGCATTTTAGCGAGTCATCAGGTTTGATATGCACTATGGCAAAGCTAAAGCTGTCACTCATGACCGGTGGCGCCTATAATAATTCCTTTTGAGGTCGAGACTGAAAAAAAAAACAGGCTAAGTGTTGAGCGGCAAACTACAGCGGAACTTTGGGCGCCTAGTTCCCCGAACAATAATGTGGGCCTCGCTTGCTGGTCTCAATGAATGTCAATTAATAGCGTCTGCGATCGGAAAAGTGCGTCGCGGATTTTCCCCTCAATTAAGAAGACTATTATTCAAGTTCCTATAATATCTAGGCTATTAGAGGCTATTCATATCAATTCACTTGGATTGACTTGAATAGCTTATGTACATAGTGTGCGTGGTTGAAAATTACGTGGTTTCATTGCTGGTATTTATTACGCCAGTGACGACTGCCTTCACAATTTACGAGCACCTGAGCATCTTCTGCGACAGGGGGATTTGAAAAGGTCGGAAATAATTCCTAGTGTTTACTCATCACTCTGCTCGTCTTTCGAGAGTTCACCTTTTCACATTTCAATTCACGTTTCAGTTTCAATACGCAGAGGCCTGCATGCACAAGTGACGATTTTTACTCTGCCTTAGGTGAGACGCGGCTAACCAAATCTCTACGGTTTAATAAGGACTAATGTTAGTTATCCACAGAACACTGCCTGAAAATGGAGGGTGGTCCCAACCATCCGATCAAATGGGGGACATATCGAGAGGGCGTCCAGTCTCAGCTTCAAAAATTCGAGTCCCTGCCACAGCATGGCCTCGCATTAATACAGTCCTACCAGGCCGTCATTGACAACGATGAGACTTTCACCCAGTACTTTTCAGACGAGCCACTCGAGAGTTACACAATCGAGTCACGGCTAAGGGAAACATTAGGTATTCGTTCTCCGTCTTCATCTGACACCGAGAATGGTCCCTCAATCAGCTGGGTCAACATTTTCCGACACGGCAGTTTTGAAAAGCAAAGTGATGGCTCCTACTATTGTTATGACCAAGGAAACCGCGTTCAGATCGATGAATCCCTACATAAAAGTATTTTACTCAATCGATGTTTCCTCCCGGCAAACTCTTACCTCTGGCCAAGTTCCGCCGACGCTGAACGAGAGTCGAAAATCACCCTGGCCATAGAGGCAGATATCTTGGAAGAAATCGACAAGAATATCAAATGTCCGTATTTCCCAAAATTTCTGACACAGGCAGGTCGCAGGGGACATACTAATGAAAACAGATGTGGAGAAACTGAAGCGACTTCAGCTGTCACTGAAGAAACGCCGAAGTAAGCTTCAAGGTATTCGAGTCCCACTGAAAAGGTCTCGTACACCGCAGACCTCTGGATCACAGTATCCTACCCCAAACGAGTCACGTCGTCCCACGGTATCTGTTGAGACGCACGATATCCGTGCACGCAGTTCATCCGAAAGCTCGGGTGTCTCAAGCGGATCCGACATCCCCTTCACTGCCCCCGGCGATATCTCGCAGCAGATATGTCATGACACTGAGGATTATGGCAATGAAACGGTTGACGAGGATCCAAGCCAACAAGAGAATTGGAAACTCATCGCCAAAAGCAACCAGAAACCATATGATAATGAAACGGGAGTTTCGGTGTCTGGACTTCTCAGCACCAGAAGGCCCGAGGTCATACAATGCCAGGATGATACACAGAAGTCCCAGCACTCCCAACGAGACGTGTCAGCGAAATACCAGCTCCATGGCAATGAGGACCTAATGCGACCGTCTTCAAAAAAGCAAAAGACCGAGACTACCTCATCACCAACAGAAATCGAGACCATCGACCTTAGCGAAGAATTGCCAATGTGGAACGAAAAGGTCGATACGCCCAATAAACCACAACCCAAATCTTCCTCTGCAGGAAAGCGACGGAAAGGACAAAAGCGAACACGGAACAACTTCACCGACTACGAGAAGGAGCACGCTCCAGCTTGGTTTAAGAGCCAAGTAGACGCAGGAAAGCTACCGGGCGATGTTGAGAAGGCCTACGTTGAAAAGTTCGGTGTCTTCCACCGCTGGCTCACTCTGAAACTTTGGATCGACAGGCTGGACGAAAGGGCCTCCAAAGCAGAGCACCCAAGCAAAATCGTGGTATTGAAAGTACAACTCCCGTTGCATCTTCGTTTGGCCTTCTTGAATGACAATCCCTCCTAGCCGATTCGGTCGCTCCCAACCAGCCGAGAAATGCCAGCAGCAACTATCCCCAACCCCAACCATGCCGCCGCACCGTCCTATGTATCCCCATACCCCTTGTACCGGCCCTCTCAGCAGCCTCCGGGCTCATCCATCGCTTAAAATCTACACCGGCCATCCCAATCGGCTGAACCACCGATTAAGAGTAGCCTTCCGAAGCTGTACTGATAGGTGGGCCTGGATGTCAGATATTGCAGGTCATTTCACAACTGACGTAACTTTGAACACATTTTTAATGCTTAAAAGGTGTTCTCACAGTATGTTCCTTTTCATATCACTACAGACATCTCACTAATCTATCTTCTCATAGAGAGGTTTTCCTTTGTCGGGAAGTTTCTCTTTTGCTTGTCTCTGCAGATTTTAAGTGCAACTGGTCAAACACTTATCTTCATATCACCCATTCCATCTGACATTTACATACCTTCTAATAATACCGTTTAAGAGCATTCATTCACTGTTAGTGTTTTATTTTGTCATTACTTAAGAGGCAAGAGAAATTCATCCAATTAAGCGAACTAACCAGCGACCTGATGCCATAGGAATGCGGTATTGTCGTAACGTTATTTTATACTGCCCACAAATGCGTTTGTAGCAAGACAAATGCTTTTTCTTTAATTATTGCATTCCAATATTTGTAAACGTTGGCCCACTTAGTCAGATTATCGGAAAGTAGGAGATAATCCGACTGAGGTTTTTCAGAGGCAAAGATGACGTTTCGCAGTTCTCGATGAGAAATCCGACCTCGGGAGTATCTGAGTGATGACTGAGAGATTGGAAGCACCTACGGTAGGCATTAAGGCCATTTATGTGTGCGGTGGGGGACTCATGGGAACTATGGTTCTCTCTTGTCTTCGTTCCTCTCGTCCGCTCCGCTCCGCTCCGCTCCGCTCTGCTGGGCAACATAACCGTCTTTCTCTCCATCCTCACCATTTTAGACATTGTCTAGTACTTGTACCACCTTAGCTACGCTCTCTTTAAGTAAGTTCCTACGTTCCTACGGACTTGAAGTTAATGAACAACTAAATGAAAGATGTGATAATGATAGCTCTGGGGAAGTGGTGATCCTGTGTAGCCGTCGCGCCCCGGGTGGGGCTGGTATGTAGTGAGACTTTACGACGAGCATTTCCAACTAAAATATAAGTGACGCCGGAAATGACCACTTTTGAGGCCAGAAACGGCTGCCTTTCCACCTGTAACCTTAGAAGCATAGCCCTCCCTATTTACATTGGACGCATGTCATCACCTGACTGGTGGACTTATGATAACCTCCAAATTACTTAATAAATATGGGTAGTGCGGTGTTAACGGACGGTGTTGTGCCAGGTGCTGTGCCAGGTGCTGTGCCACCCTTTTGCTCTTTCTTTTCTAAATTACTTACATATTCAAACCCAATGCGCATAAGGTGACAATAGAGGTCAAATAAAGCAGAACCCTGTCTCACCCATAGTAACAGACCTTGCCCCTATATACGCAGTATCCCTAGGATCTTCTCATTCCACTCAGGGTCCCTCCCTATCTCCTTCATCAAAAGGTCATATCGATACAACAGTTCAAAGCACATCTTCAGATACTCCTTCATGTCCCTCCTCTCATTATCACTTTCAAGGCTCAGTGGGTCCCACGATGGGATCTCAGAACGATCAGAAATGCCCTTCGCATTCCAAAACAACCGATGTGGTATATTCTGAGCTGGAAAATCAAAGTCGCCCAATCCCCAACCAATAAACTTTCTGAACGGCTGCGTCTCTGTCAGATAACCTGTATCATTCACAGATCCTGGTTTCGCACTGGCTTTGACAGAAGCAGCGATATTCAGCAGCATGTAAATTTCCAGAGCCACGTCAGCAACATGCGTCACACCGAAGCTGTGACCCCATCCTAGATTGATTAGATCTTCTAGTGGGACTTTCTTGTGGTTTGCAAGACGTAACAGAGCGAGTATCTCATTCGAGATAATGAGCATTTTTACTGCATCGGCTAGATACCCAGTAGAGGTGCCATAAGGGGCTTGGTTTATCCAATAGTCAACATCCTGGAACTCCTCACACAGTGGATTTGATACTGCGGAGTTAGTCTCGTGTGGTCCAAGCTGGTACTTCTCTTCGATGACGGGTAGAATAGACGAGTCATATAGAGGGCCAGATGTTGGCAGATCGTCAGGAGGTGGGTATTTGGCTCTCTCTGTGGTTGAGAACTCCTCAATGGTGGAAATAAGAGTCCGCGTGAAGTAGTTAAACTCGGCGGATTGACGATCAGCTAAGCTATCATGGATGACGAAATCATTTTTGCGTATGCATGGGTTGTCCTTTATGAAGGCGAAGTGTGATGACACTGTATTCCAGGGGATCTTATGATCTAGGTGCATGGTAAGCAAAAAGAACTATTCTCTTTACAAGCAAGCGACATGGCCTCTACGTTACGTGGCAGGGCAAGTGGGTTGAAACCTAAGGTTTCGCTTACCGATTACGTTACCCCTGGAGAACCAGAACACTTAGTCAGCGGTCAACGTGGAGGGTATACATCATGGCCATGAGAAGTATATACCAGGCAGTGCTCATCCCGCAGATGCTCCACGGGGCTATCGAGGTAGCGGCAAGCTCTCTCTCTCTCTCACCAGGCCATCTTTAATATGGCTGAGTGCGAGTAGGATACCCATTAGCTCGGCTGCATAGGCCGTATCCTGATCGAAAAGGATACTCACATGTCCGCTATTCACAAACGAAGATGTAAAATGAGACTGCAAAACCTGTAGGCTGGGTGCCCTAGTTGCCGAGACATAGTCTAGAAATAAATATCCAAGCGAGAACAAGACGGTCAGGCCTATCCCGTTTGTGTCGGTGTCAGTGATTCTGATGTCAGCCGGTTTGATGAAGTCGGGTCTGGGTGTTAGCAGGTTGCCGCTGTTATTCTCGGAGATCGTTGCCGTGTACTATGTAGTTGGGGTTTGTCTGATCCGCCCCCTACCCACGCTACCGCACCCTAACTATGGGCAGCGCTTGGTCACTTTGTCTGCAGAAGGGTCTATCCTCGTCGGAGGTGACATTACAATTTGCTAGCCAATTTCGGGGGGTTCCGGGAGCCGTCTCCAGGTCCACGCATACTAGTTAGGTGTGGGATTGGCCTCACTACATAATGTGGTGGGGAGCCTCTCTATAGCACTGGATACTGTGCAATGCTTAATGTAAAACTTAACGGCTCCCATTCTGGGACTAACCCAGCCCACTGCCTTTATTCGTTTCGAGCACAAGGAAAAGATGCACATTTATCATTTTGGTTCATTAGTATGGACGTAATGAATCTTTTTTTTATGGTAGCTTGCGTTCGACGTAAATGGGAAAGTAAGGTTTTAAGCTCAATATCAGTATACCACAGTGTATTCGTTTGAATGGCTCTCGCCTTTCTTTGCTCGGTTATCGTCCATTGTTCTCACCGTCACTTCTTCCAAGTTGTCTCCACCCCCGTCGGGATCCGAACATTCTTCCAGGAATCGGACTAGCACATATCCACGTCACGCCCCACGGCGTTCTGGATAAACTATGGGCGACCGCCGTCCCCTTGCCCGGGGACAGCACTTGGAAGGGGCCTCGGGAGTCTCGTCGGGTGAACCCAACATGACGCTTAGCCCATATACTGAACTGCAGCATGACCTCGGTGAGGCTTACAAGAAATACAAAGGGTATGCCGAGATCATTGCTAAAGGAGGCCCATTGGCCCCTCAATTCTACGACTCGATTTTCTGCTCTGAGGTAGAGAAGACAGCTGCTAGAAGCTTTGGCCAACCACGCCCACACATGGTTGGAGGCAATACCCAGAAGCCCATTGAGTGGACTGATGTTCTTCGTAAAATGCTCACTCCTGGGGATTTTCAACGCCAGCCAAATGGTATGTACCGGTGCTGCGTTCGAGGAAGCTTGATTGAGATTACCGAGGCCAATTACACTGAAATCCTCACTGGCGTCACTGATCGACTTTTGCAGCCATTGCAAAACTTGTCGAACGAACAGAAGGAAACTAGAGTTCGTCTTAAACTGGGTTCTGACCTGCACCAGACACACCACAACCTCGTCCAATGTAAGTCCATCCTCGTCTATGAACCGTTTGGCTTCTATAAGTCGTTTGGTTTCGAACTAATATTTTGTCTCCCTAGTTTCCAACGCAGTCCGGGCATCTCTTCAAGCCTTGAATCGACCCCCACCTATCCATGTTGCAAATCCCGGCTCCACTGGACATGAAGCTCAACCGCCTACCCCACTGTCAGCTCCACATAAGACTTATGACCGAAAGATGATCTACATTTCCGACTCTGAAGGCAACAACAATGGCAATAGCGGCAACTCCAACCCAGAAGCATCAGCATCGGCTCGGTCTAATCCTCCTGAGATTGTCAAAGCCGAACCGGCTGGAAGCAATAATCCTGGTATCGAAGAAGAACCGGTCGATTCCGGCCCATCGGACGTTCTTCCATCCATTGATTCAGCCACCGATACAAATGGTTATGTCCTGCCAGCTGACCTTTTGCAACGGGGTTTCGTTGATGCAGCCAGCGACTCAGATGATTATGTCCTCCCAACCGACGCCCTGGGCAGCGATTCCACTGGTTCGGTCAGCGACACGAGCTATCCTGTCTCGTCCACCGATATTTTCCAACGATGCCCCACTGATTATCTAAACGACATGGATGATGACGTCTCTTCTACTGACATTTCTCGACGTTTTTCTGCTAATTGGGCGAGCGATTCGAACAATGATACCCAGTCAATCGACCGTCGCAGAGGCAATACCATTGATTCAGCATGCGACACAAATGAGAATGCTGGCTTGATTGCATTCAACTTGTTGCGAGCGGCCGGTAATCGGATGAACAACAGGAATACCGATGCCGGATTGGTCGATAGCAGCACCACGTTCGCCATGAATAACCAAAACCATGTGGTTGAGAACACAGATGCCAATACCAGTACAAATGTCATCTCCAACGTCAATGCTAATGCCCAACCACCTGGCCTCATCTCCGAGGCTGTCTCGCAGTTAGTCCATCCGTGGCTGTTGAACATCAACAGTCCCGATAATGCAATCGACGTCGATGCACAATCTCATTCATCTGGATCCGACATCCCTTGGCAGATCAAAACCTCAGACGCGTCCCAGTCAACTGATACTTCTGCCGAGAATGAACATGAAGCAAGATCTCATAGCTCAAAAAGACTCCGAGGTGGATCCTTTTACAACGAGGAATGGAGCAAGACACACCCAGCTAGAAGATACTCTCGATTGGAAGAGGAAGAAGGCCCAGGATTTGTGAAACATCTGGTCAACAAAGGATCCACTACCACCGAAGTTGAAGAGGAATACGCCCAAATGTTCGGGGTTACCCGTACTGTGGGTGCTATCTTCAAGAAGTTCAAAATCAAAGGTGCTTGGGCGTTGTTGAAACCGCTCCGAGAGGCAAAGAAGCAGAAGACTATGGTACCGAGCCCCCATTACTCCACTCTTGTTGAGCAAACTTTACTAACAACTACTTATAGTCAACCTAGTCTTGCTATGATCGACACACATGCTCACCCTGTGGGGTTTGAGCCCGATGGACTGAGGATACAGACTGATGAGGTAGAAGGGGATTGGAGAGGAGGCATTAGAGAGGATGGACGGGTTAGGATGGTTGGTGGGAATTGGGGTTTCTAGTGCGCTATCTGGGAGGCAGTGGCCGATTATGACTTACGACTACTTTCATGATTTTGACGATATCATATTATTAGCAAGGCCAATCCAAGCATAACTTATCATACGAGTGTTCCATAATGGTATGTTCAGTGTAAGTGGAGAGAAACCGCCATAGAGACCGCCCAGTGTGTAGTTTGAATAAACCCCTGATATGCTCCCGTTGTCATAAGATTTTAATACATACATTGGACCCCACTATCGATATCGCCTCTAATTGTTCCATCGTGACACTCCATCTAATTTCTTATTATCCCACCCACGATCTTTCCAATCAAAGCCTTTTATCCATCCAATCTCTCACTTAGGTACTCCATTGGCCCTTTAGGGTTATCGCATGAACAGTTTTCCTCATAATGAAGCCCATTTACGCTCCCGCTTCTCGACTTACAGTGCTACCACTGCTGTGTCAAGGGAAGGTTAGTTGAGATGTCTGCAGAGAATTACCACTTCATCAAATTGAGATACCCACAACGCGTGATACAACAAGAAGAGGCTGCTGGAATAGTGGGAAAACAAGACGTCAGTCCTGTCAGTGCTGTCATGTATCGTGAGTTTACAACCATCCTTAGTAGGTTTGTGGGTCATATAAATGCCAATATAGATCATCAAACACAGACTCGTGCAACAACCCCCTACCCGCCCCGATTGACAAAACCCTAACCTCACTTGCATCAGATCTCTCACCTCATCCTGAGAAACGCACCACGGTGTCATGGAAAGGATATCAAGGGAAGCTCACAGGCCGCTCAAGAATTCCAAGCTGAACCGGGACGTCGTCGCTCCATCAGCCGACGGTCTGATTGCCAGCCCCATGGCAAGCAAGGTTTCTCTGGTTGGACCCCCATTTTAGTGTCACATAGCCCAGTTATATCAGCAGATGATCCAACCAAACCTGACTTCCCAACCCACATTGATGAGCGCAAGAAGCTTGGATGTGGCAGAACAGTCACAGTCCGACGCAAGTGGTTCTAGAAACACTGCCAAACATCCAGTTACCCCGGCTAAAGGATGTTTTTATTCTCTATATCCCCTCTCCAAAAAAGCAAAGCAATATCATGGATAAGGGAAAGAAGAGGGAACCTGGCCCTCCTGATTCTTAGGTCAATGATGGAGATTGCATATCGAACCCAGACGCTTAATGCAGGGCGGGGAAGGAAAAGTCAACTTTGTTAAGAGTACTCGAATTGGAAATGGGGGTGGGTGTTGGTGGGAGATACTTGACAGCGTGCATGTGTTATATGTAAAAGTACTACTGTAAGATAGGTTAGGTACAATCAAAGTATACCCAAAAGCGATAGTGCAGTTGTATTCACAAAATTAGGTAGTAAGTACGTAAGTTATAAGCTCAACATCAGGGCTCGATAATTCATTAAAAACAAGATAACTAAAGATTCATTTCGTAGCGAACGTATGCAGCAAATAGAAAAAAGGGCCTCGGATCCACAGTGTATGTTCACCATTCTTACAACGCGAGAGCAAGACCGAGAACACCAGCGGCGCCAGCAAGGCTCATAGCGATACCAGTAGGAGCGGCACCACCATCAGCAGTGGTGGATTCAGCAGAGCCGGATGCCGAAGCCGAGGCCGATGACGAAGCAGCGTCCGATCCGGTAGCAGCAGAGGAGGAAGACGAGTCCGTAACAGTAGAGCTAGAATCGGCAGAAGACGAAGCACCAGAGGATGAAGTGCCAGAGGTAGAGGTTGCCTCAGCACTGCTGGGGTTGGAGCTGCTCGCGCCGGAGCCGGTGATCTGGGCAGCGATCGACGATGCGAAAGAAGGATAGTATTCCTCAACCGCAGTAGTGACATACTCCTTTACGCTGTCGGGAAGACCGCTGTACCATGTTGGCCAGGAGTTTGAGACAATGCCTTGCTCAACTTGGGAAAGGAAATTAGCGGTGTTGGTGGCTTCGGCCCAGAATGAGGTTGGGACGGCGGTTGCGAGAACCGCGGCGATAGAGGGAGGAGGCATATCGAGACCCAATTCTGTGTCTCCGGTTTCAAGCTCGGAGCTGGTGTCAGCCGGGGCGGCCATGACCATACTAGCAAAGAGGAGTGTTGCGAGAGGCTTGTACTGCATGGTGACGGTTGGAGGAAGTATATACTCGAAGTATAAGACGGAAAAGATGAATGGAGATGTTTCTGTGTTAATTGAGTATGTGAAAGGAAGAAAAAAATTAGTATATATCTGGGGGTGTTATGCTTAAATACGCCCCCAGTGCATTATCACAGACCCTAGAAGGCTGTGCGAACTAAAACCATATGGGGCGTACTGGGGCTCTGACGGTGCAGCCCGAAGCCATCGCGCTATGTTCCCGGGTTCCACCATCAACGGCCAATTACGGCCTCTCGCCCCCAAAGTTGTCGATCCAACGGGAAAGGCGCCCCCGAGATCGTTCATTGTGTAATGTACCCGATAATCCCGATTGTTGGGGGTTGAGCCCACGCCCTGCTCCTGCTCGTACGAACTTACCGATACTCTACATAGGGTAAAGCTGCGATATGCTAACTGATGACCCCCTTTCTGCTTTGAGAACTTGTGCTGATTTTCTCCAGCGTTTGAGGTTGCGTGGGTAGAAGGTTCGGTCTTCTATCCGTTTGCCAAGTCCCTAGATTGCATTACGCACACCTTCTTTGCACGCGTTTTCATCATTGGGCTCAGAGGCTCTCATATATTGACATGACATCACTTTCTGGGGGCCAGTGAAGTTTACTTGAAAATAATCGTTGCTGCCTTTGTGTGTATAGCTTTTGACAAGTGCTTGGAAGGTGTCATTGCCGTCTGACCTTGAGCATGGGGCTGTCGGTGCGATCCGAGGATTTAATGGGACAAAATTGAACATATTATCATTGAGTCACGTTTTGCGCCCGTGAGTTCATATGCACTGCCCACGGAAATATCTCGCCGATCACCATCCGTAGTCATTAGCACGAGGTATCAAAACGGGGTTACACATACATAGCCCTATGTTAGGTAAAAGATTATCAACATCTGTAATGAGATTATAATGAAAGTGATTCAATCTCTTGGTGGCAATGCCGAGAGGTATCAAGTTGGGCCCCATTTGAGTGCTGCAATAGACACCTGCAGTGCTTGAACTATTTATATAGCCACAATAAGCACATACTCCAGATATCTTACTCGGCAGTGATAGCCTAGGTATACTACTCAGGCTTAGTGGCCAGCATCTCCCATTCAGGATGACAGTTAATGACTATCGCGGATTGATCATATTTTACACATGCTTGCATATATGCCTACGGGGCACTATATATATATATCCACTCGCACTGGCAGTGCTGACTGTATATAGAGCCAAATCGGGCGTAAGCTATCAAACTCCATGTATATATCACTCAGAGCGACACATCAAACATGATTCCTTATATGAAGCCAGTGAGTTCCGCACCAAAGAGCATCGCCATTCACCTTCAGACGAAGGCTAATACAGGCCCCACTTATACGTGCACAGCGGATTTTTGATACAATCTCCAATATTGTTGTACTAGGGCAATTTGAACAATATAGAAGGAAGGCTCTACACAAGACAACTTGAAAAAAAAAAAAAGATAACATAGCAAGCAACCTTCATTTAATATTCACCTAGTTTTGAGATATTGACAAGAGCAAAAAAGAAATCTCTCCCTCGGGGAATCGAACCCCGGTCTCCCGCGCTTATCGGTATTAATGACAAGCGGAAATCATCACCACTAGACCAAGGAAGATGTGGTCGAGTTAACTCGACCATTGGCTGGTTGATGGAAAAATATTCAAATATATAACATATTAGCATAAACAACTCATGAACTCTAATCTCTATCATGAGCACCTTTTCCCTCTCACCCAATCACCATGCAGTTTATTGGCCGGTCCTTGCAACCAACACCCCCTCCAGGCTAGATTAAAACGTACGTTAGACCATTCGCCGTCGAGATAACCTAACTCAAATCCCACCATATCCACTCAATGTTCTCAAAGGGAATGTCCTGGAGAAGTCCGGATGTAATAGCTTTCCGACTTCCCCGCATGAAGTAATAAATACTTCAGAATCGCCGCTTCTTTGCGCGAGCTAAAGAATCACAAATATCTCGGAATCATGACATCCGTTTTCAAGAATGGGCGCATCTTCTTGCCATCGCAAAACTCAAATAATGAGGGGGACTTTGCTGACAGCATGATTATCGAGAATGACAAGATCTCCCATGTCGGCTCTCTTGATGGAATAACCCTCCCAGAAAATGCAACTGTCATTGACCTGGAAAGTCGCACTGTTATTCCAGGCTTCATCGACGCCCATGTGCACATCCTGCAGTACGGGCAATCATTACGCAAAGCCGATCTCATCGCATGCACCTCCCTCGATCAAATCCGTGAAGCCATTAAATCCTACGCAGAAGCCCATCCATCTTTGCCGCGCATATTATGCCGAGGCTGGATCCAATCATCTACCAATGGAGTCGCATTGGCAAGTATGCTGGATGGTATCGACCCACGTCCCATTTTTATTGACTCCTTCGACCTCCACTCCATGTGGTGCAGCGCGGCTGCTCTCGATGAAATGGGGGCTCATACAGCCCCCGATCTTCCCGGTGGAACCATCCACCGCGATGAAAATGGAAGAGCTTCAGGCCTACTTGACGAATCCGCTCTCATGAACTTTGCATGGCCTCATCTAGAAAGTGTAACCTCCACGGAAGACAAATTGAGTGCGTTGGACACTGCAATTGCCACATACACAGCTGCCGGGTATACGGGACTAGTGGATATGGCTATGGATGAAGGAGCCTGGGAGATTCTGAATCTCTACCGTCAGAATCATACCATCCCATTCCACATCGGCGCACACTGGCTCGTCCCTTTCTCAGCAGATCAAACCGCCAACTTCAATTACGTCGACCGGGCAATTGAGCTACACAACCAGTACAGCCAGCCCGACTTCCATGTCCTCGGAATAAAGCTCATCTGCGATGGCGTTGTCGACGGATGCACTGCCGCTCTCCTTCAACCTTACACTGGTCAATCCGATCCCGTCGAGCCAATCTGGCCAGAGGATATGCTACAAGAAGTTGTCCAGCGCGCTGACTCGGCGGGCCTCCAATGCGCAATCCATGCGATAGGCGATAAAGCGATCCACCAAGCAATCAATGTGTTATCGAGAGTCGGCACGCCAGGTCGGAGACACAGAATCGAACACCTGGAGCTGACAACATCGGACGACGCTAAGCGGCTCGGTGAGCTGGGTATCACGGCCTCTATCCAGCCCGTGCACTCCGATCCCATGCTTTTCAAGGCGTGGCCTGGTCTTGTGGGACCTGACCGCTGTAAGCGCGCTTTCGCCTACAAGGACTTCTTAGATGGGGGTGCTCGTATTGCGATAGGTACGGATGCGCCTACTGCGTGTCACTTCCCCTTCCCCAATCTTTACAATGCTACTACTAGGCGCTCGGCGCTGGAGACTGAGACTGATAATACTGTAAATGAACATTTCAGGTTGGGGTTGGCCGAGGCGGCTACAGGTGCTACAGGTGGTGCGGCTTATGCACGGTTTGCTGATTCATGGACTGGAAGTCTGCGGAGGGGATTGTATGCGGATTTCTTAGTTGTTGATATGCAGTGGATGCCGGAGAGATTGCTTGAAGCGAGTGTCTGTCAGACTTGGTATCGGGGGAAGAAAGTTTTTGATTCGTCAAGTGATTGACATTTATATATGTTGAATTTAGAGACACGAGTACAAGGATATATGAATAAACGATAATTGCTTTTCTATTCTTTAGTGACGTTGTGTATTGCGGGGTGGACATCACGGTGACATCACCGGTACGTGCTTTTGCCTTTGAAGCCGTCACAAGCTACGATGTACAGCACACAAAAACATTTAGTGAATCGATTGAACAGTTCCTTAATTTACAGCTAATCATCGCTTCAGGAAGGCGTTACTCCAAGTTCCGATCTAAGTCCTTGAAACTTCCAGTGTAGTCCCGAGTCCAGTAAAGTAGATAAACACCATTACTCTCCAATTTGTTCGGGGTGTTCTTGGAGTCCACGGTCGGTACTTAGATCAGATAGGAAAGAATCTGATGCTCGTTAGTACAAATAATATAATCCAACAATATGATCATAGGGTCGTAGGTCGGGAACAAAGACATACTGTGATCTAGATCTTGCGAAGACCGACGGCGCTCTGTGCTCCTGTGGAGATCTTCCGTGGCATGTTGGTGTGCAAGCTCGTTGCACATGGCGCGGGAAGAACTGTTTTATTTGTGGTCAGTTACGGGATACTTCGAAGCATGCATGGAAGGTTGTGGTTTGCACGCACGGGGCAACTTCTCTGTCCACCATGATATCCTTATTTTTGGAGGACTGGGCTTGTTGTGAGTGCTCCATGCTTCCAAGAGAGCTACGGCGCTTTTCGTAATTGGGATCTAGAGGGTTTTGATCAAGGGTGGTGTTGACCATGTTAAGAGAGTATATTGTGTAGTGGTAGCAAACCAGGGGCTGGTATATATGTAAAGTGAAGGGATGAGAGGGAATTCGTTTGGAAATATGTTAGAAACTGAGAGGAAATAAACTATTTATCTGATGTTAAACGCGGGGGAGTCTTGGACCAAGTCACCGATGTCATATGTTGGGCGTGGCAAACTTATGATATAAACACTTCGTGCGAACCTATTATAGTCATTTTGATCCTGGTATTTGAATAACGAATGTCGCCCATTCCTAACAGTTGAAAATCAGGAAGTGAAAAGGAGATAAGCGGTTGTGATCCTCACATGAAGCCGACTTGAGGGTTACACAAAGCGATGTAGGTGATCATGGCCACATATGTATGAGGTCAAGTGCTCGTCAATGAATAAGGCGATGGCAAATTAGTAATGTTCTCGGTCTTTTCGACTGTGTTTAGGATTGTGGAATATGTGAAAAATATAGATGCAGTGACCCTTGCTGGATGATCATCTATCCATAACCCTCACAAGACACAGTCACAACGAGTGAGATATGAAGCTTTGGTGAGTGCTGGTTGTCGTGATTTGGGTTTCTTGGAAGAACCATTCTCCTAGGATGAATCATACACAAATTGTCTTGAATGAATAGACAATCGCATTCTGAATTCTTCGGGAAGTTTCCCAGAGTATCATTCTCATAATACCTTCTCATAATACCTTCCAAAGCCGAGTTGACAAATCAGTTGTCAGGCCACGTAGATTTGGCGATGGATTTGGAAGACGATGGACATCATATGACAGCAGAGTTGAGCTCTGCCCCTGACTTTCTGGTGTCACAAATAGGCCGTTGGCACAACTGTAGTAGAGCGAGACAGTGGCTGATGCCATAGCGATGTCGGGCTGCTATGAAGCGCGAAACTATCGGGATTTGCGCTGAATGATTGTTACCCTGATTCCATCTCGTAATCCAGTAATATGAGTAATGTCTGGTTAATGCTAGTCCCTTAGTTGGTCCCTTTTTTGTTGAATGTAGATACATGCAGAGAGGGAAGCACTTGCCTAAACAAGAAAACATACTAGTACCTTTTAGGCAATGAAATGCGATCACAGGAATGGAATCGATCCGCAATGAACGGCAGTTTAGCATCAGTGATCGGATCCGAATCCAAAAGTTCGCTTAGGCATGATCTTGATTATTGAGCTATTCAATAGGAAATTGGACCGAGGAGGTTGTAGATGACTAACTCATGTGCGGCTGATCCGACCACGTGCTATTAATAGGTTTATGATTCTATAAGATAGAGCAATAGAGATTGGATAGTACGCTAGAAAGTGACAGGCGGCTATCGCAGAACAAAGGCCCAATGTGGATATCTCAGTCGAACAAAGTCTCAATAAGACAACGCTATGTCAGTTACTTGAAGAGTCACTATTTTACCTAATACGCTCTAATTGATAGTGAGTAGAGTAAAATAAGCCATTCTCTTGGCTTCATCAGACTCCACCACGTCTTGGCTTCTTGATACAGCCTAGGCACAACGATTAGCTATCCGATATTGAAGCTGCGAGATCGCAGAATGCAGAATGATAGGTAATAATCAGAGCAAAAGATTCATATTCTAGACCTGATCGATAAAAGTCGTCTAGCTTTGTCTCTGGACGAATCTCACAAAGCCAATGTGGGGTGCAGAAGCAGATCATTTAGCTAATTCCTTCATCTAAGCACATCAAAGAACAGCCGATCAAAGCAATGTCATGAGCCAACCACGTTGTGCGACCTTGAAATCAACCCTGGAGCATATTGTGACTAGTCCCGAAACGGCTATTATCTGGAGAATTGGACCTTTGTGGGGAGGATCACTCTGTTCGGATCCTCAATTGCGATGCACACAGAATTTTTTCGCTCGGATGGATTTAAATGAAGCTGGATTCTCTGTTTTCTGAAGGCTTAAGTTGAGGGAAATCACATTGCCGCTGGCGACTACGATCTATATCAAGATTTTGAGGCGAAAAATTACATCATACCTTGAAATTCGGTTCACTCCGCACCCTGACGCGGAATAGAAGCACCATCCCAAGCATTTGTGTGAATTGACCAGCCTTGAAGAGTTCGAGTCGCGGTGGGATATGGTGTTCGCGCGTGGCGATGTCTCCGGGAATGATGATCCGGTAATTGGTAAACTAGAACACCAGCAACTGAGATCGAGAATATTGACTAACAATGACACAGATCATCAAGATCCTAGCAAAGATGTCACAATTGTGTCCTGGGACGGGCCGCAGGATCCCGGAAACCCTTACAATTGGTCTCTGTGCGAGAAATGGCTTCTCACAGCCCTCGCCGTATTCGCCACCTTCATGACCATGATCAACGGCACAATATTCACAGTAGCACACGATACTATGAATGAACGCTTTCACCTTTCGGACGCTCATTTCCCTCACTCCTACTGGCCTGTCACATCGTGGGCCGTTGGCGGCGGCTGTTTCTCTTTTTTCGTCCTCCCTCTAATGGAGGACTTTGGTGTACGATATGTGTTTTTGGGCACGTACGTGACATTCCTCTGTTTTGTCGTGCCCCAGGCTGTGGCACAGAATTTTTACACGTTGGTCATAACGAGATTCTTTGCCGGAGGATGTGTCTCCATCCTTGCCAATACTTCTGGCACGGTGATTGGGAATGTCTGGGACACGGAGCGAAATCGAAATGTCCCCGTTAGTCTTTTTATCGTTGCCTATCTGTCGGGTAGTAGCATTGGACCCGTAATTGGAGCTGCTATCTACCAGGCTCTCACATGGAGGTGGATTGGCTATATCCAGCTCATGTGGTATGGTGCTTTCTTCCCTCTGTACTTCTTCTTGTTTAAAGAGTGTCGTGGAATCGCAATTCTAGGACAGCGGGCTAAGGCTCTGCGACGCGAAGGCAAGAACGCCTATACTCAACATGAAATTGACACACAAGGCCAGTCGATTTTGAGCATCGTGGGCCACAGCGCGAGCAGGCCTCTTTTCCTGTTCTTCACCGAGTCCGTGGTATTTGTGTCCACGCTATGGTCCGCCTTTACCGTCGGTACATTATATCTGTTCACTCAATCCGTTGAGCAGGTATTCGCAGAGCTGTATGATTGGACACCATCGCAGTCTGGATACGTCCAAGCAGCAGTCGTGATCGGAGAGATTCTAGGATGGGTGATTACCTTGTTCTCAGGCAAGCTTTATTTTGACTCGGCATCCCGCAACAAGGAGATCCCCGGCACGCCTATACCCGAGGCTCGGCTGTACCTCGCCATTGTGGGCGGTATATTCGGCATCTCCGGTGGTATGTTCACATACGCCTGGACGTCATACCCCAATTTTCCGTGGATCGCACCGGCCGTTGGTCTCGCCATGGTAGGGGCCGGTAGTGTCATTGTCGTGACGGGAATCTCCGACTATGTGGTCGATTCGTACAGCAAATATGCGGGCAGTTGTATGGGTATCATTGCCACTGGCGAGAATACCCTGGCGGCGTTCCTGCCTTTAGCTACTATGAGCATGTATTCTCATCTTGGCCTCCAGTGGGCTAGTACGGTACTAGCCTTTATTGCGCTGGTTCTGTCCTTTGCCCCGGTATTGGTGCTGGTCTGGGGTAAAGATATCCGAGCACGGAGTCCGTTCATGAAGGAAGCCATGGTGGAAAAGAGGAGAAAGAGCATTGACTCTGTTTGACAGGTTTTTCTCTGTACATAAATCGGGTTGAAAGACATATTGCACATATCAACAGACTTGAGAGTAGACTATCTCCATTAAAGATTTTTTTCGCACCTAAGTTAGTGTTCTCCCTAATCCACGTGGAGACATAAATCAAGACCCCGTGCTCTGAGGAGTTCCCCAAAGTCCATGGACTTTGGAAACTACGTTTCAGTTTGCTCTAACCTAAGAACTAAATCTGAGACTATAAACGTCATTCTCACCCCATGAAGCCCCTGCATGAGCAAGACGTGCAAAAGTGAATTAAAGGCTGTAAATGCCAAGAAACGTGCGGAACTGGATAAGTAAAGCATCAATATAGTTTGAATCAGGGGGGATTCTGTGTACTCGAAAAACCGGAGATATTCCAGATTGCGGTTTAGAACAGGCGCTGAGCCGCTAGCCCGAAATGAAGTTCCCCCCCTTAACCTCCCATGTGTTCTTAAAGCCCTCGGAGGAAAATCAGTATTATTATTGTCCATTCAATTTTTTCCCGAGAAGATTATACCTCCTAGCTACATATTAACCAGGCAGAAGAAGGAAAATAAAATAGCGAAAAAAACCCTACATCGCAAGACCGGGCCAGGAATAAAAGCCGAATCACTCCGTAGTCCTGCTCCTTCTCACGAACAGGGGGTTAGACGGGCTAAACCGCCTCCCCTTTCCTCGATCAGTCATCAGCCGACCTATCCTTCCGCATGGGGTTTCTTGCATGAATAGAGGAATACGATCCCCACGTTTCTTGAAACGGCTCAATGGAATTTCTAGATCGTTTCATGGTGGACGATCAAACGGCCTGATCTCCGCGGTGCCCTGTGCGATACCCTGACTATGTTATACATACGAAGTACATAGAGTAGTCTACTACGTTTGGTCTAGGGTGCCTCCATCGAAGGTACCTGCTAGTTTTCCAGGGGCCGGGAAACCCTGGTCATAGTTGAAACCCCCAGTCAGAGTCTATATTGATGAGAATTATACGAGAGTCTCGTGGACTTGGACATTTCTCGGACCCGATCCGGTAGGGCTCCGCTGGGCTAGATCAATGTGGGATTCTCGTTCAACGCCATCGGCATTACATGCTGATCTTAGTTCTTTTTATGTCTGTTTCCCTCTTGGTGGTTGAAAGGGGGTTCTAGGGCGAACTTAGTCAAGATCCAACCGGGATGCTTTTATCCGAGGATGAGACATCTTGACACATCGATATATATGGGCGCTGATCTGATAATGATGATCTCTATAGATGGAGATAGTATCATTGTATACTCTGTACATGATTGCATATTCTTGGAATATATCGGTGTACCATCTCGGACCAAGCGCTTTTAGGCTACCAATCTCACTGAAATTTCTGATCAGGAGACTGTCCATACGGAGAGTCAAAGTCCACCGAGTCCACATTGTCATAGGGTCCAATGTCAAGCTTGGAATTTTGCCCATTAGAAAGGTTACGTTATCTGTTAATCCGTGTGGTCTGGAACTTTCCTCATCTTACTTATGGATATGGCTGGCTGGTGAAAAGTGGACCGGGTATGGAGTGCAGGTACACAAATCATATCTGTTTGATTCTGTTTGATTTGAGTTTGCATAGAAAGCCTTCAGGTACAACGTTGTGTCCATGTACAATCACCTGAGAGGTACATAATTCTTCCAAGATACCACGTTGTACTTTGTTCCCATTAGACAAGTCTCGGGCGAATGGGCTATAAGAGAGTCGGGAGTACCGGATTGATGATCTCAAAGCCACAGCCGTTTATACAAAGTACACCGGAGAGCTCGGAGAAAATATAAGGGTAGGGAAAAATCTGGGTTTCAATATGCAAGTAAGCGCCCACTGAAATTCTGAAACGAGAAGGCGGGTGCTTCAGGTCCCAGCGCCAGTTTGATGAGCCTTGGCTGGATCCACCTATATTTTCCCGTTGGACTTCACACGGTTTTCTGTCTAGAAGGATCTCTAAATGTGGTAAGTGATATGTTTATCATTTGTTTATGCAGCCTGGTCACCATGTGGATTGGGCCAATCATCAATTTCGGAGATACATGGGATACTATACTAAAATATTGTAAAAGATTAAGACAGGGGGGTATTCCCTTTGTTAAGAAGAACAGAGTCTTGTTTGCTTTGAGATCTAACTATGAATACTAACAAACTATTGTGATTTATTGTGCTAACGTGAGTCTTATTTTTCTCAGAGATCACCTCTAGGGAAGTATGAAAAAAAGTACCTGAACCTGAATAAACGGATTTCCTGTTCCGCATTGTAAATGACAGATAAATACAGTGTAAATAACAGGTCAATACCAGATATATTACATAAATAACATAAATAACACCATTAACAGTGTAATATGCTCCCATACCTTATGACTAACAATAACCCCCAAAATAACATACTAGTTTATGACCGGTCAGACATCACAGGGCGCTTCCCTGCTCTCTTCGATTATTATTAGACTTGTATCTTCTTTCCCCCCTTCTTCTTCACCAATACTCGATCCTCCTCACTTTCTTTTCTTCCGCTGCGCGCGAAAATTCCCAGAGGCTTACCGGCTGGTCCAGTTCCATTCTGATCTCTCTTTTCTCTTTTGTCTACGAGGCTGGCTCCTCTTCCCTTGAACGCTAGAACTTCTCGATCGGATATCTTGAACTGGTTGGCGACGTTGATCCTCGCACTTCCGATATCTTTGTTGGACCATTCAGCTGGTGAGTTTGATCCGAGGTCTTGCAGCTATGTCTCAGCAGAGCCATGGTTATTTTGATTGGACTCAGATCGTCTCTTTGTTTGCGCATGCGTTATCAGGCGGCTTTTCCCGGGTGCTAATTATCCATACAGTGCGCTTCACGCAGAAAATAAGAAAATGTATCCTCAGCCAGGTGCTCCAATCCCTATGGCACCACCTCAGAAACCCGAAACTTTTATGCTATCAACCGAAGCACAGCGAAGCTTACCTCACGACGCACAAGTTGCTCTTCAGCAAGTGGATAATCGTATGTCTTTGGGTTAGACCTGTCCCCGCATCAAAGCAATGTATTGACATCGGCCAGTGAAATATTTCCTTCTGTCAGCTCCCGTTGACTGGCAACCCGATCAACTCATTCGACGCTTTTTGCTTCCCACGGGCGACTATGTCTCTTGTGTTTACTGGTTCGTCTCTAGAGTGTGTGATGCCTTGGGAGAAGCTGATCTGACCCCCCCCTCTCAATAGGAGCGGCCTTTTCCACATTTCCGGTACCGATATTGTCCGATGTCTCGCATTTCGATTCCAAGCCTTTGGACGTCCAGTGAAGAACTCGAAAAAGTTTGAGGAGGGCATTTTCTCGGATCTACGAAATCTCAAGGCCGGCGTAGACGCGGTCCTGGAGGACCCCAAGAGCCCGTTCCTGGACTTCTTGTACAAAAACAACTGTATTCGGACCCAAAAGAAGCAAAAGGTGTTTTACTGGTACGGCGTGCCCCACGACCGGCTATTCCTCGATGCACTGGAACGCGACTTGAAGCGCGAGAAAATGAACCAGGAGGCCACCACGGTCGCAGTCAGCGAACCGGCCATGTCATTTGAGTTCGACTCGTCCCAGTCTCTGTACGAGCAATTGACCAAGTCACAACAAGTGAATCTGAACTCGTTCGCTGCCCACGCAAGTACGACATATGGCCAGCCCAACTCCCCCGTGGTTCGGACCGTTGACGCAATGCCTCCTCCGCAGATGGCTCCCCCAGCGATCCCTCTGCTCCAGGACGAGTCAGGGCATCCGATGTACAGCCACTCACAGATGCCCCTTTCGAACAATCTAGTCCAGAGCATCATTAAGCGCGAGCAGGACTACGGCCCTGTCCAGTACGATCGCCACGGAATGCCAATTCCCCGCCCCCATCAGCGCCATTCATCCATGCCGACCTTCTACGAGTACTCTCCTGCGCCATCCTTTGTATCCTCGCAATATGAGGATTACAGCAATCGCGGCCTGTCCTTTGAACCAGTCACCCCGCCGCAGCATTCGGTCGGACTTGGAGCGGAACCGGCTTACATCGCCAACGAAGATACCGGACTTTACACAGCGATTCCGGATATTTCAAGTGGACCCGCCTACCACCCCATGATGCAGCTGCCTCCTTCGAATCTGACCAGTTCTCACTATCAGCCTGCGCCCCGATCCTTTTCGGCAAACCCGTATCCCGTCATCGAGGGATCCCCGACATACAAGCAGCGCAGACGCAGGTCATCTATTCCGCCCAACACGGGCGCTGTCGCATCCAGTGGCGCAGCTCATGTCCAATCAACAACCCCTGGAGTTCAGTCAGTCTCGTACGCTGCTCACAGACCAAGTGATCTGCGGCGTTCAGTTTCTAGCTCAGTCGCTCCAGTCGCAGAGAGCGATGAAGCCACCCAGGAACTCGCTCGTACTTATCCTAGTGCGATGCTGCCACAAAAGGATCTTCTTCATGAAATGTCCCGCCATGGCACGCCGCTGCGGAGCCTGGATCACAGCACCGCCCAGCACCCGGGTTCAGTAACAAACCAAACCGATGATCTGACATCTCTGCCAAGTAGCGGTACCGTCGAGTCTGCGGTTCAAAACACTACTGGTCGATCGGAGCGTTCGGCCCCTGGTCCTACACGGAGGGCTAGGAGTGCAACCATGATGGAGTTGGGACCGTATCCAACCAAGGCCCATTCCTGCCCTATCCCGTCATGTGGTAGAACCTTCAAGAGATTAGAGCACCTCAAAAGGTAAGCTTACTTCTATTTTTACACCCACATTGGTGGGGCTGATCTGCACCGTGCGCCGGTGAGATCGTTTCAATAGCCGCCCACTAACCCCTGTTTATAGACACGTAAGAACACACACACAAGAGCGTCCGTACCCCTGCCCTTACTGTAGCAAAGCTTTCTCGAGGTCGGATAATCTTGCACAGTAAGTTTTTATCCTCCTATTTCGTATACGAATTGCACTAATTATTCCCTAGACATCGTCGGATCCATGAAGCACAGCAGGATGGTCAGACAATTGTCCCAACCGACGAAGATCTGGAGAATGATGCACATGAATTCGGTTCCCCCAGGGAAGAGATGTCCCCGCCGGAGCCCGCTCACACAATGATTAGCATGCCCAACATGACGTCGATGGCAGCTCCTTTGAGCATGCCGTCCGCCCTGACTGGCATGCCTTCTTCACACATGATCGCTCCGCAACTTCTCCAACAACACATGTGAGAATATTACAGAGCACGATCTGTCTACTGCATAACAGTAGATGCATCACCTCATTTACTCTCTATCGGGTTGTGCCGAGCAAATGTTTCAACTCTCCTTGCTCTTCGGAGTCTTCGGGGCGCATATTGGCGTCCTTTGATTTGGGGTTTATATCGCCTCCTGTTTAATCGCACATAGTCAAATGCCGGCCTTGCACATACCGCGATATTCGTGTATAGCCCGCGTGTTATGTCTTTGCTTGTCTTTGACACAGTGTTCATTTTCTTTTGGTTTTTGGTTTTTTGGGGGGTTTCGGACTGCGCGATGGTTACAGGAAACAACCGTGTATTATTGGTGTCAGGCTGCCCTGCACGTGAATTGGGTTGCGCTGGCAGATATTTTTTCATGCTGCCTGGCGGGCACGGGCACGAGATATGTTCCACTATCTCTCAATGGGAAATGGCTTGGGAAGGGAAAGATTCAGGTTGGCTTCTTGGATCGTCAGGCATTGTCCCTGAAGACCGGCTGGGAATAGGAAGGCTATTTTGTACGCCTCGCATCACACTATATAGACAGAGACATGTAACGACTTTTGAATTGGAATCTGAAAAACACTTGAAAACATACCAAATATTCCCTTGTTAGTATGGGTGGCAATGATGTGCTCTAAATGGTACATCACGTGCTGCTGACGTCGATTCCCCTCTGTAGTCGTGATAGGGATACCAAACAGATCGCCCATCTGACACATCGCGCTTTGATCAAGAGGGTTATACCCTGTCGAATTTTACCTTGTTTCAGCAATATTGTAAATGATGCGTGGCTGCGAACATCCAGGATAACCCCCCATCTTTCAGACAGTATCTACTTCCCCACACTCCAACAATCCTCAGTCCACACTACGTACCACGGACACAAGGGTTGTAAAGTCAATTAAGAGAGATTCCGCTTCCGCAACTACAACATACTGTCGAAAAAGGATATCTCAGCTCAGTTGAACCCTGAGTTACAGTCAGCAGGAAAGCACAGCACCCCAACCATATCCAAACTCGCATAACTGAGTTCCATGAGTTAATCCTGGCTGGTGCCAATTCAACAAATCGAAACTCCGACTCTTTAATTTTCCGATGGGAGATTTGGCCTGCAAGACTGCCCCTGGTTCTATCGACGAGAGCTCGCCTCTCATGGTTACCACTAGCTCTGCAGACAGGCGTGGGGTGCGCCCTCATGCCGGTGCCGATGAGTCGTCTAAGAATGCACTGTACATGTTTTTTTTGACTGTATCGATTGGTGGGTAAGTAGCTTTGTGTATGGTGATTTGATTTGACATGTATTTTGACCATTTATTGATACTGGTGTTTCTTTAATAGACTTCAGATTGTTTGGTCTGTCGAACTTGGCAATGGATCTGTAAGTTCAAGTCCTGACTTGCAGATGATTTGATTTTAATTTGCATCTTACTTCTTTCGTCCCAAGCTTCAATATTGGATAGACAGCATACTGACCGGTTACAGCCATTCCTTCTATCCCTCGGGATGAGCAAGTCGCTTCTTGCCGTTGTTTGGATAGCCAGCCCCTTGACAGGTGCGCTGGTGCAACCATACATCGGCATTCGAAGCGACAACTGCCGACTTTCGTGGGGTAAGAGGAAACCATTCATGGTCATTGGGGGTGCAGCAACAATCGTTTCATTACTAGCTCTGGCATGGGTGAAAGAGATTGTGGGGGGTGTTGTGTCTATATTCGGCGTTGAATCAACATCTGAAGGGGCCAAGATTACTATCATTATCATGGCAACAATTTTTATGTATTGCCTCGATTTTGCCATCAACACTGGTGCGCATTCCATCCTCAGGTTTACGGTTGTTTGGCTAATCACCATCTTACAGTGCAAGCTGCAATCAGAGCATTCATCGTCGACAACTGTCCCGCCCACCAGCAGGAGCTGTCCAACGCCTGGGCTAGTCGTATGGTCGGCGTTGGCAACATCTTGGGGTATATCTTTGGCTATATGGACCTGCCAAAAATTGTCCCTTGGTTGGGAAATACGCAGTTCAAGGTCCTGTGTGTACTCGCCTCGATCTTTCTGAGCGCAACCCTTGCCATTAGTTGTGGCTACATCAAAGAGCGGGATCCTCGAGGAGACGGACCTGTGACCGACAAGCTTGGCATCGTCTCCTTTTTCAAACAGGTCATCAAGTCGATTCGGAGCTTGCCAACGCAGATCTCCCGCGTCTGTCAGGTGCAGATCGCAGCGTGGGTGGGATGGTTCCCATTCCTGTATTATTCCACGACTTATGTTGGGCAGTTGTACGCCAATCCCATTTTCGCGGAGAATCCTCATCTTTCTGAGGGTGAGCTCGACAAGATCTGGGAAGATGCTACTCGTATCGGGACACTGGCTCTCCTCGTCTACGCTATCATCTCTTTCCTTTCCAACATGTTGCTTCCTCTTTTCGTGGTCCCATTATACGGACCAGCGCCAGAGACTGTTTCGCGTCGAAATTCTCATTCTCTAGACCGCGATTCGGATGATGATGTAGAGCCTACAAGAAGACTATCATTTTCAAGTATGCCAACAGGCACTGCATCCGAGCCTCTGCTTGAGGCAGTTCCAGTCGGACAGGAGACCGAAGGGAAAACGACTTGGCTTTCACGTCTGCGCATCCCAGGCTTGACCCTCCCGCGAGTCTGGCTACTGTCTCATATCCTCTTCGCATTATGCATGTTCAGCACTTTCTTTATCTACTCCCACCAAGCTGGGTCGGCGTTTGTGGGCCTCATCGGTATATCCTGGGCTGTGGCGTTGTGGGCCCCCTTCGCTCTTATCTCGGCGGAGGTAGCTCGGATTGATCCTTCGAGACGAAATCATCACCGCACAGCTCAATCCACCTACAACGAGCATGAAGCTGATACTCATGACGAGGGTGCTGGACATCACAGCGTCAGTGGCAGTGATGTTGAGCATGGACACTCGAAGAATTATCGGGATGGGGATGTTGCACAGGCGGGTATTATCCTTGGACTACATAACATGGCCGTTTCTCTGCCACAGATTCTGTCTAGTCTTGTTTGCAGTGCTATCTTTAAGGCATCTCAGAAGCCCAGAGGGGAGCCGTGGGATGATAGTGTGGGCTGGGTGCTACGATTTGGTGGATGTGCTGCGTTAGTGGCTGCATGGTTGACCAGAAGGGTTTCAGATGGGTCAGGATAGTCTTGGACATCGATTGTTACAATGTATTCGTTGCATTCTGTATATGGATGTCGTATGTTATATGTATTCGGTTTTTTAGGCAAAGATAACTCCCAGCCTTCAATGTTGTCTATAGCATACATCAGAATTCCGCAGGGGATATTGTACCGAGTATGTGGGTCCTTCCATGTAGCCCTAGGGCAGGTCAAATTACCTCCAAAATCATGACGATGTATTGAACCGCACTGAACAACCCCTTGTTCCTGGCTATTTATGTATTTTGCCTGAATCCACCGGTTTCTTGGCCGTTGCGCGGCACTTGGCACACGACCCACATGTAATTTTAAATACTGATACGTATCAATCTTACACTATCGCTGTATTCTTTCAGTTTCACCACCAATTTGGCTCAGCCAGCCCTGTCGTATCCCGTATTGTGACAGCTTCGTACCTGACCTCATATCTGTCCCTCTGATGCAACTTAAGCAGTCCGTGTCCCGTCGCTGCTAACCCAATTCGATCTTGTCGCAACCTCTCACTTTCCATCTCTTTGTGGATTATGTGCGCCTGGTTTTGCCATCTCAATTTCACCGTGGGAGTGAACTGCCAGTCATCCGCACTGGCCCTTGATATCCCCTAAGGCGTGAGCCGCGATGGCTAGCCAATATATGAACGATGGCCTACACGCCCTGCTTCGTATGTCCCTCCGATCGGTGGTCTTAGACGCTGCAATTTGATCTCCCATTTGGACTGCAAGCTAACATATCTATTTCTGTTCTAGGGAGAGCCGCTGAGGAGTCCGACCCCGATGGTACGCGTGCCTAAACTTCCCCCCTCATCCCTCGCCCCTCGTCTTGTCGTGAGATGGCGCTGTTTAGATTCGGAGATCTAACCAATATGGCGAACTCTAGATTCCCCCGAGGCAGGGTCCAAGGAGATCACAAGCTCCTGGGCATTGTTTATCATGATCATGTTGTTGATGTTCGCCCTCTTTACGAGCTACATCCTTCAACAAAGGAAGATCCAAGCTGTCCATGAGACGGTTCTATCAATTTTTGCAGGTAGGCGATATCCCCGAGTGGTGCAGGCAAGATCTGGAAATATACAAGGCTTCGTTCGATCTGCGCCAATTGCTGCGGATTTGCTAACGGTCGCTAGGGATGTTCGTTGGACTACTCATCCGTTTCACAGACTCCACCCTCCAAGACAGCGTCGCCTTTGACTACCAGTTCTTCTTCAATCTCCTCCTTCCTCCGATTATTCTCGCCTCCGGTTATGAGCTCCACCAGGCGAACTTCTTTCGACATATCGGCACGATTCTCACGTTCGCGTTCGCCGGTACCTTTATCTCCGCAATCGTGCTCGGTCTGGTGCTGTACCTATGGACACGGATCCCGATGAATGGACTGGATATCTCCTTCGTCGAAGCTATCTCGGTCGGCGCAACTCTCTCCGCTACGGACCCGGTCACGATTCTAGCCATCTTCAACCTCTACAAGGTCGAGCCGAAGCTTTATACTATCATTTTTGGCGAGTCTATCCTGAACGATGCCATTGCCATTGTGCTCTTCGAGACGGCACAGAGGTATCACGAGACCGGCTCGACTGGCTCGTTGACCCTCCTGAATCTATTCGAGGCTGTGGGCCTCTTTTTCCTCGTCTTCTTTGGCAGCATGGTTGTCGGAATGCTGGTTGGAATCGCTACCGCGTTGGGTCTCAAATACACCCTCGTGCGGCGCTTGCCCAAGATCGAGAGCTGCTTGATCATTTTGATTGCATACGCCAGCTACTTCTTCTCCAATGGCGTGCACCTATCCGGCATTGTCTCGCTCTTGTTTTGTGGTATCACCCTCAAGCACTATGCTTACTATAACATGTCGCGTCGCACGCAGTTGACCACCAAATACCTGTTCCAGGTGATGGCTCAACTTTCAGAGAACTTCATCTTTATTTACCTCGGTCTTGACCTCTTCGTCGAGCCTAACCTCCAGTTCAATCCCTTGTTCATCATGGTGGCAGTGGTTGGCATCTGTCTTGCCCGCTACCTCGCGGTGTTCCCGCTTTCCAAGGCTATCAATTGGTACTTTAGGTATCGCGCACGTCGCCGTGGCGTAGAAGTTGCCGACGAGCTGCCATTCGCTTATCAAGCGATGCTCTTCTGGGCTGGATTGCGTGGTGCCGTCGGTGTTGCGCTAGCAGCGGGTCTATCAGGAGTCAACGCCCCCGCACTTCGTGCGACAGTACTTGTTGTCGTTGTGCTAACCGTCATCATCTTCGGTGGAACCACAGCCCGCATGTTGGAGATTCTGGGCATTCGGACGGGTGTGGTTGAAGAGCTTGACTCGGACGATGAATTCGACACTGAGGTGACCCATGGCGGCACCTACTACAAGCGCTCCGGGACAAGCCTTGGATATATCCCCCGACGCTCCGACTTGGCGATCCCCTTGGATGGGGTCACCACCTCTCCACCCGCCGGAGTCGGGGAGCGAACACACAGCTACTCCAGTGGCAACAGTCGCCGCCCCAGCCCACCCTATACCCACACACGAATGTACTCCGCCGCGTACAGCAACAAAGATCAGTCCTGGCGCGACCGCCAATCCACTGCGACGTTACTCAACAGCGCAGCTGGGCCGAGCGCCGGTGAAGGCAGCGACGACGAGTTCGGCCTGCCACCCCCGGGTCCCAGCGGCTCCGGCGACCCGACCCACCCAGACGCGTTCGACCTCGATGCCGAGGGCATCTCCGACGACGACCTCCCGCCCGCTGCAAGTGGATCCTCGCGTCTCCGCCGATCCGCCTCCCAGCCCCCTCACCCCCCGACCGCCCCACCCACCAATGCAGCGGCATCGACCAGTGTCTCGCCCACTCATCAAGGTATGTCTGCACGGGATGCAGTGCGGGGCCTGTTTTCGGGTGGTGCTACGGGCGACCATGCGGCTTGGTTCCGGCAGCTTGATGAGGATTATATCAAACCCACGCTTCTGTTGGACCAGTCGAACCATAAGGGACCTGGGCCTGGTGCTGTTTAAGATGATACCTTGAGTTTCATTTTTTTTGTCTTTGATCTGGATGTATATTTAGCCTTTATCTTGTTTGGGTCTGCATTCTCGTTAAATGTTTTTCTGCATTGGCTTCCACACAAGGCCTGTCTGGTATCAGCTGTAGACGAAACGCGTTTTAAGTTCATAGAAGCCAACTTCAAGTGGGAAGTACATGTACCCTATAAATGTAATTAAGTTTCTCCATACTTTTACCCCACACTTGGGATACTATCGCTTCAAAAGGAAGAGACAATTTAAAGAGAATGACGATACTCACAGAGTATGTCTCCATGATCTAACGTAATGCCCCCAAGATAAGCAAAAGCTTACACCGTTCGTATCTCTTCCCTTATCGACCACTCGGATCAGGGACGGCTATCTGCAAGAGCCTACTCATGCACGCCATGCTTCTTTTGGGCATACTTACGCCAATGCCGTATCTTCCCTGCCATCTGACCCCTACTAGACCCGGGGCGTGCGTGGCACCTCTTTCCTAGCTGGACTGCCGCCGCTTTTAGAAGGGGGCTTCATAGGGTAGATGTCAGCATGCGCTTACGGGGTTTATAGGTGGCAATATCTATAGTTGGATGCATAACTTGCCCAGAGAGGGATATAACTGACAGATACCAGCTCATTATCTTAATTGGAGTAAACGATGCATGTGGTTGACATTGGAAATAAAAATTGAGGTATCTGGGAGCATATACTGCAGCACTCAGCTTGGGTAATCATCAGACAGTTTCGTCTGCTCATATAGATGGACGATTCGAATATCGTCTTCGTCTATAATTTGCTAGCTCGCTCTAGATGGTTTTGTACGAATCTCAGTCACATATACCAGACTAGGATTCCTTTGACATATTGATTGATGGCTGTGTCTGTGGTGGAGGCAGGAAAATGGGAGGCACGCCAATAATCGAGGAATATCCTTTCCTTGCATATACTTCATCACCTCATATGCCTGTACCTCTAGTAGAAATATAGGATGCGATCGTAGAGATATGCTTCACTTTGGGGTCTATTCCAAGAGGATACTGATTCATTGGCATGTAGCATTTTGATTTTGAATGAGAATCGCGTAGGAAAGGCTGGATAGTTTGAAGACCTTCATGATTCTAGCGTTAATTGTTTTCCCGTACGGAGATTTTAGATGTAGACTTAATATGTTCAATTCCCTTAAAGAGCAGCGATAAACCCACCCATCGCAACTCATCGCTGTGGAAACTATCCATAATCACCTGGGGAACCTGTCAAGCAACCGAGGGATTTCAGGGACATGCGGACTTATGCCCGATCAAAAGGCAGCAAGGGATGACTCTCAAAGGGGAAACACATATACAATTCACCTATGCTTCCCCGCTCCGCTAGGTCGATCTTTCTTGAATCGCGAGATATAAAGGATTTTGTGATCTATACCTCGGTTTATGTCATCGATCTGGCCCTTTGTATTTCGGAATTGAAAGGTGTTGAAAGGTTTATCTATAGCCTTGGAAAGATCTGTGCTGAGTACACGTCCTATCTCTTGATTCGGTTAAAGTACTCGCGTCTATCGGAGTATTTGAACCCCAACGCTCCTCTTTCTATTCAATCTTAGTCGCACGTTCGATCGTGTTAGTTATTTGTTTCTCTATCCATTGCCCTATTTCCTATATACCATTACACATAGACCTAGCCATGGACGATACAATGGAGAAAGTGATATCCAAGACGAGCAACAGGCGTCTGTCGATGGCTACTCATGACTCGACGCCCCAGGCTGGCGATACTGAGCTGCTAGGTGTGTATACCACGTGGCTTATTGAAGGAGTTGGTGTAACTGTGAGATCGTTGTCACTGACTGATCATATAGCGACACTCGGGTACAAGCAGGAATTACGACGTCATTATTCGACGCTTCAGATATTTGCTGTCGCTTTTAGTATTATGGGGCTTTTGCCTTCCATTGCGACTACATTGGCGTTCTCAATGCCCGCTGGTCCTGTGGGAATGGTTTGGGTATATACTCCTCCTGAAATTGGTGGAATGTTGTGACTGACAGAATGTCTATGGCTAGGGTATGCAAACTATCTTTTCGGTATAGTTCTGGCAATTGTTAACATGTTCTTTGGACAGGATGGTTGGTTGCAAGTTGCTTTATTTTCATTGTGAGCTTGGCAATGGTATGATATACTCAATCTACAATCCTAGAAATCACAGGACTAATATATCTATCAGGCCGATTTGGCATCCGCAATGCCCACAGCAGGCGGACTCTACTTCTGGACACACTACTTTGCATCCGAGAAATGGAAGAACCCACTCAGTTTCCTCGTTGGATATAGCAATACCCTCGGCTTAATCGGAGGCATCTGCTCCATTGACTGCAAGTCAGACCATGCACAAGCCCAAACAGGAATCCCACACTAACACTCCCCAGATGGTTTCGCCAATATGCTCCTCTCAGTAATCTCACTCGCCCGTGACGGCAACTGGTCCGCAACACGACCAGTCATCTACGGCACATACGTAGCAACAGTCGCCTCCCACGGCTTCATCGCAATCTTCTTTGCCCGCATCATGCCGAAAATCCAATCCGCTTGTATCTTCCTCAACATCGCCCTTGTGGTAGCAACCGTCATCGCCCTACCCATCGGGAAATCAAACAACAGCCCCCCAGTCAACCCAGGCTCGTATGTCTTCGGTGAAATCCAAAACTCCACTGCCTGGCCGACCGGCTGGGCATTCATCATGGCGTGGTTATCGCCTATCTGGACCATTGGCGCATTTGATTCCTGTGTGCATATGAGTGAGGAGGCGACGCATGCTGCGCGCTCTGTGCCATTGGGGATTATCTCTTCTGCTGGACTGTGTGGACTTCTTGGATTTGTTTCGTTGGCGGTTATTGCGGCTTCGATGGATAGGAATATCGAGGGGATTTTGGGCTCGAAGTTTGGGCAACCTATGACTCAGGTATGTTTTCATTTGCGTTGGCTATTTTGCGGATTATACCTTTAATCTGGACTCTGTATAGATCTACTACGATGCCCTCGGGAAAAATGGTGCCCTCGGTTTCATGTCTGTGGTCATGGTTGTGCAATTCTTCATGGGACTGAGCATTGTAAGTACCCATCTCACAACCTACCACCTACCAGAATAACTAACTCTGCACAGGTCCTGGCCGCCTCCCGCCAAAGCTGGGCCTTCTCCCGCGACAACGCCCTACCGCTATCCTCCTTCTTCCGCAAAGTAAGCCAACGCAAATACATGCGCTACCAGCCCGTCCGCATGGTATGCGGCGTAGTCGTCGCATCAGTACTCATCGGCCTCCTCTGTCTAATCGACGAAGCCGCCTCTAACGCCCTCTTTTCGCTCGCCGTAGCCGGAAACGACCTTGCCTGGCTAACGCCCATCCTGGCGCGTCTGATCTGGGGCGGTGATCGCTTCATCCCCGGTGAGTTCTATACAGGTAAGTATCTCAGTAAGCCTATCGGCTGGGTTGCGGTCATCTATATGGTGTTCGTGATTATTCTTAGTATGATTCCTTCAGGGCCGGATCCTTCGGGTGAGTTGCACTATAATTTACTATCCATGAATGCTATCTGGGGTGCTTTTGCTGACTTGATATTTGAAGCGCAAACTATGAATTATACGATTGTTATTAATGGGAGTCTTTGGGTTGGGGCATTGATTTATTATTATCTCCATGCTAAGAAGACATTCAAGGGGCCTATGACTAATATTAGTCCGGAGGATGAGGGTATGGCTTTGGAGAAGGATTCTAAGAGATAGAGGATTTTCAGCTTGACATGCTCTGGGTGAGCTTCTATTGTTCGTGTCGATATATTCAATTCATATGTACCCAGTCGCTTTATAAGTTGAGCTACTCATTATCTCTATTAGCTACGGAGACACTAGAGATTTCGACTTTCAATTTTCTGTATCTGTGTTTCAATTATCGCTAATCACCCTTTCACCGGAGCTAAAAGCGCTGTAGACATCAATTCTTGTTCTCGTTTCTTAGAAGCAATTTCTCTTCGGGGTCTATCTGCTCAGACTAAATGCATATATAGCGGTGCATCTATTCGGGAATCTCAAGGACGTAGCGACCGGCAATCTTGCCTTCCTCTGTATTGCATATATTAGCATATGATCGATATCAGGTAATCGGAACATGTGAAACGTACCCATGAGCTTGAACACCTCAGGCAAGTCCTTCAGGTGACCAGTCTTGAATGGAGCCTTGATCAAGCCACGTGCGAAGAAGTCAACAGCTTCAACGCCATCCTGGCGGTTACCAACATAGCTGCCCCTGATGTTGATCATCCTGACAACGGTGTCGAAAACGGGAGCCTTGAGGTAGGCATGGGCGGGAAGACCAATGGCAACGATAGTACCACGAGAGCGAGCGTATGCGACAGCCTGCTGGAAAGGCTTCTCGGAGACAGCAACCAAGATCACGGCGTGGGCACCGAGGCCATCGGGAGTAGCAGCCTTGACATCAGCAACGAGATCGCTGCTCTTGGTGAAGTCGACATAGGCCTAAACACTATATTAGCACGGACCCCAAAGTTTGAAGGGGGAATAGAACAGGCTTACCTCTGCGCCAAGCTTCTCGCACATAGCCTTCTTCTCATCACCACCATCGATAGCAATAATACGCAAGCCCATAGCCTTGGCATACTGTTGCGCAAGCGAGCCAAGACCACCACCAGCACCAACAATAGCAACGGTCTGACCAGGACGCGCACCAGACTCCTTGAGACCCTTGTAAACGGTGATACCAGCACACAGAATAGGTGCAACACCATCAAGCGGGACCTCCTTAGGCAACTTCGACACGTGTGCCGCCTTGCCAATCGCGTACTGCTGGAAGGTGCCGTCGACCGTGTATCCAGACAGCAAGGCATCAGGACACAAAGACTCGTCAGCGGTCTTGCAGAACTCGCAGGAGAGACAAGAGCCATTGAGCCATTTGATTCCTGCATGGTCGCCAATCTCAACTCCCTGTGCAAGAGAGCCCTTTGCGACGACCACGCCGGCGCCTTCGTGGCCGCCAACTAGGTTATCCTTCTCGGCGAGAGGCCAGTCGCCGTGCATGGCGTGGAGATCGGTGTGGCAGACGCCGGTGTATCGCAGCTTCACGAGAACTTCATCGGGGCCAGGCTTGGGGACGGGGATTTGCTTGTAGACGGGGGTTGCGTCTGGGCCTGGCTTTTCGATAACTTGGGCCCATTGGGTCTCGGGGATTGTGGGGGACATTTTGAGAATAGGTAAGAATTAAAAATTAAGAATAGGAAGAGGTTAAGAGTAGGAAAGTAGGAAGTTTGATGTGTAACACAAGAAATGGCTAAGAAGCTGTCTTATAGTCAGGTCAAGCGCATTGCCTGATCAACGTGTCTCCTGTTTAACGGATTTTCTATCGGGTTCGCCGGTAAGCTTGTAAGGTATCTATGTCATTCTCTCTAATAACCTCGGAATAGCTCTGAGTATTATCCACTTCAGCTTCCCGTTTGCGGCATACCGCATTATGCAGACCCCCGTATGGCTTAGCCATCTAGACTTATACTGTGTAGTAAACTGTATAATATTTTATCCACATAATCCCTAACAGGTAGGAAATGGGATGTAACTAGATCAATACAGAATAGATAGTGTAATTGGTAGGAAGATCTGAAGATCAGTAACAGACGTCAGGAGGCAATAGTGTTCCAGCTATGCGTCCACAAGTGGAGGACGTCATCGACATCAGGCAATGCGGGGAATTGGATATTTCCAGATTCATGGCGATTGAAATCAAGTTATATGGTCTATCAATACACATAAAGCACAGTTCCCCCTCGGGTCCGACATCATGGTCCGAGTTACGCGACATCGGGGTTTGAACTAGGTATATATACAAACCAGTGTCCCAGAGCTCCAGAGCTCCAGAGCTCTTTGAGTTTATTACTTACTGAATGTCCACGGGTATGTCAATACTTCTATGAACATTTTGGCCCAGGTGGAAGCTCTGGAGTTAAAAACTGATATAATGCCCGTGACCTGTGGACACGGGGGACTTATTTTGCCCTATTTAGTGATTCTAGTGAGGCATAGAGATATTATATACGAATTTAGTCCAGGCTCTAACTTCCAAAATCCAGAAGTCCAAAAATAAAATCAAAACAGGCCGATCATTCAGAGTTAAAACTGATATTTTCAACCTACAGAACAGAGAAGCCCCGGAGATCTCACGATAAACTCGGATCAGCCAACGGAGGGATTTTCGAGGAAAATAGAGAAGCGAGTTCATGAACTATCTTGATTTCAGAACTTCGAACGCGGAAGATTTGAATAAAAATATATGGAAGTATATGAAAATATCTGAAAATATCTGACACTATTTGACACTATTTGAAACGATGTTCGTCCTCACCTCCACGTTTGTATGGAAGTTGAGATCGGGGAACTGAGGAATTATCTAATTAGAAAAAAGAAAAAAGAGGAAGATGATATAGAATAACAAGAAACAATTATAATAGTCATCTAGAATAGAATAAAAAAGACCATCACTGTAAAGACTGTCAACAGCTTCGGATCTAACCCCCGGGATGCCGGAGTTGAAATACCCCAGATGAAGAAGATTCACGAGAAATGCCAAATCTCAGCTTTTCCCCTTTTACTTTACGAACTGGTCCTTTCCATCTTCTAACCCGACTTCTACCTTTCCCCTACAATTATTTCTCTTCCTCCCCCCATCTCTCCCTTCTCATCATCCATCGCCCCTGCATCAGCTCGCCTAGACCCGCGCATTCTCTTTCTTGGGCTCCACGGAAACTTCCCTTCTGCATCTTCCCACCACAAACGAACCCATCCCTCCATCAGGTATTTAAGTCTTGCTTTCACCCTTCTCTTTCTTTCATCCCTCTTCGCTCCGAAATCATACCTGAAACCAACCACTGACACCGCGTCACTAGGTCTCCGGAACCCCCTTGACAGGTGTCTCTGAGCAGGGGTTTTTGACTCTCCGTCCTCAATTCCCCCCGACTCCAGCTCGACCCGAGTGACCAACCTTCGACGCGCTCAACCCATAACCGGGGACCGCGGCCATCATGACGGGCCCTCCGCCATACAACGCCCAGTCCCCGACTCAGCAGCAGCGGTATCCGGCCTACACCTCTCCGAATAAGAACCATCCGTATTACCCGAATGAACAACCGCCACAGCAATACCATCAGCATCCTCCACAGACCCCACCCGCGTTTGGCCCATCTTCCGTCGCGCGAAGCCCGCACTTTTCGCACGCGTCCCCGATGCCCTCTACATTGCCGCCGCCCTTGAACGGGAGTGCGCCACCGCACCCGTCTCACCCAGAGGCCTCCCAATACCAGGGACACTCGGCAGGTTCTCAGCTACCACTTCCGCGCCCTTACTCAAGCTCCGTGATGGGGGGCAACGGTGCCTCGCCGTACGGCTCTGCGACACCGCATGGCCATCCGCCCAGCCGCCCAGAAGGCCATTCGCAATCCCCTACCAGGGAGTCCGAATCCCCATATCGGATGCGAGGTAATGGTGCTGGATATGGACCTCCGATGACGCGGGAGCCGAGACCGGTCTCGCCGCAGGAAGCTGTGGTGGGCATTACCCAGATCCCTCCATATCTGACCATTTACTAACCAATCCTTGCCTCACAGAAGCCCGCCCGAGCCGCAGACCCCATGTCGTTTGCCAGTATTCTTTCAGGCCCGTCGGACGAGCCTACGAGAAAACCATCGCCTCCCCCGGCCCCCATCTCCATCCATACGCCGCATGCTCCCCCTATCTTCACGCACCGACACCTAGATCATAACTCTACGCCTGGAGCTATCCATCACAAACACGAGCACCGAATGGACTTTGATAGACGCATCGATGGCCTGAGACCACCACCGGCCACCAATGGGTTTGCTAAGCCTGATGTGGAATACGCTCCGCCTATTCCTCGTGCGCCGCTTCGGAGACCCTTCCCGCCTGGTGTGGACCTGGAGCAGGTCAACCGAGCTGCGGCCGAGATCGATCAGGCTGAGAAGAGCGATGTTGAAGATCCTGCCTTTGACGCGGAACAGGAACGGTATCGGGAGAAAAGCTACAAACGATCGGTGGAAAGCACCCGCGCCGAGGAAGTGCGACGAAAGGTAGGTTATCCGAAAGTTGTTTCTTGTTCAGCCAATTGCTCATACTAACATATGCTCAGCGTCGCCGCAATGAGTTCCTTATCGATCTAGGCAGATCCTTCGAAAGACAAGCCATTCTTGGCACCGAAAGATTTCGAGTCCTCAACGAGGGTGCTGTCATGGCCGAAGTTCAACAAAAGGAAATCCAAGATGAAAAGGAGCGGAAGAAGGATATGCAGCGCAAGCGCCGTCGTGAGAACACTGTGCGCCAAGAAATGCAAAAGAAACTGGAGGCTGAGCGCAAGGCCAGCAAGGCCCAGGAACCTGGCGAAAGGGCCAAGTTCCTGCGCGAAGCCGAGCGGGCTCAGAAGAAAATCCGCACCACCAAGCGCGCTCTGGAGGGCGGCGACGGCCAGGATGAGCTCGGCGAAGTCACCCCGCTTGCTCCCAACCTCGAAGGCGGGACAACAAGTCAGTTCCATATCGGCCGTTCCTCGCCCAGCCGACGCAGGTCAGGCCGCGCCGGTCCTGTCACTCGCCCCAAGAAGTCCAAGGAGCAGAAGCAGGCCGAGAAGGATCTCGCCGAGGCAGCTTGGAATGCTGGGTTGGACGACGACCTGTATCTCACCCCCAGCAACAGAAAGGATGTTCGACATTCCAAGGAGGGTACTCCCATGTCGCAGCTACACTACGATAGTAAGGGCTACAACCAGATCTACGAGCAGATCTGGCGCGATATCGCGCGCAAGGATATTCCAAAGGTCTACCGCATCAAAACCACCTCCCTCTCCACCCGCCAGGAGAATTTACGTAAGACGGCTCAGCTGGCCAGCAAACAGTCTCGCAAGTGGCAAGAACGCACGAACAAGAGCACCAAGGATACTCAAGCTCGTGCCAAGCGGACGATGCGTGAAATGATGTCTTTCTGGAAGCGCAACGAGCGTGAGGAGCGTGACTTGCGCCGTGTGGCTGAGAAGCAGGAGCTTGAATCAGCCAAGAAGGCAGAGGCGGACCGCGAAGCCAACCGACAGAAGCGCAAGCTCAACTTCCTCATCTCACAAACAGAGCTGTACTCTCACTTCATCGGGCGCAAGATCAAGACCGACGAAGCTCAAGGAGACACTGCTGTCGCTGCCACTGGGGAGACCATTCAACCTGGCCAGCCAAACGCCCACACAGTCAATCTTCCAGACAGTGTGGCCAACCCCAATGCCAAGTCCACTGCATTCGAGGATCTTGACTTCGATGCTGAAGATGAAACCGTGCTGCAGCAAGCTGCCATGGCTAATGCGCAAAACGCCGTGCAGGAAGCCCAGGACCGTGCCCGTGCCTTTAACAACCAAGGAGAGGGTGATAATATGGCTGCGTTCGACGACGGAGAGATGAACTTCCAGAACCCGACTAGTTTGGGTGACATTGAGATCTCGCAGCCGAAGATGTTGAATGCTCAGCTGAAAGAGTACCAGCTTAAGGGTCTTAACTGGCTTGTCAACTTATACGAGCAGGGTATCAACGGTATCCTGGCAGATGAGATGGGTCTCGGTAAAACCATCCAGTCCATTTCTGTCATGGCTTACTTGGCTGAGGTGCATAATATCTGGGGTCCTTTCCTGGTCATCGCGCCAGCATCCACACTGCACAACTGGCAGCAGGAGATCACTAGGTTCGTCCCGAACATCAAAGTGCTCCCCTACTGGGGTAATGCCAAGGATCGAAAAATCCTGCGAAAGTTCTGGGATCGCAAACACATCACCTATAACCGTGACTCAGAATTCCACGTTCTAGTCACCTCCTACCAGCTTGTCGTTCTTGACGCACAGTACTTCCAGAAGGTGAAGTGGCAGTACATGATTCTTGACGAAGCTCAGGCTATCAAGTCCTCTTCAAGTTCGCGATGGAAGAACCTGCTCGGATTCAGCTGCCGCAATCGTCTTCTGTTGACAGGTACGCCGATTCAAAACAACATGCAAGAACTGTGGGCCCTGCTTCACTTCATTATGCCGACTCTGTTCGATTCCCACGACGAGTTCAGCGAGTGGTTCTCCAAGGACATTGAGTCGCACGCCCAGAGTAACACCAAGCTCAACGAGGATCAGCTCAAGCGTCTTCACATGATTTTGAAACCTTTCATGTTGCGTCGTGTCAAGAAAAACGTCCAGCAAGAACTCGGAGACAAGGTTGAGAAGGACATTTTCTGCGACTTGACATACCGCCAACGTTCCTTGTACTCCAATCTGCGCAACCGTGTCAGCATCATCGACCTCATCGAAAAGGCCACCACAGGCGACGACACTGACAGCAGCACACTAATGAACTTGGTTATGCAATTCCGCAAAGTCTGTAACCACCCCGATCTCTTTGAACGCGCCGAAACGAAATCTCCTTTCTCCGCTGCGACCTTTGCGGAAACTGCATCCTTCGTTCGTGAAGGAAACTTTGTCGATGTTCGCTATTCGACCCAGAACTTGATCGAATACCCATTGCCACGCCTATTGTGCAGCTCTACCGGACGACTTGATATTCCTGGTTCTGATAATCCCCGCGTGGGCTTCCAAACCAAGTACCTATCGCAGCTGATGAACGTCTGGACACCAGAAAACATCCAGAAAAGCGCACGTGAAGATGGTGCATTCTCTTTCTTGCGGTTCATCGACACTTCTGCAGGAGAAGCAAGCGAGATGGCACGACTTGGTGTCTACGAGCGCGCAGAGCGTCGCCGCAGCAAGCTCAACAGACTTTCTGCCTTGAATATCATCTATGACGCGAGTGACGATTCGAAGAACTCCGTTCTAGCCCATTCGATGCTGAACATTGTCGAGCGTAATGATCGCCAGGATGTTCGCGATGTCGCCGTGGAGGGTCGAATGAAGGATCTCATGACTGTATCACGCTCGTCATTCGAAGCCCAAGGCCTTCAGCTAATTGAGCCTTGTGCTGGTCCTAAAGCTTCGGCGCCTCCCATCACCATCTCCGCTTCCGGCCAACAGGCGTCATGGGAAACCGAACACGCTTTATTCAATGCATCTGTTCGGCAAGCACTGTCTGGACACTGCAGCAGGCAACTTGAGGAGCAGATCCTCATCAAGAAGCTCGATCCTGCGCCTTACTCTCACCCTCCTATGCTGCCGCCACCGGTCTCACTCAAGGGCCGCTACAGCCACATCGAGGTACCATCGATGCGTCGTTTCGTGACAGATTCAGGCAAATTGGCCAAATTGGACCAGCTGCTGCGGGAGCTCAAGCCCGGTGGTCACCGCGTGCTCCTGTACTTCCAGATGACGCGCATGATCGATCTGATGGAAGAGTACTTGACATACCGCAACTTCAAGTATTGCCGACTGGACGGAAGCACCAAGCTGGAAGACCGTCGCGACACTGTCGCAGACTTCCAGTCCAACCCGGAGATCTTCGTCTTCTTGCTCTCGACCCGTGCCGGTGGTCTTGGTATCAACCTGACGGCAGCCGACACTGTCATTTTCTACGACTCCGATTGGAACCCTACCATCGATTCCCAGGCCATGGATCGTGCCCATCGTCTGGGCCAGACTCGCCAGGTCACTGTCTACCGTCTCATCACCCGTGGTACCATCGAAGAACGCATCCGCAAGCGTGCGTTGCAGAAGGAAGAGGTGCAGCGTGTTGTCATTACCGGTGGTGCTTCTGGCGGTGTTGACTTCAACACCCGTGCTCGCGAGAACCGCACCAAGGACATTGCCCTGTGGCTTGCCGATGACGATGAGGCTGAACTTATCGAGCAAAAAGAGAAAGAAGCCATCGAACGCGGTGAGACCCTCGGCGCTAAGGGTGGTAAAAAGGCGGCCGCTCAGAAACGCAAGCGGGATCTTACGCTGGATGATATGTATCATGAAGGTGAGAAGACCCCACTCCAGTACAGTGATTAATATCCATACTAATCGATTATATAGGCGAGGGTAACTTTGACGACGCCAGTGCTAAACCCTCAGGGGCTGCTACCCCCGCCGAGGAGCTTGTTGACACACCTTCAACAACACCTGCAAAGCGCGGTCGCGGTCGTGGACCCGGCAAAGGCACATCGAAACGTGCCAAGACTACAAAAGAGCGTCTCCGTCTTATTGACGGCGACGGCGGCCTCGATTAATGCAATGATTGTCAATTAATTCAACTCGGGATGGCGTTCGATGTCAAAGTTTCTCTTATTTTTCTTTTGTCTTTGGTTATTCCCATTCCTCCTTACACCTTCCCTTTTTCCCTTTTCTTATCTTCTCAAATGGCAGATACATGAAACTGCTCTGTATTATCATACAAAACCTTGACTATCTGGAGTAGCGTGGGCTCTGGACATTTCCCAAACCCTGCTGACTTGGGGTGGTTGATGCAATGATGAGATGTTTTCCTCCGCGATAGACTCCTGGCTTTGGCTTGTGGTTCATGGGTGGTTGTGGTGGTCTCGATGTGAACTTGTGAACTTGCTGTGAATTGTTTCTTTCAAATGTTCTTTTTCCCCCATTCTACATTCTCATTTTTTTTTTTTTTTTGCTACGGCTGCTTTTTGGCTTTCTTGACTTATATGTTTCAATGTTCAAAAAGGGCGCTCACGTTTAATTTGGTTATGAGTATCAATGTATTGGTTTGATGGACTCCTTATGCCCTTCCTTTTGGTTTGTTAAAATCGTAAGTTGGATATTATTATAGTGAGATGTAGTGTACTTTTAGGCTTATGAACGGTGATGGTACTGATGTGATGATGAAGCCAAAAATGAATAGTATTTGTACTTGGCTTGCTAGCCTTGAGTATTAACCTCTTGGAGTTCATACATGATGGTTTACATTTACATGAGATTTCTTTTTAGCTCAGGCCTAAGTCAATCCCCTTTCTCTCACACTTTAAATATAGCCTACTATAGACACCGCCTCCAAGTCAATCTTCAACACGCAATGCCCCGAGGGTTGGCTGCACATTTCGGAACTGGCGGTGGCAACGACGGTTTCAGTGCATGCTCTTCTTTGCCCTGTCCTCTTGGTTCTCTTTGAAGAAGTCCCACCGCGAACTCATGACTTCGAAGGAGATGGCGCACACAATCGGTTGAATCGTTTAAGCACCTTCTTCCAACCTTCCTCTTCTCATGACAGAGTTCTGTCCAGGCTGAACCATGCTTGGCATTGAAGCGTACCCAACTTGTGATCATGGATTTTGTTTCCTGCTCGTCGTCTGCAAGCAGGAGCGGCCGATACCGATGGGTTGCCATCGTATCTACTCTGATATGCAGCTTGCGTCATGCTTCATTCCTTTCTTCTGGGTGAGGTGATTTCCTTCGCCTTTGGCGTGAAGCTATTACTCGGAATCTCCGGGACCCGTGAAAGACGAGGTCTAGCTGGTCGTAGCTAGTACTTAGAGTCCACGAACTGCTACGAGGGAGGTCTGTGTAGATGGGGTTAGTTGGAGATATATGACGATTTGAAGGGTAAAAGGGATAGAAGTGGTGGTTGTATATAGTAGTGTAGAAAGGCCGTTTAATCACCTGTAAAACAACCATGGCCCTTCCAACCGCCCCCTACTAATATTTGGGCTCAGGTAACTGTGGCGAGATCTACGCAAACGGGTTAGCGCGAAAGAGATAACAATTTGAACAAGGAAAGGGGGGTTGGGAGTGATCATGTATAAACTAGTGTAGAAAGAGGATAGTTCAATCACCTCATAGAATATCTTACCACGATGAGGCCCCTTATCTCTCCCCCGAAACCGCTCAAGTGGCCTTTACAACCACCCCCGGGGGAAGGTTATGGGCCGTCGTAAATGATTTATATACCCTCGACGATGAGGATACTGCCAGACCGGCCTATATAGTTGGCTGCGGTGTTGGCAGACTGTTGGATCTCAGTAGCAGCTGGGTTTCAGACCGGGTCGTTGATGACTTCGCACTATCCTGAGGTTCTGTGGGGATATCGAACTGTGGCAATTTTCCCCGTCAGACGTGCGAGAAGGCCATGGAGATCGTAAATGATATGTACCTTTCGGCGTTAGGTAGCCTGCTATACCAAGCCTATATACTTAGCTCTTGTGGCGCCTTGATAGAGGTCAGTTCTGCCTTAGGCCTGTGACAACAGAAGTGAGATGAAGTGGTACTCACAAATTATTGAGCTAGAGGTGAGAGAAGTGGCGTAAACGGAACAGCCCGGGAAATCCTTTGGGCTCACAGTATGTTTACCCGCGGTCTGGGGACTTGGAAAACTCGATAGTCCTGTGCCTCTTGTACTCAAGCGCTGCCGAGCAAGCCTGTCAATATGTGCTTGGCGAGGGAATTGTCCAGGGCGATGATTCTGTTCTCGTTCGCGCTTATGTGGTCGTCGTAGTCGCTTCAGGCGTCCAGGCTATCGCGGTAAATGCGCAGTGTTTCACGGGCTTCCGGTGTGTCGAGCTCCTTTATGTACTTGCTTAGGAGCCATGCCCTGCGGAAGGCATGGTCGATGCTGTCGCAGGCTGCAACGAATGCGGGGTCGAACTCCATGGGCGTTTGCTGTAGGCGTGCCCAAGCATTCGGTGCTGCGCTGCGGGTAGTGGTAGGACGCGTGATTTTTTGATCCGACTTTGGCCTATGCTGTCTGCTGGCGGAGCGCCTCGTTTCTTAGGACTTTTGTCCGCGCCGTCTTGTTCGGTCACGGAGTTATTGTCGTCGGCGGCCGGCCTGTTGATCAGGGTGACAGGGGTGTAGTGACAAACGGAGGTGTAAAGTACTTTGATTTTCTCAACGTTGCTGTATGGTGTTGTATTGCGCGCATCCCAGACATCCATAACCTGAGATCGAAGCCGAAATGACTTCTTTTTGCTCCAAAGTGAAGCCGCCAGGAGTCGGCATTGAGCCGTCGTTGCCAGGCATGTCTGACTGGCTTTGATCTCCCTGTGCAGGGGTTGTGCCGGGGGCGGTCTTGCAGACCTTTCGAATATGGGCTGCCTGATTATTCGGCTATGTGTTCTTTGGCACGCCAGTCTTCGGCAAAGGAACGCAGTCCGATGGAAGAAGCAAAATGTTTAACGTTGTTAAAAATAGGGAAAGATGAGAATTAGAAGTGAGAGAAGTGTGGAAAGAAAGTGAGAGAAAAGGAAGGTGAGAGAAGATAGAACGGGGTATCCATGTGATGAACTCATTTCTAAAGCTGACAGAAGGTGTGAGTGTGGAAAGACCGAGAGGGAGATATTTCTTTTTTGCCTGAGAGTCGCCTCATTTCTAGCGACCTTGTGCAGTGAGAGAAGTTGGGATATAGCCATAAATAACCCTCAATTTTGATGAGCCTCGATGGCTGAAGATATCTGGGCACCCGGGAGCTCGCACTGAATGAGGCTCCAGGATGTCACAGATGAAGGAGAAGCAGGCATATTCCAATGAAGAAAAATACTGTGGAGGTTCATTGGCCCAGGTAAGAAGGCAGAAGCAAAGGTCTAAAAAATCAGATCATGGAGCAGTCCATGTCCAGCTCTATAATTCAACTGTTCTTGGATTTTCCTATCTTCTTTAGATCTCCCTGAGAATTCTAGATACATCAACTGATCCTTGGTAAACTAAATCTATGGCCCATACCAGTCCTCGCACTGGTGTGGTCGGTTATACTTCAAAGCAACAGTAGATACTTTCAACTGTTCAAATGCATCACCATGATAATAGATGTTAGTTTTAATGCATTCAGGAATTCCTACAAGAGCACTTAACTAAATTTAACCCGAATATCTAAAGCATTCAGAATTTAAGCAGTATACAAGCGTGTTTCTTCCTTTGTAGAAAGTAGAGTTTGTTCAACACACCTCTTATGTTAAGAAACTCCTGTCGCCTTACTACAAACCAGCAATATCCTAACAAGCCTGGCCGAAATACACAGAAGAATGTCCTCAACTGTAAGATGTTGATGTAGATCCACACAAGTGGAGTGTCGATTCTTGTAGGAAAGGATCAACCTTGAATTGTAATGCTAACGTCTAAACTGTATAAAAGAATCCATCTAGATATATTTTTAATTAATAAACAATATCAACGGCAATTAGATAAATTGCAATCTGCTCGGGAATACGCACTTACGCACTTGCGCACTTACGCACTTACTTACGCACTTACGCACTTACGCACTTACGCACTTGCAGCACAGTCTTATTTTGGTCCTATATTGGTGCCTTGATGCCTTGTTGTCTTGTTTATGCCTAGCCTGGGTCCAACATGTTTCAAGTTTCCGAGGTAGACTCGAGAAAAACCTTTCACAAGGTGGCCTGTTTCCCCGGGGTCTGCCAAGTGGCAAAGCCCGGCAGTGAGGCACATCGGAAAGGAGCATCCGTACCTCGGTGTTTGCCAATGGGCCAATTAGAGATAAGTATATGTAAGCCTCTTCGATGAGTCAGCCGCCCCACCTGGGCCGATTGAATTTCCCTTGGGTTCCGCTAGTCTTCGAGATGTCAACTCGTTCAATCTCCTTAAATTCACGGGGAATTCTGTTGGTCTCTTCTTTGGTTTCTCATACTTTTGGCTCAATTCACCATGGAGGCTCTTTTGCAGCAGTCTCGCACTATGTGCCCTTTCCTCAAGCGCACCTCCCCCACCACCCTCCGTACTCTGTCGACCGCTACTCGTCCTAGCACCAGCCCGGGAGGTGGAACCATGTCCAACCTACAGGTTCTGGGCCGTCGCTGCCCAGTCATGAGCAAGGCTCTGGCTGTTCAGAGTGCCCGTCTTAGTGGCACCAAGCGCTTCACCTCGCGTGCCGCCGGAGTCGCTGCATTCCAGCCTACGCGGGTTCCGACTGCCAAGCGGGCATTGCACAACACCGGTGGACATCCCGCCAGTCTCGTCTCCGGTGGATACGAGAAATCTGAGCGAGGTAAGATTGAGTTTGTGAGACTCGAACTTTGAGCTGTTTCTAATCTGACTACAGGAAACCCTAACTTGACCAATCCCCTCCGCGCGTCCTCTGCCGCCCCCGGCCATGCCGGCGCTGCGGTCCGCGGCCCCCGCCCTGAAGCCCCAACCAACGAAAAGTTCAACTACGACGGTTTCTACAACGTGGAATTGGAGAAGAAGCACAAGGACAAGTCCTATCGCTACTTTAACAACATCAACCGTCTCGCCAAAGAATTCCCTCGGGCCCACACTGCCTCTGCCGAGGAGCGCGTGACTGTCTGGTGCTCAAATGACTACCTTGGCATGGGTCGTAACCCCCAGGTCTTGGACACCATGCACAAGACTTTGGACACCTACGGAGCCGGTGCAGGTGGCACCCGCAATATCTCGGGTCATAACCAGCATGCTGTCGCCCTGGAGGATACGCTTGCCAAGTTGCATGGAAAGGAGGCCGCATTGGTCTTCAGCTCCTGCTACGTGGCTAACGATGCGACCCTGGCAACACTGGGCAGTAAGATGCCCGATTGTGTCATCCTCTCGGACAGCCTCAACCACGCCTCGATGATTCAAGGTATTCGCCACTCCGGCGCGAAGAAGATGGTCTTCAAGCACAACGATATGGAAGATCTTGAAGCCAAATTGGCCTCATTGCCACTTAGTACCCCCAAGATCATTGCCTTTGAATCTGTCTACAGTATGTGCGGATCAATTGCGCCCATTGAAAAGATTTGTGATCTCTCCGACAAATACGGTGCCATCACTTTCTTGGATGAGGTCCACGCCGTAGGAATGTATGGCCCACACGGAGCTGGAGTTGCTGAGCATCTCGATTACGATGTCTACGCATCGCAGGATACAGCTTCTCCTCAAAGCACCAAGGGCACAGTTCAGGACCGAATTGACATTATCACCGGTACCCTGGGCAAGGCCTACGGCTGTGTCGGTGGATATATCGCAGGCTCGGCAGCCATGGTTGACACCATCCGCTCCCTTGCTCCCGGTTTCATCTTTACCACCTCGCTCCCACCAGCAACTATGGCTGGTGCGGATGCCGCCATCCAGTACCAGGCCCAGCAACCCCGGGACCGAGTCCTCCAGCAGCTTCACACCCGTGCAGTCAAGACTGCCCTCAATGATTTGGATATCCCTGTCATTCCCAACCCCTCACACATCGTCCCCCTCCTGGTGGGTGATGCTGAGCTGGCCAAGAAGGCATCCGACAAGCTTCTCGAGGAGCACGACATCTACGTGCAGGCCATCAACTACCCCACCGTTCCCCGCGGTGAGGAGCGTCTGCGCATCACCCCCACCCCAGGCCACGTGAAGCCCCTGCGCGAGCACCTCGTGCAGGCTGTGCAGACCGTTTGGAATGAGCTTGGTCTCAAGCGCACCAGCGACTGGAAGAGCCAGGGCGGTTTCGTTGGCGTTGGCGTAGAAGGCGCCGAGGCCGCCAACATGCCCATCTGGGAGGACTCCCAGCTGGGTCTGCAGGCTAGCGAGACCCTTGAGGGCGCTGTTGCTCGTGAATTCAACGACGCAGCTGCCCAGGCGACCGTGCCCCTGAAGGCTGCTACCCCTCTGATCGAGAAGGCTTACTCGGGAATGAACTCCACCGCTGGTGTTGTTGCCTAGAGCAGACGAGTCCCGTCTATGCTTCTCGGTTTTTGGGGTAATTCTGCCTGTATTATTCCCGTCCATTCATTTTCTACATAATATTCTGTTGTGCGGGCATAACTTAGCATATGCATCCGCCTTCAATCATATCGCCCCCACATATTCATGTCATCTGTCTGCTTTTGTTTAATGATGTAGCCATTTTTCGGGCTTGATCGGCCGTGAATTGCGCTTTTTTTTATTATTATGTTGTTGGTTTGTTTAGCAAGACCAAGACTATGTCCGACATACTGCTTGTATCTAGATCGATCGAGTGTCATTTATTAGACTCAGGTGGGCCAGGTGGGAATGAACAGTGTTGGAAGTGGCATTTTACTCTCCTTCGTTTAATGTAGGCTTCGTCTTATTGTAGTATTTTAGTGCTTACTAGTAGGACATGATCTACCATTGTTGTATTTGTCCTTGTTTATATTTAGGGCACCGATATATACATCCCCCTGTGGATCTGATGCCTCCACCTTGGTTGCAAATAAGCCATTTAAAAGATATACCAATTGAAACTACAACTATATAAAACTCTTGATGAATAACTGGGTGAATGACTGGGTGAATTAAGTTGGCTCTTGCTGTATGTAGTATGATATCTGCTAATAGTAATTTACCTTGGCGAGCAATTCCCGAGGTTATATAAATCTTAAACACAGACAGAGAAGCCCAAGTCTACACAAATCAAAATCGAATCAAAGAAACAACCAAGTAATTTCCTTTGGCTATGTAACAATGTCCCATTGATATAGAAACAGATAAAAGTAACAATTTTGAAACACACAAAGCGCCATATATTCCAAAGAGGCCTAACAACTCAACCCTACTTCCGTCCACCACGACTAACCTTAGGGAACTCAACGGGAAGTCGCAAGCGAGCAACACGACGCGCCGCCGCCTCCGCACGTCCACCCTTAATATTCCACTTCGCGAACTCCGTCTCACGAGGCTTATCAATCCGACAACCAAGCTCACGGAAGTACTGGTGAATAGTATTCGGATCAAGACGCAAATCATCACGCAGATCAGAAGGATCCGTCGCAAGCTCATTGGGTGCATTACCACCAAGCGAGCTGGATCCACCGTCACGCGCCGGCTGGGGAGGGATATGCAGCGAAAGCGCACAGATGGTAGTCTGCAAGAGGGTGAAGTCGTTCTTTGAAACGAAGCCACCGCTAGGCGCGAAACGACGACGAACAGCATCAATAACAGACTCCGGGAGCAGGTCTGTGGATTCGACAGCCACAGCGCCGGG